ACAAAAGTTTTATATATAAAAAAACTCACACAGCTAATGTTGAAATAGGATCGCCAGCTGAATGCACCCACTCTGTGCAGTATGGCTCAAACTCGATTGAAATCATGTTTATCATATCTGTAAATTACAAGTATTTTATGACTAAATAGCTGACCCGGCAAACATTGTTTTACCATGTATATTATTTCTAGGAAAAAAATTTTTAGTTCAATAAAAATAACTATCTACAATAATAAAAAATAGGGGTTGATCGTAGAGGGGTAAAAATGAAGGGTTGTTTGCATTGTTGTGCAGTATCATAAAAAAAAAATTTGTCCAAACAATAAAAATAAAATGTTAGGGGTGGACAACCCTCATCACTAAAAATAGATAGTAGCCGATTCTCAGACCTACTGAATATACATATAAAATTTGATAAAAATAGGTCAAGGAGGAGTATGGTAACTAACATTGTGATACGAGAATTTAAGACTAATATAATACATACTTAATGAAGTCCTAATTTTTCTTTAGACAACTATACAAACCAGAATGACATATTATAATTGTGTTTTTATGGGGAAAATGTTTTTTAAATATTGTATTGAAATACATTTTAAATAATAAAATATATACAGAAAAGCAAAATTTACTTACCAAAATTTACTACATCAAATATTTTAATAGTCTTCTCTGAGGAGGCTGTGCAGAGGAGTGTACCAGTACTATTGGCTGATATGTGGCTGATGGGAGCTAAGTGACATCGAAAGTGTTTTACAAACTCCACACCTTCTTCCTAAAATTAATACATTTTTTATTAATTTACTATTGCATACAGTATATGTCACACTAAATGGTATATGCTTATTGCTTACATAATGTATACCTGCTTCTTCCAAAACTTTAAGTGGCCATCCTGACTAGCAGTTACAACAAAATCTGTTTTGGTTACCACAACATGGGTAACCACATCTCTGTGCATGTAACTACGTTCATAAGTCTCTGATGAGGGAAGGTTTTCTAAATACAGTTCCTCGAACTCTAGAACTGATACAACATTAGTGTTAAATAAATCTCTTTTTGTAAAATACAACAAAATATATATTTTAATATTTATACAAGACGTAATTTGAAGCGTGGTATTATTGTACCTTTTCGTTTTTTAGATTTTGGTTTTGCGGCCTCTGAAGGCATAGGCCCAATCCAACAATCTTCTTCCTCATCTTTACCACCTTCTGGACTAGTGGCACGTTTCTCTCCTGACATGCTTTGCTAGTTTTGAAACACTTTTCCTTATTATTATTAGTATCTAGTTCTAGATAGTAAAAAAATAGCAAGTTAACAAATATATTGACTAATAACTAAGTAAAACAGTTGTGTTGAAAACAGAAAAGTGAAAACCTTAAACCACTATTATTTTTGTTTGATTTTGAATTTTGAAAACCTAATGTTGACAATTGACTGATGACCCTGTAGATCATAGAGTCGGTCTATGTACGTCATTGAGTAGATAATATAGTCCATATCATATAATGATTATTTGTTTCTTGGCTGTAGAACAAATTGTATAAATCTTTTTTATCGTTATATACACAAACTTCTGATATTCCATATTTACTTTAAAATAGGTAAAAACCTTACTTTTATAATGCTTTTGTAAATCAACAAGCAAAAATGTAAATTGTCACGGAGCGTCTTATTCGTTAAACTTTTTATTTTTGTGTCTATGACAAAAATGTCTTTTACGAATTCGTAGTGATGGTGGCTGGCTTCCTCGCATACATAATATCATAAATTACGTGTAATTTGTAAAGTTTTACAATATTTTATTGTAAATAACTTAGTTCTTTTAGTGATTTAAGTGCTCAATAAATCAAACACCAAATTGGTAAGTGCAAAGTGAAATATCGATGTGTTATATGCGCGGCACCGGTACTCTACACGTGGTTCAAGACTAACATCTCGTATTCGTATAATTATGTATCATATTAATGATTTTCAACGTTAAAATTATACAGACTATGTCGTAAGATTCATTTAAAATTGGTAAAATAAAATAATAAGAGCTAGTGTAAAGACATAGGTTGTTTATTGAACGTGGTTCTTTGACAGTAGCTAAGGTTCTAACCGTTTTAGGAAGGTAATTATGAAAGCTTTCAGTTTACCAGTATTTGGACATGATAAAACTTTATTAGATTAAAAGGAAATACGTAGGCATGTATATTTATGTGCGAAATTTCGAAACTGCCATGTAATCAGCTTTTTCTTGATTGTGACGCATACTAGTGTCATAGTGGGAAAGTACAAGTAACAAATACAGTTGCGTTATAGGCGCAATAAGGTCCTACTGACAAGCTGAAATGTTAAGCAAGAGCATGTATATTGAGGGTTATAACCTATATTAAACTGTAATTTACCATCACAATGCTATGAACCTTTGCATTTAGCACAGATATACATCTTACTTCAGCAGGTATACTTTTTTAAATATAGTAAATGTAATTTTATAACTTGATTAATATAATCATACATGAACTTCTCTACTTACTTTTTTATTTTATTTATTTATCTGTATAAATCTAGTGTCTTGGTATCTATAATCTAAATACCAAGACACTGGATAATGATTTGAATTCTAAAGCTTTTTCACTATAAAGTGTTGTAACAATTTTATATGCTTGTAAAATATTGTTTAGATCAAGTGTATTTTTAATATTCTATAGATATATCTATTAAACACAAATGTTCAACAATTATTATATCAAGGAGTAGGAAAAGCTCCAAATCATACCTATATAAATTTTGATACCTTTTTACAATGTGAGTTATTATAAAGCATTTACATAAATTTTAATGGGAATTTATATCTTATCTTAATTAAAATATAATCATATCTTCATCATCATGACCATGAGTTTCTGTTATTATTATGAAAGGTATATATAAATTTGATTGAGAAAATATAAACTGATTGAGTAATATATTACTTAATTTTAAAAATTTATTAAAATGAAATTTCACTTACATACACTATAAAGAAAAGCTGTAACTTGTTTTATTATTTAATTTTTATATTGAAATACAGATTAATAATGAAATTTAGCTGGATAAGACAATAGATCTTATTTTACTTTATTCTTTGGCCTGCCTAAAGTTTTAGTGACATCCAGTTTATTATCATGGACAGTCATTTGTAAGAATTAAAAATAATTCTCTTATCTACCTTTTTTCCATTTCCATTATTATTTACTGAACCTTTCATGGCTAACTAGATTTTGTATCAAATACATTTTCTAACATTTATATTTTATGATAAATTTTTAATTTAAAGATTGTGTGGAGTACTAATCTGATTATATTGGTAAGATCTCACTATTTGGTCTGTGTTGAGTTTCCTACCTTTAATGATGTAATTGACAATTCACATAACATTTCCAATTAATTACAAAATCCATAATATTTATGTGATATGGCTAGATTGATTCTTCATAGCTTTTTGTGGAGCTATTGGTCTGAATTCTGCATTAACAACTCTAGTATCAACAAGTATATTTCAGATATGAAAATGATTCACATGTTCCCTGCATAGGTATGTCCTTTGCAAATGATTTAGATTAACTTGTATCATACGCTGTACAATTGCGCTGGCGCTTATCAGACAGGGTCAAGAATACTCCACTGTGCAAATAACTGTTATAATTCATTCTCTCTCACTTACGAATACAAGAACGAGACGGAAGACAGGCGAACGACCGCTTTACAAAAGTTAAAGAGGTCATTGAAGTATTGTGAATTGAAAATAAAGGGCCATATTATTATTGAAACGCTAAATTGATACAAGAATTTGTTTTTTGATGGCAACGTCCGTATATGGGTAAAAATAGTTAAAATTTAATCGAAATAAAAGTCAATTGATTATTAGCTTAGATATTCGCTTACTGCATAGCGTGGGGATGATTTTGATGATGATTATATTATCACATATGCATCTAAAATACTGAGATAAAGTGCTAAAACTTAGGGTGAGATTCAGAAACGATCTTAAGACTTCGAAATAATGTGTTACTTCGTATGTACCTATCCGCGATGTTACTATCTTACATCGCGTTTGAAAATTTATATTCGTGAACGCAAGAATACCGATTTTCCGATCACAATATCTAGTAGTCTACGAAGCCATATTACATTTCCTTACCTCGTAGAATCTTTATGACTGTATTTTGAGTAGATTAAACTATGTTTAAAATTCCCTAACTAACCTCTCCGCAAGGTCATCGTTCGACATCATATCACGGGTGACGAAACTTGTTGCATCCTAGCTAGTTGTAACGGAAGTCGATTCTAAAAATAACTATTTACTATGCAGGTGAAAGTTGGAAACATAAGCAGCAATTGCACGCTTTGTTTTGTTTAGCTACGTGTAACTCCTAATGGCAATAATTATTTAGATTATATTCTCTATTTCGGCATAATTTTAAACGTATTTTAATTAGTAATGCTTGCCTAATTTAGTCATACTATAACTAACTGCAATCATGCTTTCTTTGGTTTTAACAAATTCGTATATAAACAATTATACATAGATTGCGAAATGTTTTAGTTGCTATACAAAAATATAATATGCTGTTTAGCAGGTGTATTATCCACCTGTGCATAACTGAATTTTTGCTACATATATGTATAATATGTAAATCATGTATGAAGGCATAGGCATTTAATATTATTTATGTATATATAATTACCATCATGTATCACCGTACATACCTCAATGACGCGCTGAAAATAGCTGAACAAATAGACGAAGATACACATACACTACGTACCTTTAAAAATGTTTGATACAAGGGCTTTGTTTTAATTATTATAAAGGTCCGTTAAGACTGTTAATCTTTATTTAATATACTAAAACCATGTGATCATCTTTTTAGGTAGGTAAAAAAAATATTATGGAGAAACGTTGAAATTTTTTACAATTTAAACTATGTTATTCATACTTAATAGGCCCTTTTATTGTTTCAGCAATGAGTTCAAGTGTATGCTACAAGTGTAACCGCACGGGGCATTTTGCCCGCGAGTGCACACAAGGCGGCGGTGTCGCCTCCCGCGACTCCGGCTTTAACCGGCAACGCGAAAAATGCTTCAAATGCAACCGCACTGGACACTTTGCACGCGACTGCAAGGAAGAGGCTGATCGTTGCTACAGGTAAAATAAAAAAAAATACATTAACCAAAAAATAATCATGAATTTTATTATTACAATCCTTGGCTTAAAACATTTTATGTATTTGCTGTAAATTTTTAATACTGCCACTTAAAAGTATCTTAAGAAAAGGCTTATCAACTAGTTTGTATTACCTAATACATAGGAGTGTTATAGATTTATTATTAAGGTTAGAATACAGAACTAATTTTTATGATAACTTACAGTATTTATTTCATTTAGGAATGTACTTAACAAATAACAATATAATTACAATCAATTTTGAAACATATTTAATCTAACCCAATTAGCTATGATAACTAAGCAAATCTTAATTTTCTATAAGATACCATACATATCACTGTAAATAAACTAAGAATTTCAAGGCCCTGTGGCTATTAGCTAAGAAAAAAGCGCTTCAACAAATAACGCAAACGTTTCCATTGTCTGGCCGTGACCGAATCGATCGCGGTTTGATACCACTGAAGTAATGACACTTCTATTTTTCTACGACCATTAACTTGCTTGAAAGTAAACTAATATTATAAACTACACTAAATTACTTTCTAACGATCATGGCATATAATTTCTGTTTGCCACTGCTTTAAATAATCCATTATGACCTAATAGCATTAGAAGTGACTTTGACATTGTGACATATGGTTCATATGGCAAGAGGAATAGAACTAGAACTTATAATTTGCTGATAATTTTAACTTTAAATTTTAATGTATGTGTATGACGTGTGCGTTTCAGATGTAACGGCACGGGGCATATAGCGCGCGAGTGCGCGCAGAGCCCTGACGAGCCGTCGTGCTACAACTGTAACAAGACTGGGCACATTGCGCGGAATTGTCCAGAGGGGGGACGCGACAGCTCAGGGCAGACTTGTTACAATTGTAACAAATCGGGTCATATATCGCGCAACTGCCCGGATGGCACCAAGACCTGCTATGTCTGCGGGAAGCCCGGCCACATCTCGCGCGACTGCGACGAGTCGGAGCGGAACTAACACAAGCCCACCCGCACACACCGTAAACAAATTCAACTATGTATATTATGATGCCACGCACGGACTGTAAGCAAAGGACGCGTCACTAGATCGTAAGGCCACAGACTGGACGAAATTGATACAACGGAATTATGACGCAGCGTAGAGACTGAGGAGGGTTAATGTTGACTTGTATATAGGTCTCCCGCGCGATGCGGTTAATGTTTGTTCTCGCTCGTGAACGTTGTGTTTTTAAATCATTTAATAATCGTGATTGAACTATTGATGAGGTAGCGTTACAGTTTTTAGCATTACAGAGTATATATTTTGTACAGATATTATTTGTCAAAAGATAAATTGGTTGGTGGCGTATGGTGACTTTTCAATGTTGTGGAGACCCGGGAGTTGATCCGACCAGAGGCTTGTCAGTTTTGTTAAGCAAGCCCTCTGTCCCTCGTCCGTTTAACTATCAATAATAGTACCTATTTGTTTTCTTAAATATTCCTTTGTTTAGGTCCTGATGATTGGTGGAGAATTCAGTGGTTAATTAATTAGAATTTCATTAATCAGAATATTTTTTATTTTGTTATCCCTTACAGTGTGCCTGTGCATTACACATAAAATGTAATATATCAGCTTTAGTGGGACATTAATAAAATCTTGCCTTACAATTAAACTTTTCCATCCTCCCCTGAATCTTGTCATATAAAATATAATTTCATATTTCTAAGAATATAATTATAAAATGTATAAATAGAAACAGTTTTCAATAGCTTAGGAAAGGTTTAAAATTTGAACCTTTTGACACATCAGATTCTAAAATACATGACTTGCTTGCAGGTTAATAACACCTTAAATTTTATTATCTTGTGTGCATTGTGAGATTTTATTTAATATAAGCAAATAATCATATAGTACTGTATATTCCACTCAACTGTACTATCAAGGATAAATTGACACAAATAAAACTACCTTCATTATGTATTTCAAATCTTAGGTACTAACACAATTTAGATGATATATCTTCAAACGACAACAGATACTCTTACAACGAGGAAAGACAGTCTACAAGATTGGTTTGTACATGGCGGACATAAATAATACTACACTGGGCTAGGGTCTTTATATAATCCAGGAACATGTAGCTTTCAAAAGTAAAACTATTGCTAATGAACTTCAATTTCTGAATTATTAATTCAGTATCTAAGTACATTGAATAAAGGGTTCCTTTACAAAAGTGGGTCAGCCACTAAGCACTAATGATAAATGAATTTTTATTCAAATGTCCCAAAAATTGTAATTAAAATCGATTTAGAAATTATAATAAGTTATTGCTATATGGTAAAAAGTATCATTTTAGTAGGCTCTTGGCTAAAATTGCGACGGGTCAAACATGATTGGAAATCTACAATTTGATATAGCTATAGCAGACTATGCCTTCCGCAATCCACCTTTGTATAAGCACAAGACAAAAAGTAAAAACGCTATAAAGGTCACAGCACACAATATATCAATTCGGTAACGGATCGTCACCGTATCGCCTTTCGCCTAGCTGTCAACCTAAAGCTGTCTACACACCGTAGCCGCCGGCACGAACCCGGCGGCTTTAGAAGTTGCGAGCCTGACAATTTTCCCGGCGGCACATACAGTCGCGGCATGCAGTGTTCACAATTAATGATTGCCAAGTGCTAGCTAGTGACTTGTTAAATTTTTTATTTTTCTCTCCACTTCATTAACGGATTCCATAATGTTTTGTCGATAAAAACACTGACGCGTCACTATTTCTTAAAAGCCGGTGGGCAACCGGTGGTGAAGAGCGGAAAGGGGCGTGCCGCGGGGAAGATCGCGCGGGCGCAAGCCGCCGGCAACATCGTTAAAACTAAGGCCGCCGGGTCCGTGCCGGCGGCGTGTAGACAGCTTAACGTATGCACGTAAACAAAGCGTATCGGCTGCCCCTGTACGTCAACTTGGCTACGGCTTGTCGTCCCTGCGCCTACGGCTCCTACCCGAACTCAGGTCTCTTTGTCCACCCTTGCCCCTGCCCTGTTTCTGATAAGGAGGGAGCTTGTATTTTATTGTTTATCAGAATGCCAAATCGTAAAATGACTGATTTGAGCGCGACCGCCGCTGCGAAAACCGCTGTGAGAGTTCGAAAAGTGAGTTACAGAATCGCAAGGCAGTTCGGAGGCGAGGCGATTACGTTACGATTCCGATTAGTGTGCGTTGCAGTAGGGTGTTTCATGCTAACAATACTGAACGGCTCGAGGTGATACGGTGGCGATCCCTTTCCGAATTGAATTGTGTGCTTTGACCTTAACGCTTCATTTTGATGGGTAATGGTCATGTGAAGAAGTATGACCTATGTTATTTTCATAAAACTTATGAAAATAACATAGTGAAGTAATAGTGTTCTGTGCATAAAGCAAAGTTTGTTTGGCGTTCGCCTTAGCCCTCAGGCCAGTGATGCCAACTCCTACAGAATGTTCCCCCTGGGACCAATTTAAAATACCCCTAAATATAGAATAAACTTGGAATATTATAGCTTTTTGACATTTCTACTTCACGCTTGGAGTTTATGGTTGGTTGGGACCTCAGCGTTTTTACGAAGAAAAAAAAATTCTTGTTTAAAGTACCCCCTAAATCTCCCTATTGGCAAGCTTTAGTTAAATTAACGCAACGCTTGTTTGTTGGCTACTTTAAAAAATACATTGGCATGGCAACTTTATAACTGTCACTTGTTTACCGGGTGTGGTGCGGCTGCGCAAAACAAGTTTGGCTTTAGTTTTTCGTAAAAGTGATGGAACTGCATAACGAACTTACAGTTTGATATTCGTGATCATATTATAATATCCTATTGAAATATTTTATTCTTGTGTATCAGTAACGGGTCAGTTGCTTTTGTGTGTGAGAAAACTTAAAGCTAGCCGTTTCCATGGGCGTTAACTTGTTAAATTATAAGTAAGTTATTGAATTATTATTAAGGTTAATCGCGTCTTAAACTTTATAATTCTGTCCTATATACGGTTTAATATAAATAAATCCCTGTTAACTTGCTTCTCAACAAGTGGCTTTTCGATATTTATCTTTCAAAGAAAGGGCTGCAAAGCTGTAAACAAAGCAATTTTTAACTTTTAAGAGATGCTTTAATGAGTTGGAATTTGATTCTTATTTGATATTTAGTAATTAAACATGTGTATGACAGATCCTACTTCACTTAACAATTCAAAAGTTTAAAGTAGATGTTGATATTTTAATGCATATAGCTCAGATTCGTAATGATATATAATTCTAATACAACCCCATATTATTTGTTAAAATTTAACTTAAATTAACTTTTAAAATCAATATAGCTTGGGTCAGTTTCTGTATCCTTATTCAAACCTGATACAATTCTTTAAACAATTAAAATATTACAATGTTTACAGGTAATAGTCTGAAGTATGAATCTCTCTATTAAGATTGCAATACACATAAGTATATTAGCACAAATATGTTCTGGGCAGGATTATGGCACTCAAACATATAATCCAGATTCTACAAACCCTACAAATGACTACCTCAATACCAATGATCCAAAATATGACAATCCATATGATCCAAATAGACGGAATCAAATCCGCAAACAGTATGATAATCCATACTCAGATAAAAGATATAGCCAGTATGATAGAAATGATTTAAATTCCTATAATCCTGAGAATACTCCACGACCAGCATGGGATTCTAGCAGAACCTACAGTACATCATTTAAAGGTGCTGAGTTGGAGCATGAAAGTGTTATCATAAATGAAGCGTAAGTACTTAGATTATTTAGTTGTGAGTACCTTGTTTGTTTTGTATTCATAATTTTTATTTCATAAAAATTCAGGGATCTAGTATTAAGATAATGTAAGATACAAATATTTAATCAATATCCATTCAGTTCAGTTTCTTCATGTTATCATTTTTGTTACAGCACTTACTTTATTGTAGCATCTCGTATGGTCCGTCCAGGACAGATATACAAAATATCAGCTAATATATTGAGAGCAAGACTACAGATGACAATCCGGGCATCCATCTCTTGCAATGGTGTCGAACTAGCACATGTCAGTGAAAGAGTGAAGGAAGGAGTTCTTGAGATCCTTAATTTGAGAGTATGTATACTTTTAACCTAGTATTGAATGTTGAACATATTTATCACTCGTAGAATATAGAAAACAATGGCAAAACATTCCACAAGTATACATGAGTTGAATAAAATATGACCTTAAATTATTAAACAAGCCCTTATGGCATGAATAAATCTACAGATAATAAAAATAGCTTTGACCAAACTTAATAAGTAAAGAAAACTTTTCATGATGCAGCATCAGAGTGCCACCGGTTTTTAAGGGTTTGTTGAAAATGTTTATTTTATCATAACAAATTTAAAAAGTTTGGTCCCTTTGTACCTTTAATGCGGGCAGAATTTCCTTGCTGTATTGCAATACTTATTTGTTGAGCGAGGACAGCTGACTTTAATTCTTAGTAACAAAATCCTCGTTGTCTACCTACTAGCCTTAAACAAACTTATTAATGAAACAAATGCTTATATGTTTACTGGCCTATATGACTAGAAATTAAACAATAACAAACTTTGTCTAGATCCCAGCAACATCTGTACCAGGTGATTACAAGTTGAGAGTGGAAGGTCTGTACCTAGATGATCCATTTGGTGGTAATGCCTTTGTTAATGAGACTCAACTGGACTTCTCACAGCGGTTTATGACTATATTTATTCAGATGGATAAACCAGTTTATATGCAAGGGCAGATTGGTGAGTTGACAATTTTCTACTTCATTTATGTGAGAGTATACAATATTAGTCCTTGTCTTTGTCCTTGTGGTATTACTTTGAGCATTTAGTATTTTTATTTTATTTCGCTTACCGAGGTCAAGTCTATCCATATACCAAATTGCTACAGACAAACAGACAAAGTTTGTTTCGCGTTTATAATATTATTGTAATAAATAATCAAAGAGTAATTGAAACTACTTTTATTTAAGTAAATCACAAAATACGAACATCGTCGCTTTTATTATGTACATCACATCCAATCATTGTATTTTTTATGTTAAAATTTAAAATTGTTGAATTGCAAACCTAACCGTTTGGTTTTTTGATTATATCTTGGTTCAATTTTTTAAATCTTCATCCAAGAAATAGTAAATATAAATCGTATTAAAAAATAATAAAATATAAGACACGTTCTTCACATTAGTTTTCATTAAATCTTGGATCGTTTTAAATATTAATCTAGGTTAAACATTTGAATAACTAACCTACTTGGCGCCCTCTTCTACACTGCAATCGCCTAAAGAATGTAACCCATATTAGAACACTCAAGACGTACATACTATATAAACTAGCTACTTTCTATGTTATGCGACATGCAAACTTTGCTACTAAAACAATTGCTAAGTATCCACTATTACATCACTGCCTCAGTTCCACAAGGATCAGTGCTTGGCCCAGTCCTTTATTCAATATATACGGCAGACTTGCCTGAAACAGAAAATGTCGTAACAGCAACATACGCAGATGACACTGCATGCCTTGCAAGCGATGTGAACGCGAATAACGCTTCACTGAAACTACAGGAACAGCTCAATAAGGTGAACGTGTGGCTGCAGAGGTGGAGAATCAAGCCTAGCATAACTAAATCAATACAAGTAACATTTACACTGCGAAAGGGCGACTGTCCACCTGTGCATATAGAAGACAAACCGTTACCAAGCAAAAACAGCGTGAAATATCTCGGACTACATCTGGACAGAAGATTGACCTGGGCTAATCATATAAAAGCCAAGAAAACAGAAGCCACCTTGAAATTCAAAGAGCTATCCTGGCTTCTAGGCCCGCAATCTAGGCTGACCCTGAGTAACAAATTGCTTGTGTACAAGGCCATCATACAACCAGTGTGGACATATGGAATAGAACTCTGGGGCTGTGCAAGCAATTCTAACATCGAAATCCTCCAAAGATTTCAAAACATTGCACTGAGAACTATTTCATGTGCACACTGGTTTGTGAGAAACACGGAAATACACGAATATCTGGAGATGCCAACCGTAAAGGAAGTAATCCGCAAAAACAGTAGTAGATACAGGGAAAGGTTAACCAAACATACAAATGAACTGGCTAAGAATCTGCTAACCCCAGGAGATGATGTAACTCGCCTAAAAAGATGGCAAATACTAGACCTAGACCAGAGAAACTGACCTACAATAAAAATCCAGTTTCTACCAACACTTACGGTGCCTTTCAATGGAATCGCACCCAACCAAAATTAACCTCAGAAAATATCTGATTATGGCTGATAGCCGATTGCAGATGAACAAGAACACAAAAAAAAAAAAAAAAAAAAAAGTATCCACTATCTTGGTGGCTAACTAAAAATTTTTTCATATTGGCTTTGATATATTTTTAATTTGGGTTTCGACAATTGGCATTTCAGCCTGTTAAAGGCTATTTCATAATGCTTTGAATTGGATTTCGTTAACCATCTTCAATTATATTTAGAAATTTATTTTATAACAATTTTGCAGTGCGATTCCGTGTGATACCCATAAACACGGAGTTGAAGGCTTTCGGAAGGTCAATTGATGTATACATACTCGATCCCAATCGTCGCATCATGAAGAGATGGTTATCTAGACAGGTAATTTTCGCCATTTTTTTTACTCGCGGTATTTTTTCATAGAAAGGGATGCTATATATGCCAACGATGATTTTTGTATATCCCTGTGTGTAAGTGAAAATTATTTGATTTGAGAGAATACTAAAACAGATTTTTTTCTTCTTTCTCGCAAAAATAAGCACTCGTCTATGCTATTTAATCTGTAGGCTTCATTTGCTTTATATTATAATGATGAAATCAATTTAAATATGATACGAGCGGACCCGTCAGATGTTGTTTCACACACAAAATCTAAACCATTCTTGAACACACAAAAAAAAATAGGTCCAGCCGTTTAGGAGGAATTAATAACAAACACACGCACAAACGATTTATATATGTAAAGATAAAAGCTGGAACTTTTTTGTATAAGTAATTATTTACTTTTTTGTAAAAAAAAAAAATGTAAATATCTGATTTTTTACATGCATCCTATTAATTTCAAAAGGTTTAAAATTTATGATGACATTAATAATGAATAGCAGAAGACTTATAAGTTATGCTAACTGCGTACCAGTACAATATCAATTATAATAATATTGTTAGCGGACTAACGCCATTTTGTAGCAGAAACCTATATAAAGCGTGGCAACACCGGCGTTGACTCACTTTTATTTCGAGACTTCGTGCGGAACGGACTTGTTACTAACCTAACCTCAGTAGATTTTAAGTCTGAAGTACCTACACGTTCTAATCTTTTGTGTTTCCTAATATCAGAATTGGGATTTGAACTTTTCGCTCACTTCTCTTTTGTTTTGTTTTGAGTAATCTTTGTGGTTTAAATTTTCCTTCTCTTTGTGTCCGTAATGTACGAAGTCACAAGTGATTAACATTTTAAAAGTGCTCTTTGTGTTAAAATGTTGTTTGTGTTTGTGAGTGCAACAGTGTCACATTAAATTCGGGATCGTCTAGTCAGCAAGGTAGACGAGAGATGCTTTGACAGAGGACGGCCGAACGGTTGAAGAACAGTGAAATCAATCAGGACACTGTACGTTTATGTGGGTCGTAGACCCCCTTGTAAATTCCAGAAGGATGATCTGGTCTTTGTTATTAAGAACATGCAAAGGTATGGGTTTCTGTTTTAAATTTTTGTGGTGCTAATGTGTTTAGACCACTTTGAGAACATACAAGTGTATGGGTCTCTGTTTTAAGTTTTTCTGGTGCTAATGTGTTTAGACCACTTAGAGAACATGCAAAATGTATGAGTCTCTGTTTTAAAAAATTGTCGCTTATGAGAGCACTAGGAGCCACTGTCGATACGACGGTGTATTGCAAATATACTGAGTTTTATCTTTCTTTGTGTTAAGTCTGAAGCTATCTAATTCTGTAATATTTGCTTTTTTGAAAGATCAATGGACAGGGTAACCAGCCCCAAACTCACGATCTTCCTGTATAAATTGTAAAAGATCAATGGACAGGGTAACCAGCCCCAAACTCACGATCTTCCTGTATAAATGGTAACAAGATCAATGGACAGGGTAACCAGCCCCAAACTCACAATCTTCCTGTATAAATGGTAAAAAGATCAATGGACAGGGTAACCAGCCCCAAACTCACGATCTTCCTGTATAAATGGTAACAAGATCAATGGACAGGGTAACCAGCCCCAAACTCACGATATTTTTGTATTAATGGTAAAAAGATCAATGGACAGGGTAACTAGCCCCAAACTCATGATCTTCCTGTATGAATGGTAAAAAGATCAATGGACAGGGTAACCAGCCTCAAACTCAAGATCTTCCTTTATGAATGGTAAAAGATCAATGGACAGGGTAACCAGCCCCAAACTCACGATCTTCTTGAGAAATAAGTAGACCTTTATACCTTATATCTACTCTTATGGTGATACTAAACTTGTGATTGTTTACACAAGTCCTTTACACATGAAAGTGATAGTTTGTTTCAAATCTTGTAAGGGTTATGAATAATCTTTCACTCATTCCTTGGAGTCTGATACTTTAAAGTTCCTTTCTATCTTTCATTACTTTGATTGTTTGTATTAAACCAAGTAAATATGTTCAGTTGCTGACCAAATAGACGACGCAATACCTTCCCAGAATTGTAATGTTCTAACGTTCTATTCAACCCACAGAGATGACAGTATAGACGCTGGACATCAAATCCTGACGAGGACGTCAGGGTGTCAGGAGAGGCCGTGTTAGCGGACTAACGCCATTTTGTAGCAGAAACCTATATAAAGCGTGGCAACACCGGCGTTGACTCACTTTTATTTCGAGACTTCGTGCGGAACGGACTTGTTACTAACCTAACCTCAGTAGATTTTAAGTCTGAAGTACCTACACGTTCTAATCTTTTGTGTTTCCTAATAATATTATAATTTTTCGGACTCAACATCACGAACTATTGTATATATTATTACTCAGTTTTAACTGAATCTGCAATAATATAAATGATTGAAAAAGGTTAAATATCGTAGTTTTACAATAAACTTAAATGTAAGAAAAATGTCGACGTTGCATTGCGGTCTACATGGCCAGGGATGGACAAAAAGTAAAACTTTCCGTGGTTACTACTAGTTCTAGAAGTTACTAGAACAGTTATTATATACAGATCTATAACAGGATATTTATAAAAATAAATTTATGTAGATAATTATATAAATTTTAGAACTATCACTGCCATTTAACACTAATTAAACCAGAAACATTTTTCAGTTAAGTAAGTAGAGTTTGATTTATTCTTACACCTAAAATGGTGCTGGATTGGGAAAAAACAATGGACGATTTATTGCTCATCGCATTACAATCTTAATGTTGCCATCGATTCTAGAACACGTAAACGTTACAATTACAAAATCATGTTTCATTTAAGTTAACACTTTGTTATCTTTCAGATTATCTCAAACAATAGAGTGTTGTATGATTTGTTTGGATTAGGTCAGGTTTAATACATTGTTTATTAGGGCTGTCTTTAGCTTATTGTTCATTGGTTTCATAAGATATCCGAGTGACGTACTGCTTGCTGATTTAGAATGTAAAACAAAAGACGAAAGCCGGCAATTATTATATTAAGTAAAGGGCACACACATGACACAACACTGCTGTTTGCCTAGTAGTTTTAGTAGGGTAGATCCCCGGCTTTGCACCAATGGAATTTCTGTCTATGTGCGCATCTAAAACTCATTCGTACGGTGAAGGAAAGCATCGAGAAACCGGCATGCCTCAAAATCCAGAATCGACGACATGTGATAGAGTGAAGGCCGATCACCTACTTGTCTATGAAATAAAAATGATCAGAGAAATGGCAATCCGAGGCCAAGATATAGGGTTGTAGAGCTAATGGTTTATTGTTATTAAAGAAATTATCTTACCGATTTTTTAGATTTATATTTGTATTATATATAAACAGGTATTACAAATTTTCAAAGAGAATTTATGTTTCTCTTTCTCTATAGAGTAACTTTGGTACCGTGAGTCTGCAATACCAATTGTCAACCCAGCCCATATTCGGCGAGTGGTATGTGCGAGTGGAGGCGTTAGGACAAGTTGAGGAGTCCCGATTCTTAATCGAAGAATACTATCAGACCAGGTTTGAAGTAAGTGCATATTCAACAATTTTCTTTTTTTTTAAAGTTGCTGAAAGTAAGCTGTCTGTACTTTTTATAAGTTTTCAGAACTTAGTACTTTAAATTACTACTTCTCTAAGACTTGTGGGTTTATGGCGTATAACTTGGAGGTATTTTCGCGTTTCGCCGTAACAAGTTTCGGGTTTGAAGGTATAGGTGGACTTAGTTTCCGCACTTAGACTCATAATTGGTCCGTTGTGCGTAGTTTTGCGGGTTTGAAAATATAAACGCTTCAATGTAGGACGATTTGTAAGTTACAAATAAAGATAGAAAGCTGTCTGTACTTTTCAAAAGTTTTCAGAACTCAGTTCTTTTAATTCTTATTTCTGTAGGACCTCTGGGTTCATAGTTAAAGCAATTATGCAATTTTCCAGTTCCGCCGTAACAGGTTTGTAGGTACATATTCTAACTGAAAAAATCTTCAATTAAATAAAAAAAAACAGGTTATGGTTTCTGATCTTACAATACTATTTTTAGGTAAACGTAACAATGCCAGCGTTCTTCTTCAACACGGAGCAATTTATTCACGGACGCATTATGGCCAACTATACCTCTGGAGCTCCGGTACATGGAAATCTTACTTTGAAGGCAACGCTTCGTCCCATACCCCAGTATCGTCCCAGGGACTTTAGGAAACAACTCGAACTTGATCCTTATTCTAGAGGTCAGTTTTAAAAATAATAACGCATTGTGAAGTATTTTTTTGTCTGTATGACTGTATATGATTCTGTAATTTTATATTAATTGATAGATTATATATTTCGTCTTATCCTTAATACACACAATAAATTTTGCTGCTAGTGTGTTTACTAAATAATAATAATAGGAAACAGAAAGCTTACTATATAATTTTTATAACGATTCCGATTTTAATATAAGGTTTTCGTCTCACGTAAGTGTGTGATATCAGTGCTATGGAAATTTAACGAATTCATTTTAGAAATTGGTTTTAATGGAACTAAAATTTTAGGGAGTTCCAAGAATCAATTAATTAAAATTGGTATAAGTTTTACACAGTATTTAGCAGGCATAATTCCGACTATAATATTCAAAAATTTTTAGCTCGTCCAAACTATAATCCCTTCTTATACAACGAGAGTGGCTACCAACCATTTGAATTCGGACAAGAGGATAACACACATGTGAACTATCGTGCTGGACAGCCTAATCAATTAGATCACCCCGACTGGTGGTATGACCCACAGAAGGTTGTCACCCGGCTGTTTAACTTTGTGAGTGTTCTTTATATTCTTTATATATTAATTTTAATATTTAGTTATAGAGGTGCTTATATTTTGTGGGTTGTTGTTGTTTACACATACCTCTGACATCTAAGATAATAAAAAATAATGGTAGACAATTTTTTTTATATCATGGGAATGTTTAATGGTATTAGGAATAGTCAAACACGTAATGATTTAACAAGTATAGACGATATTTTACAGCAAGTGAAACTTGTTCTTTCTTAGTAACCTTTTCATTATATGATTCAGGTTCCATGTAAAATTTAAATTTATGTTTTAGTCCAACTTATTAAGCATATACATAGTACGTTCCTATTTTATAATTCAATACTTATCACCCTTATGATTATAATACTTTAAGTAATTCAGAATTGTAGAAATGTAAGAAAAACAAGAACTTTTATCTACACACTAACGTGCACGTACACACGTACATGCACCCATTTTGTGTTTACTTTGATATGAGCTACAAATCCTCGCACAAGTAAATTCTACAGTTCCTTGGTCATCGGGGCGGTTTAAATAATAGAGGATTTTATTTATAACTATTAACTATATATAAACCTCTCGCGTACAACAATAAAATATAAGCGAAATAAATAAATGCTTATTGCTATGAAACGAATGCTTAATGTTTGTAATGTAAATGTTAAAGAGAGTTCCTGCTTCTGGTTATACTCTCGGGGCGTAACTTGACGATTTAGGAAATCGTCACGCTTATAAAACTAAGAAACCCCGAGTGAGCTGTACAGCCTTGGCTCGTACAGCTGTTACTTAAGGTTTCCAAATCTTACCATTGTTATCAATGTGAAACTGTGTTTTGCTTTTAACTCGATTTTATTTATATGTAATGCTTATTCGTAGGATGAAAAGTACCCCTTTTGGATGCCAAAACCAGGTCCAATAGAGTTTGCGAATCAGGCGAATCAACCTCATTTGAATCCAAACTACAATACGTACAGTACATCGTCCACGTACAACTACTACAATAACAATTATGATCAACTGCCGTATCTGAGATTTGTGAGTATGCCTTTAGTTTTTTGTATAGAATGTTTACATATTCGCTACTATTACTACGCTTGAGCGGGAAACTCTAATCCCCGAGATCGTAGGTTCGAACGCCACTGGGAACGAACTTGCTCGTACGGGGAAGAAAAATTTCGTAAGGAAATCGGGAAAAATTAGTATTATGTTCACAAATAAATACAGAAATCTGAGGCCAAGATTGGTCTTGGGTGTTGTAGCGCCACTTGTTTTTTTTTTCTAAAATATAGAAAGTAAAGTGACCTTATGAACAAAGGCTTTTAGTTTATTTTTTAATAAAATAGACGGTAATTTTTATGTTTATATTATCATATTGGTTTATCTGTTATCTTAATAAGCTAAACATTGATTTATTGTATCAACATAGACCTGTGGAACACTAAAAAGTACTTAAAAAATAGTTTGGAAAATCCAAAAGTGCACGCCTCATAGCGGTCATTCACATTTTTTTTAAAATTCTAAAACAAAAACTCAAGTTTTTTAAAACAAAATAACAAATAAATTATTATCTTTAAGTACGCTACGAAGAATATTTAAAAATACATATTTAGTGGCGCCATAACTCGTAAGATGAGGAACAGTCGTATTTTAGTTTATTACAAATTATAATTAAACGACAGTACTTAGAACGCTAATATTAACTAGGAATCAGCCCAGGGTATAACTTTATATAATAAGAAAAAAAGTATTCTGGTACGATAAATTTTTCGACCAATTTCTCTGCCACATACATGGATCCATAAACACAGACTGACGGACGTCCAAGAATGATTGATTTTAATGTTATTATTTACTATGTTAAACAAAATAATTGTTCATAAAAAATACCATATGTGCTTGATAGATTATTTAACTCGATTTTAGTGCACTCATATTATCCTGTAAGTGTTATATTAGTGAGAAAAAAGTCATTCAAGTTTCGAAAGACTGGGTTTTTTGACATGTCGAGAGTAGAGCACTGCGAGGCGTGCAATAACTTTATATTTAACCTGCATTAACAGTGTTGTAATTTTTTTTTGCGTTGAATTTTAGCGTACGTGTTTGAATTGCCGCCAGACAATATTTATTAATTAAGGACTACCTTACAAATAATATAAATCCTATAAAAAAACTTAGTACCAATGTAAATCTTGTTTCATAGGGTATTATTTGACTCATTAATTTTTCAGTTCAACGGCACCTATGACTTCAAGTACCCAATGTCCGAGTTAGCCCAGCTGGTACCAACTCTCGATGGGATGGAGGTGATAATAACAGCATCTGTTGGAGATCCCTTCCTCAATGAAATTATAGAGGGTTACAGCATCGCGAGAATATTCAACTCATCTCTTTCTGTTACTTTTTTGGGAGGGGAATTGCAAGTGTTCAAGCCGAGTATGCCGTTTGATGTTTATGTAAGTTTTTTTATAGGTTTTATATGAACAGTTTCAACCCTTAAATGCGTTTGAACCCTGATTCCATCAATAGCTTTTAACCAGTCAACTAAAAAATTATTATGAAAATATAATTAGTAACGAAATCAGGTGGAATGAGAAAATGTTAAATATCACAGATATGGTTCGATAAAAAAATATTTACATTTACATTTTTCTCTAAAAATTTCAACACACCCGGCACCCCTATTACTGAATCGAATAACTTAGGTCTAATAAAGGAATATTAAATAATTATGATTATTTCTGTATCTAGTCTGTAAGTAGTCTTGGATATATATAAAAGCTATAGAAGGCGCAACCCTTTATCACTGGCCTTGCGGCAAAGTTAATTCAGATTAGGGTATAACCGCCTTTACCGGGGAAAGAGTGGTCCTTTACTACGTACTTTGCTCACTGCAGTGAGCTTTCGTCCTGCCCTTCAGGCAATTGACCACCCCGCAACGGCCCAAGCCAAGGTCCGAATCTCGCAAGAGACCATTCTGCCCGAAACATTATTGTTTAAATATTTTGATGTAACTCTTGAACCACAAACAATATTAGGAATATTTGGGCGTCGGTCGGTTTTCAATTTGATAAATAAATTATCAGATGGTGGTGTCATACCATGATGGATCAAAACTACCAGAGTGGCAAGCACTGGGGATATCATTAGTGGTGACAGGTCAGCTTGAGGGCAGGGGCGGAGCCCTAGAAACTTTGCGGCCTACGCTTGTACCGGGACAAAACGCTGTGTGGCATCTCAAGATGGATTTGTTTAAACTGTTGCGTGAGTATTCTTTGATAAGCATTTTCGTATTTACAAGGATATATAGAGATAAGATTGTGATAGTTGTATTTTACCGGTGTCCAAAACACGCATATAAAATAATGATCTAAATATAGTTTAATTTAGTAAGTTGTCTCTAAAATAAATACTTAAGTGTATATTAAGCACAGACCGGAAATTCTATGAAATAAAAGGTCTATTTTTGATTTAAAAGATTTTTAAATTAGTTGACTGTAAGTCCATCAATTACCAGAAATATCACATTATTCAATATCTGACACAAATGTACAATATTTTGCCAATGGAAAATCGAAGATTCGGTTTACACCCTAATAAATTTTTGAACGCCCCTTTGTATGTGTTTCTTTGATTATCCATGATATAATTAAGTTAAACAAATTTCAAACAGGTCTAGAAAACGACCCCAACTACCGCGAAACTTTAGCGGGTATAACGGGAATACGTTTAAACGCGCAACTGTCTGACGCAATGGGTGCGCGTGCGTCCGCCGACGTACACCTCGTAGCGCATCATTCGCCTAACCAACATCATATACGGGTGTCTACTAGTACTACTAATGCTAGAGTAAGTTTTTCTATATAATATGTCTGAGGTAGAACGTGACCAAAAAATGGGAAATATACTTAATTAAATTTAAAAAATTAATAATAATATAATAACAGTCATTTTACTGATAAGGATCAAGTGTAATAAAGCAATAGTATGTAACTTATTTAAAGTGAAAATTGAATGAATACACATTCTTATTTATTTTAAAACAAAATGATCTGACTAAATTTGATTAAGTATCGTGAAATCAGTTACTAGAATAAGCACGTAGTCTGTCTCTTAGTATAATTAAAAAAAATATTTTTTTTTACATTTGAAGCAAATTCTTATTTTTTATTTATCTTATATATTTCATCATTTTAAAGGATATCAATTTATTTAGCCTTTAAAATAATTATTGTGTTATTGCTTTTAGGTGGGAGAATACATAATATTTCATGTTGAAAGTAACTTTTATATGGAAACATTCAGTTACGTGGTCATGTCTAAGGGCATTATTCTGACTAGCGGACAAGAGAATATGCAGGTTTGTTGGAACTGAAATTAAAAATTTAGGAGTCAATAATATATAATATTAAAATAAGTATAATAAACATAGCCTCATAAATGTGTTGGTTTTTGCAATATTCAAATTTCTCTAGTGATTTTCGTTAATAAAATACCAGTATATATGGTTTTGGTTTATCAGGATATGTTGCCCTGTACTTAATGAAAAACCTTTAAAAAAATAATACCGTAGACTCAAGTTTATGAAATAAAATATTTATTTCTGGTGAAGTAATATAATTATTTTAGCTTTAGTAAAGAAGACAGATAACCTTTTGTATAAAATAAGCAGAAAATTGTCTTAATTACCTCATTTTTGAGACTGTTATTTGTATCACATTATTTACTTTTTATTTACACATTGAAACACAACTGTACAAAGGCCACATTTTAAGTAAATATAGGAGAATATTCATTACATACACCTATGCAATTGATTTAAAAGATTTCATTTTTCTAAGTGATTTTTGTTATTTTTCAACTTGATTTTGTGTAATTTAGGAAGGCGTCCGTACATTCGCGGTAGTGTTGTCAGCTGAGATGGCGCCGGTTGCCACGATAGTTGTATATGCGGCGCAAAGACGTGCAGTCGTATTGGCAGATTCCCTCACGTTCCCAGTCAACGGAATATCTAGGAATAATGTATGTATTTTATATATGTTCAACATCCATTTATTACAATTAAGTTTAGACAAATTTTTGTTTTGACGAGAAAAAATTTAAGCTGTACTTTGATTAAATACGCTAAACTGTAGTTTAGTAAACCTATAAAATAAGTCAGTGATAATTAGAAAATCTTTTGAAAAAAAAAAAAATATTTTTTGGCTTTTGTGGGAGGTCAGTGCTATTCGCTCAAAATAATTGAGTTATTTAAGAAATTTTTAACAAACCTCTGTATAAAATTATTAATAATTTTCAATCCAGTTTTGTCAAATTAGCTTTTTGTATAAATATAATATTGTTTATAATTTTGTTCTCTAGTTCACCGTATCAATAAACAACAGAAAACACCGCACAGGGGAACGAGTAGAAGTAGCTATATACGGCGAACCCGGCGCGTATGTCGGTCTGTCTGGAATTGACAATGTATTTTACACTATGCAGGCTGGAAATGAACTTACTTATGCCAAGGTAACTTTAGAAACAGTAAAAGCATCAGCTTGTTATACCTTAATCTTTTTCGCCTTTCTCCGCAAGTATCCCACCAACGCAGCCTCGGTCTACCGGGTTTTGAGTTTCGTAAGGACCTCATTGGGGCACTGTCATTGCCCATTGGTGTACATGTCCCAACTACTTGAGCCTGTTGCATTTTATAAGTTGGGCGTTGTTAGCGTCGTCAAGGATGTTATAAAGTTCTTCATTGAAGCGAATACGGCAAACGGGCCAAAAGCTTCTTCTAAGAACCATCCGCTCGAAAATAAGAAGAGAACCCTCGTTCTGAATCTAAAGTTGCAGTTTGAAAGTTTTGCTATAAACAGCTATTACGATTATTTATTACTGACATTTTAGAATGGAACCCAAATTTGTATGTTATTTTTAAGGTAATATCAAAAATGTCCCAATTCGACGAATCAACAAACGGTACGTTCGCGTATACGTGGCGTTCGCACTTTGGTGACGCTGACGAACTCGTATACTTTCCATCAACAAGCTTTGGTATCGATGCAAATAGGACACTCGAGTGAGTATTATTAGTATAATAATTTATTGCCATCTAACATATTATATAAAAAAACATATTGCAGGCTTGTGATATAGTGATAACGAACGTAGACATATATATTTCATTTTAAATTATTTTGTGTTGAGCTAACTCAATATTTGGTAAGGTTTACAAATTTTTAATACGATTTCCCGATTTTTATTATTGCTTCTATTTTAGACACAAAGGTCTATAGAACTTGTTAATATTTTTTAGTAACAATTTTACTTAAGAACTATGTTACTACCTATTTTATATATATATATATATAGCTTGAATGAATTGCTGTTCGTTGGCTTCGCTAAAACTTAAGAAAGGCTGGATCGATTTAGCTAATTATGATCTTCAAATATATGTGGAAGTTCATTTTCAAAAATATTGTCTTAAGTTTTAACGCAAATATATATGTAGGTATGTGATAAGTAGTTCACCAGGTCTAGAATAATATTTTTCCTTTCAGGTACTCAGGTCTAGTCGTATTCAGTGACGTAATGGTGCCGCGCCGACATAGTAACTGCAATGCCACTATGGGATTGGCTGAGTGTTTGGATGGCAATTGCTATGCCGTGGAAAAACGATGCGATGGCGTGGTCGACTGTTCCGATCGGACTGATGAGTCTCATTGTAAGCTTCTAAAATATTGTTACATTTTAAAGGGTTTTGAATGAAAGTCTTACGATTTATTAAGAGTATTAATATAAGTAAAAGAGCTAAACTAGTTTAAAGAGGGTTTGTTAATTAAAATATTTTTAATTTCAATTTTAAAAAAAACTTCAAAGTTTATAGATTTTTTCTCCGCATGCAAAAATTGCGCTCATAGCAAGTGTATGTGCAGTCTACACATAGACTCGTCTAGCGACGAATCTAACATAGAAAATGTATAGACCAATTTTATTGTTAGGCCCCCGAGACAATTCCTTCGAGCTAAGCCACTTCCGAAAATTCCGATTCAACCGAGTCCAGCGACAATACGATAATGTGTGGATGTGGCGGGACGTTAATATCGGACCCCACGGGCGATATGTGTTCACCCTCGATGTTCCCCAAGTTCCTGCCCATTGGACTGTATCTGCCTTCAGTATGTCCCCATCTATGGGACTTGGCATGACTGTGACGCCGACGCATGTGAGTATCAGATAACAAATACATAGCTGTACTGACATTGGGTTTCATATCTTTATAATTGCACTTTTTGTCTCTTTCTGTCTCTTTACTATAGAGTACAAAATATATAAAAAAAGGGTGCGTGTACGCGCGTAAGAAGTTATACTTCTTTGGCATTATTAAAAATAGTTTTTGATTCCATGCAAATAATTAATTACAATTAAGTAATCAAAGACTGGAAAAGGAGTCATTATAGTCAATAAAGTTCAGTTTACATTTTAAAAATTAAATAAATAAATATAATATTATTATTCTCTTACATTAAGTGTAACATAAATTCTATTATTATTCGAATGTTGTTTTTAAATTATGTCCAATGCCGTAGCATCTTCCGTGGGCAACTTCATTCTGATAATTTTGTGTAACGGTGCGCGCGCATCGTAAAATTTCACTCTCATCAATTTTTCATAACGTGCCTAAAGAAGTATAACTTCAAAAATATTTGTCAGATTATGGTTTTGTACTTTTATACACAACGAAGAAATAGTTTTTCTACATACGCCGCTACGTTCGTAAGCTGCGTTCACACATTCATATTCATGTTTTAAAGGCCTTGATTGACAAAAATCTGAAATATATAAATAAAATGAAAGAACAATTGATGAATTAAAAGGCGAGGTTAATAAATTTTCATAAAAATAGTTGAAAATACTGTATAATGTGTAGTTAAAAATAAAAATTTTGAAAAGAAAATCTTAGTGAACATATATTAGTTAATAAATGTTGTTGTATTAGTAACAAGCTTGATATTTTTATTGCCTTTGTATCCTTCATTTTTAAGCAGTATTTTCCTAAAATTATTTTTTTCATGAAATTTCACAGTACGAAGGCATACTACCGTTCTTCATAAAGGTGGAAGGACCCGACGAGTCACGCCAGGGTGAACAGCTAGGTCTTCGTGTGGTTGTCTTCAACTACCAACAACAGGACATCGAGGCCGTCGTAGTATTGGCTTCTTCACCGGACTACATGTTTGTACATGTCGAGGAAAATGGTATCGTAAGTAGCTTTTAGAAATTATTATATTACAAAGTGTACTAAAAATCATAATGTCGCTGTATAGCTTGCCAACTAGTGGACTGTGAAATTTGTATTTAAATTTAAATGTAATAAATGTCTAAGTATCTGTGTAATATATGTATTAGCAAGCTGCACTAGATAGCTAAATATAGTGAGGGTGAGACCTAAGAATCTAACAACCCTACGGATCCTAAAGCCCTACAGATGTTCCCGAACACATAAATAGTGAATATGTAAATAAGTACGGGATGTCTGCACCAACAGACCTAAGGTAACAGACGGAGCCCTACGGGTAGGATCAAAGGTTCAAGTCTTCTCCACTTTGACATAAGACAGCGAGCAATATTCAAATCTGATTTATTGTTATAAAACAATATCTTAGATACTATTTACTCCTATTCACAAGACATAATATTATTCATGTGTTCTGTTGGTGCATCGAGCATCTTCAGCTGTTACAATTTAGAACCACCACGTGAGCCGTGTCAGCAGTTGGTCAATGTTCAATTGAAATCTGAACAGTTGCTTTTTACGTCGTCTAATGTTGCAAATAAAATTTTTTTCATAAAAAAATAAATTAAAATAGAATTAGATAATCTGTGTAAAACATGCCTTTACTTTTGTCGGAGATTGATTTTGATTGAAATATATGTGTTTTTGTGTAATTTAAGAATGATTATTAACACGTAAAAAACTTGAAGTTTGTTTACGTATACAAGCATCAGGTCATAGGGAATGGTGGTGTAGAGAAGTCTTTTGACGGGTTCTTAAAATATGAATTCTTATTTTTGCAGCCAATACTTAACAAAATTAAAAATCTCTTTGTATAGGTTGTGTAGTCAATACTCTGAAATGGTTATTAATATCCTGTCAAATTAATATACCGGTTTAGTTTGAATCATGGGGTTTTAATGAAGTTTAAAAGCGTGGATACCTTTTCGTCGTATAAGTAGGAGACTTTTTCTGACCATGTGAATAATACTTGTATAGTGATAATGTAATTATATTTTAAATATTATTTTCAAACCCTCAGGTTCGTTCATACAACCCGCGTACGTCTTTCGGCGAGCACCAATTCTTCGTATACATAATTGCTGGAGACGCGGCTACCGTTCACATTCCAATCGTTCCGGCACGTCTTGGAACCATACATATCAACATACATGCGGCCACTTTGCATGGGATACATCGCGCTACTAAGACCATTCGAGTTGAGGTAATTAAAAAACATTTCTTTACTCAGTTTTCTATAACTATCTATATCTTATATTTTATGTCACTAGAAACTCATGTTTTTTTGTCAACTACAATTAGTAAAATGTATGTTCGTAAATTCTAACGGTTTATTATTCTACAATTAAAAATATTTTTTATTTTATTTATTTTTATTGTACATATGGGTAGATGAAATAACCACCACTTATATATTATATGATTAATATCACAAAGCGCACTGGCGCACGCAGTACACCCAGGCGCACCTGCGTGCACGCACACATACGCGTAGAACAAGCAAGACCAGTTTTAGTGGTTGCGTTCGAGTGTCGATAAAGTTTCAATAAAAATTAATATGAGAATGTTAGATAATGAATATTGTAATGTCCTGCTTCTTGGAGTGATTTACGGCTCACCAACACCACAACACTTGTACAAACATCCTACACACAACCGCTCCGTTCGGATGTCGGATTACGACTGACAGTCTGACAAGTGACGTAGGCGCATGAGACAACCAAGCAACACTTTATTTAGTCAATACACTACATCCCTTTTTTGTTTTATTTGTTTTTATTGATTAGATCTCCCCTGATTACTCATTAATGTAACTTATATTAAATTTCATGTATATAATGGATTTTACATGAATCAAACATAATTAATGAAATAAAGGTTTTATGCATCTACACTAGGGTTAAGTTCCGACATTCATTTCCTCGTCGTTAACTTCATTTCTTTTCAGACATTCCATTCCCCTTGAACTCTTTTCAAATGTACAACGTCCCTCCTTCGAGTTTGACCGGTTTCATCGTTTCTTACCGTGATATCACCTCCTTTCGTGATTTCCAATGTGTGTGTTTCTGGATTTATTTATTTTAATTTTATTATAATTTATTTCCTTTATTCATATTTTTATATACACTTTGCTCCTGGTATTAAATCACACTATTCAGCCTTCCGTTTCCTTTTCCCATTTTTTTTTCTTTCTTTTTTTTTTTTTTTTTGATCTCTATCCTTAACCTAAGTGTCTTGTGTTGTCCTCTCTATTGTATCGATTACCATAGGTAATTTATCTCTAAACATCCTTTTGAAGAAATGTTCTGATGGGGTTCTTCCAGTAAACATGGTTAAATATTCCAGTAAACTTTCCTTCCAGTCTGTATTTTTGTCTTTCGACCTCTCCATTTTGTTGCGGCCAGTATGGTACTGTATTGAAAAGAATAATGTGTCTTTCTGTTAGAAATGATTTAAACTCTTCGCTGATGAATTGTCTTCCATTATCTGCAGTTATTGATTTCCTAATCGACTGAATATTCCTTTAAGTTTGGCTACAATTTCAGTAGAGGTAATTTTGCGACAAATCTTCACTTCTTTATACCTGCCGTAATAATCGACTACAACAAATATGTGGTCACCACTTGTAATGAATTGCGATATCAATCCAAGGCTATTCTGGCAACTCACGCCGTTTCATAGGGTTTGGTGAACATGGTGCAGATACAAGAGTACATCCTTTACAGGCTTTTACAATATTCTCAGCCTCTTTGTCGCATCTAGGCCACCAGACTTTCGTACGAAGTCTCGCCTTCATTGACTCGATACCTGGATGTCCCTCGAGTGCCGAGGGAACCATAATTCTCATTCCTCTCAATAATATACCCTCACGAAAACAAAGTTCATTTTGTAAGATTTTATACAACTTCACGTCGTCGATCTATATGTTCCGATTAGCATCTGCTATGACAATCGTACGATCGCTAACATTATAATACCCTAAGCTAGGAATATTTGTCATGATTTCCTTCAACGACTTAAAATACCCCTTTTGTTCTGGTCCCCAGTTTTCGGTTACATGATATGCCAAACATGACTCTCTTGTATCTGAATAAGCCTTTACTCGTTATAAAGGTGGTTATGTTTCTTGAAGCAGGATCTATTTCAAGTTGGTGAAATGCGTCTTTAATATCCAATTTTGTAAATACTTTTGCATTTTTCATTTTAGGTAGCAACTTGTCCATCGTCGGCAATGGGTGATTTTCACGTACAATGGCTCCATTTTCTTTCAGCACCGGCACTACAGGGGACCCCCATTTAGAAGAACCCACTACCGGCTCTATAATATCCCTATGTTTAAGTTCTTCTTCCTGTCGAAACGACCTTTCTTTTGTTCATGTCTATATTATTATAATATTTGAACTTTCCGCTTCAACATCTGTTTCGTTCGGCAGTATTGTCTGAAATGTCCCATAAGACCACACCTAAGGCATTCTTTATTCCTTGCTGGGCATTTTGCATAATTTCCAGCAAGTCTAAGTTTACTAACATTTACCGAATCCATGTAGAAAATTCTTTAATTTATCAAAGTTCCTTTTAAATTTACTATCCATCCTGTTTACTTCTTGATTCTCATTTGATTTCAGTTGGTTTTTAAACTCGTCTAATTGTTAATTAACAACTTCAAGAGTATTTGCTTCGGTGATTACTTGCTCTAATGTAATTTCATCCCCAATCTGTGATATCGTTTTTCTCAGTTCGGGTAGAAAACATTTTTTCGTTATTTGGTCGATAATGTTTTCATCTCTGTCGGCAAACTGATATTTATCAGCTTGTTTTCTCAGTCTCACCTCATATTTTTTTTTTTCGTCAGGTTCTTGTTTAAGGAGCCTGAATATTTGTCTCTCGTATACTTTGCTCTGTTTTGGTGCAAAGTAGGCATCAAGTTTAGATATTGCTACTTCAAACACGTCTTTGCCTTCAGTTGGTTCGACATTAGCCCCAGGAATGTTGTAAAACACTTCCTGTAAGTCTAGCCTACCGAAATGTAGAAGAGAGGCCCTTTGCTTTACGTCTTTGTTAATGTTATACGCGTCGAGGTAAATGAAAAGTGCTCGTTTCCATCGCCCCCATCGTGCACCCATTGAGGTAGATTTACCGTTACAGTCGAACTTTTCCAGTGAAAGGAGTGACATCTTTGGGGCAACCAGGAATTATCAATTTAATGATTCAGATATCTATGTATCTGCAGTTAGATTTGATCTCAGATGCTTCCATCTCGTATCAATTTAATGATCGGATTATATTTTTATCCGCATAAAGCTACTTAAGCCGTCCATACCAACAAACGTATAAATTTAATTATCAGATTTTTAACCTGCTAAGTTAGTAGATTTTATCTTAGATGATCTTGTATCAATTTAATGATCGGATTATATTTTTATCCGCATAAAGCTACGTAAGCCGTCCGTACCAACAAACGTATAAATTTAATTATCAGATTTTGAATCTGCTAAGTTAGTACCCACTAACGTACAATAATAATTTTATTGTAAAGCTTTTATTTTATTTAATGGTATCAATTTAATGATCAGACTTTTAATCTGCTTTTATTTTTATTCACTGGTATCAATTTAATGATCAGACTTTTAATCTGCTTTTATTTTTATTTATTGGTATCAATTTAATGATCAGACTTTTAATCTGCTTTTATTTTTATTCACTGGTATCAATTTAATGATCAGACTTTTAGTCTGCTTTTATTTACTGGTATCAATTTAATGATCAGACTTTTAGTCTGCTTTTATTTACAGGTATCAATTTAATGATCAGACTTTTAGTCTGCTTTTATTTTATTTACTGGTATCAATTTAATGATCAGACTTTTAGTCTGCTTTTATTTTATTTACTAGTATCAATTTAATGATCAGACTTTTAGTCTGCTTTTATTTTATTTACTAGTATCAATTTAATGATCAGACTTTTAGTCTGCTTTTATTTACTGGTATCAATTTAATGATCAGACTTTTAGTCTGCTTTTATTTTATTTACTAGTATCAATTTAATGATCAGACTTTTAGTCTGCTTTTATTTACTGGTATCAATTTAATGATCAGACTTTTAGTCTGCTTTTATTTACTGGTATCAATTTAATGATCAGACTTTTAGTCTGCTTTTATTTCTATTTACTGGCATCAATTTAATGATCAGACTTTTAGTCTGCTTTTATTTTTATTTACTGGCATCAATTTAATGATCAGACTTTTAGTCTGCTTTTATTTTTATTTGCAGATATCAATTTAATGATCAGTTGGGTTCCAACTGCTTTGAGTTGATACTCCCTTTCGTTTTACAGAATTAATCACAACCACATAGTTTTAATTAATTTAGTGAACCAGATCCAATTTAGGGTCTTTGTTAAATCTGCGTTAGTTAGGTAGACAGGTACCTACCGATTTAACGGTCAACGGTTGTATATAAACCTTGCTATTGTTTTTATTATTATTATTTTTTGTAGACAAATAGAAACATCACTAACCACAAGCATAATCTTAATATATATAAATTACGTGTCACATTGTTTGTCCGTTATAGACTCCCAAACTACCGAACCGATATCAATCAAACTTGCACACCGTGTGCAGTTTGATCTAACTTAAAAGATAGGATACATCTCAATTTATACCCGCAATATTATTTTATTGCAAAATATTTGTTTCTTATTTAATAGTCACCATTCTAACAGATGGCGCTGTGTTAAAAGTACCAACGTTTCACATAATTCTTTCAACGTTTCTACAATTAAATGGCATAACCACCATAAAGCATGGTGGTCCCCATGACTCGTGTTCTCCTACCGTTTCCCTTGAATAGTTTACTACTTTGTAATATAACAAAAACCTTAGCCACAGCAACGCTTGGCCGGTCTACTAGTACAATATATTTCTATCACTATGTAGGTAGGTGCTACAAAACAATCGTACATTTAATGTAGGTACCCGTAGTTTAGATTAGCTGAACCTATAGGTCATTATTTGTTTATATCCTTAGCTCAGTAATTGCAGAGGTTTGTTGATTACTGTTTAAATGTAGGTACGACAATATTAAATATTGTAATACAAGCAAAACATTTATGAAATATGAAAACAATAAGTACCTAAGTGCTGTTCATATTTCCCGTCAACAATAAAATTATCTACATTCGTTCAGAAGTCAAGATGCAACTGTTTCTGCTATCAATAGCTAATGATTAAAACAACCGGGTCATAGTAAATTATAGGCAAAGTACTCTGGGAATGACGTCACTTGTTTAGTGCACCGTATCTTTCCCTTTTTTTTTTTTACTTATGTGTACTCACTTTTTTCCTCGTCGCCACATGTAATGTCCTGCTTCTTGGAGTGATTTACGGCTCACCAACACCACAACACTTGTACAAACATCCTACACACAACCGCTCCGTTCGGATGTCGGATTACGACTGACAGTCTGACAAGTGACGTAGGCGCATGAGACAACCAAGCAACACTTTATTTAGTCAATACACTACAAATATTATGTGGAATTAATAAATAATATGTATATGCTACATGTATAACCTTTAATATCGCCTTTGGATTATGCAATTATGTACTTAGTATAATAAAATTTATTTGACTAATTAAAACTCGCGTTTACATAACTGGCGCTAAAGTTGACTTGAAAGCGACTCGAGACGAGCAAAGTTAATAATGTGGTAAAATCATTATCAGAAGTCTGAGGCCAAGAGATGTAACTCATTGGATTTTTGAGCAATGTGAGTATAGAGTATCTAATAAAAGTACTGATATTTTCCAGGCGGACGGTCTCCCCCAATATCGGCATCAATCCGTACTCTTAGACCTTTCGAATCGTGCGTACGTATTCCAGTACATGCACGTCAACGTAACGGAGACACCGATAATTCCATATGAAGTGGATCGGTACTACGTGTTTGGGTCTAATAAGGCCACAATATCGATAGTTGGCGACGTCGTAGGACCGTTATTCCCAACTATGCCGGTTAATGCTACCAGTCTACTGGATTTGCCTATGGTAAGTGCTCGAACAAGTTTTTTATAATTAAAAGTAATTAATATTTTATTCAAACCTGACGAAATATTGATGAATTATTACAGTGTAACTTTAGTGTATAGTATTTAAGGTTTTTTTGATGTCATATAGCTACGCTACGCTCTTTTCTTGAAGGACCCTGAGTCACATTGGTTCGGAAATACTTCATTGGGTAGCTGGTTCCACATTATGTCACTATGGGCGGCTATAACTGCCTTTAATGTAGAGATAAATGTTTAATTAAATTAAATTAAATTTTGACTGATGACATACTGATAACCAAACACACTCTGTTATGTCTATTAAGTCTAGGGTCTATTTAATAAATTACCGTCTTAAATTCTAAATATTACTTCAGATTTTCACTTCAGAATGAGCCGAAAGGACTAAAATTAAGACGGTTATCCGATGGCTACGTGCATTTCCTTCGTATTATAATATGAAAAAGAATTAATCAGGAATAATGTTCTTTTAACCCGCAACTCACTCGGTCGTCACTTTAGATTCTGTGAAAATTATCTTTTACTATATAATTACTAAAGTTAAGGAATAAATAGCTTGATTATTTTGTATTGAATATAATACGATCGTCCGCGATAAAAAAAATGTTATGATACAGGAATCCGGTGAACAGAATATGTTCAGTTTCGCGGCAAACATGTACTTGACACTATACATGCGTCTGATCAACCAGAGGAACAGAACTCTTGAGAAGGAGGCCTTTGAGCACATGAATGTGCTTTATCAGCGGCAAATGTCTTACATGAAGCTTGATGGATCTTTCTCGCTGTTCAGGAGTGACTGGTGAGTCAACATCGTCTATCTAATGTATCTGTTTTTGTCTATATAATTATGACTATAGTTAATAATCTTAGACGGCTATAAATCAAACTATATATTACAATTTAAAAAAAAACTGTTTAAGGATTGGCTTCTCAACACACCTTACGCAGTTGGATATGCTACTGAGATCTAACATGTAGTAACACATTACTCACTCATTCGCTCGCATGTACCCACACACTCACTCATGCACTCACATGCACCCACATTCGAACACACAACACACGCGTGTTACGCGTAGCGTAATGCTGTTTGTTGAATATAAATATAGATAAGAGATTGTTGTGAACTGTTTGAAAATTTTTAAAATTGTAATTAAAAAAACATTATATTAACTTTGTTATGGAAGAGCTGGGAACCCTGACACTGGTACTTTTTACTTAAAAAGGTTTCCAAATCTTACACATTGTAATGCATATCTACTTATAATGAATAAACACATATTTTATTATTTTCACAATATACTCTGGTATTGTGTTCGTCTGTTTCTTTTTTTTCCATTAAGTACACAGCCGGGAATGGAACCTAAGACTTCGAGGGTGAGAATCGCACGCTGAAGCCACTAGGCCAACACTGCTGCACTCGAAAGGAAAAAATAGAATAAAAATATTCAATACATTTATACTAATAATATCTTAATACTAAGTAATATCTTATTGGGCTGTGTTGTGTGGTGTGGCGAAAGTGAGTGAGGTTGTGTATGTTGGGTGAACTGTTAAATAGAAATGGTGAAACAATATTTTGGTAACAAAATCTTAATCTAGTCTAGTGTTTTTTTGTTTGTGTTAACAACAGACAGTAGAGTAGATGTACCTACTCTAAAAATCATTTTTTTATTCAACATTAAAGTTATGTTTTTTACCTTGTAGGAACCAATCGGCGTCCAGCGTTTGGCTGACTTCGTTCTGTTCCAAGATATTTCAAGAAGCTTCGTTCAACGAGTGGGAAAACTTCATCTATATTGATCCTAATGTATGTTGATAATGTTTATTTTCGTGCAATACTCATATATTTTTAAATGTAAAAACATAGTTAACAGTCGCTTCTATTATTTTTTATTTGTTTACTCGATACTTCTATGGATATTTTTTTAATTATCATTTCTACCTTTGTTGCCCATATAGCAGACTTTTCTAATAAACAGTACATTAAAACATACATGTTTGTTTGTACGCCCCTAACATTTCATGGGGAGTTGATAGTTTAAAAAAAAAATAGTTTATTGAATAAATATTAGTTTTATGTCAGGCGGATTCTTTTCTCGGGATCGTCGCGATATTAGTTTTTAGCTCACTGTATGAAAGTCTAAATAGATACTTAAATATTATCTAATCCCAACAATACCACATAAATACAGGTCAAATCGATAACCTTCTTTTTTGAAGTCGGTTAAAAATAACACTATGAGTTTGAGTCAAAAAATGTACTTTACAGGTGATATCTTTGGCGGTATCGTGGGTTTTGGAACATCAAAGCCCGGAGGGTGCGTTTTATGAGACAACATGGCTGCCAGACCGCAATGCCAATACAACTATTACGGTTCCAATGGAGAGTCAGCTATATCGGGAGTACGGCGCTCAGCTAATGGGCGAAACGGTAAGGATTAAATCACATAAAACACTTAATCAAACTCTTAATCAATAATTAATAATGTTGTGTTGTATAATAGTTGGTGCGAGATTAATAAACGAGATTAATTACAGGTATATAAAAAAAATTTTGTATCAGAAATAAATATTCGAAACCCTATCTCCCAAAACTATATATGAAAGGTTTTTTTTTCTAATGTTCTTTAAGTCTTTTAATTTTTTTTCCTATGCGAATCAAATTTGGGACTTCGTACAAAAAGTTATTAAATCAATTAACATTGTGGTGTCTAAAAACATATATGCTACCAATTATTGAAATTGTGTTATTTAATTAAATTGCAATTTTAAAGTTTAATATTTAAATATTTTTTTCTATTGGTTCACAGGTGAACAATTCAATAGTACTACAGCGAAATATATCATTGACAGCCCAAGTTGTTATAACTCTGGAGTCTGTTAAAAATCTCAAGGACATTGGAGTGAGAGAGGTTAGTACATATATTAGGTTTTATTTCCAAAAAAATTAAATAACTGGTATTTTTGTTTGAGTTAATTTATTGATACCCTAATGCCAATAAAAAAAACGAATGATAATCCAATGCGGTCATAAAAAATGTTAAATAGATACCAAACCCTTAACATTTTCTATACAGTTAGCAATTAACAAATAAAATTACTTTAAAAAAAATAAATAAGATTACACGAAATTAACCACATTATTTTAATTCTTAAACAACACAACCACTATTCACATAATAATAATAATAAGTAACTTCTAAATCTGGTGCGAGCAACGAAGTGTGCCCGACCTTCTAGCTTTTTCTGCACGCTCCCTCGCGAGGGTGTTTAGGCCCATTCCCTTCGGGTAGTGTATAGATTCGCGCCCTGCTAATACAGAATGGTTCGGGTGCGGGCAATTAAGCCTTTGATGAGGGCTGTGGCGCGCGAGGAGAGGGCTCGACAGCGTGCAGCGCACGGCCCTACTTTTATAGCTGAAAACCAGTAGTCCTTCACTCCTACACATCACTTGAAATATTTTAGCTTTATATACATTATATCGAATATCGTCACAAAAAAAAATAAGATCTTCATCAGCAATGCCTTACCAGCCTTGTGGGCCTTAGCCTTCGCAATCTTTCACTATCGTAATCTATCTCGTCTCGTTACACCCATACCTGCTTTACTGTAACTAAGTCTTCATCAGTTTGCGATTATTTATAATTGACACACATGTTTTGTGGTCCCTAGTGTATTATTTTTTCTAGAGCCTCTATGTGTATTGTCAGTTTGTGTTAATCAATTTTGTTAAATATTTTTGTAGGGTCTTAGTGCGCAAGTAGCGACAGCCCAACAGCGAGGCGTGGCCTGGCTTGAGCGCCATTTACGTCTGTTAAGCGAATGGTCGGAGCCCTACGCGCTCGCGATCACCGCGTACGCGCTCGCGTGCGCCAAGGCACCCAGTGCTGAACATGCGTACAGGTTGTTGAAGAGGCGGCAAAGATCCGAGGGTAAGTCTCATAAGTAGGGGTAGTATACGTATATTTCCTAGGTTATTCGGGAAGAGAAGAAAAATTGGGAAATTAAAGTGAATATTTGTAACTGACTTACAAAAAGGTGGTTATCAGTTTGATCTGTGATATTGTTGGAATAGGATAATGTTTGAGTATGATTTAGGATTTCAGGGGCTTGTGCTAAATTTAAAGTATTCGGGAATGTCCGGAAACTAAATCGTGTCTTAATTATTATTTAAATTTGAACAAATAAGTTTACCTGATAATTTAAGGAATGGTCACTTTTTCATAATCGGGTCATAGTTTTTGAAAGCAGGGTAACCAGGCAGTTCTTTTCAGTATGGGTAAAATATTGAGGGTTCTATTTTTTAAAATTTTAAAACATCTTCCAATGGCGAATGGGGCAGACACATTTTTTACATATTTTTCATAATTTTCTTAAGGTCAGTCAGTCATTAGTACGTGCATAGTCGGAGATAATACTTTTACATTAATAAATAATTTAACATGTTCTCTATTCATCTAAAGTATCTAGAATATAACCGATATCTTCATACTGAGTTCTCAATTCTTATAAACCATCTTTACATTATCCCAGGTGGTCTGGTATATTGGGGCAAAGAGCCGGTCCCTCAGCCTCCATACAAGATGGAGAATCAGAAGCCATTCCTTCTACCAAGACTGCCGTACAAGTACGACTCCAATAATATAGCCACAACAGCGTATGCCCTGATGGCATGCATGGATCATCAGGTAATTAGTTTTGGACTAAAATTATTATATATTTTTTTATTTTATAAAATTTGAAAACCACTGTGGTTTGTAGTAATGTAATAATAGCTGTCTTGTCAAAACCTCGACATGTTTTTTTTTATAACTGACCGGATGGTCCATTTATTACCCGTAGTAAATACTTAAATGTTCTTGCACCATAGACGTTGTCGTCTCTCGAAGTACTTCGCCGAACTTGGGTTAGAGTTCCGGTCTGTACGTCATGCTCGATTAGACGACATTTATTCACTTTTTCTGTTACATATATTTTACAACATATTAATTATATGTTCATAGATTTGGTAAGATGCTGTAGCGGGTCACACTACTTTTAAATAGTTTTACATATATTTTATGTTTTGAATATATGTGTGGTTGTAAAGTGACGTCACTGATTGTAACTCCCTAAAACACCGAAACTTTTAGATTTTGGTTTGCCAAAGAAAAAAAATAGTTTGAACTCTAGTTTTTATTTTTATATTTTAATAATTATTGCATATGCCACTAGAGTATGTGCGGAAAGAGAATCGGAGTGGCATTTGTCACTGACTTGAGTCAGCATTACCGCCTCGCCAGCTCTTTCCGCACAATCACTAGTAGAATGAGTTTAATCTAGATAATTATTATCAAATATCATATAGATAGCGAAAGTCGGGTTCAAATTTAAATGTAAATAATATATTTCAGGATAATAATGAACAAATAGTGATGTGGCTCAACTCGCAAAGATTAAAAGATGGTGGATGGTCATCAACACAGGTATGTGTTATACTTTAAGCTATTTAAATAAAAAATGTACGCGATTAGAAGACGAAAATATCTTTAATATATTGACAAAATAGTGGATAGTACATTTATTTGTGGCTATGATCGCGGTACTACTGAACTAAAGCGTGAAACCGCGGGTCACAGTTATTTATAAAGTTTCATAATTCTCGAAGATTCTGTACTTTTTCGGTTTTTAACTACAATAAAAAATAAGAGTTGCGCTACAATCTTTTAGGTCTGGGCCTCGAATGTGTATCTGTTTGTCCATGTAATAGGCAAGTTGGCTTTTTGGGTCTAAGGCAAGCCGGTTACTTGGCAATATTTTCCGTCACCGTTGGAGTGAAATGCGCACATAGAAAGTCCTTGGGTATATACGGGGATCGAACCTACGACCTAAAGACCACTGCTCTTAATTACAAGAATTGTATAAAATTCTATACTATTACAGGATACATACATAGCTCTACGTGCACTCATAGAGTATACGAACCGAAAGCGTCTACGTGACGTGAGCTCGTTGACGTTAACTGTGGACGCTGTGGCTTTGAATGGGACTACGAAGACATTGCACGTCGATAATAATAACTTGGCTGTTATGCAGAGTATTGAGGTATGTAGATAAATTAATATGGATTTTACTTGAAAACTACTATCGGGTTTAATCGCATTTTTTTTTTAATTTTTTACTTAACTACACGTTTTAAAGTCTGTGGTCAGCGAGAGACTGCCAATGAAATATTACAAATGGCGTTTAGTTAGGCTAGTTATTTGTAAACTTGATGCAAACTTAATGGAATTAGTAGGATCTTTTGACGGTCATTTTCCCGCCAGATTCCATCAGCGTGGGGCACAGTCAAGGTGACTGCTCGTGGGGCAGGATATGCTATCCTGCAAATGTCAGTGCAGTACAACGTGGACGTACCAAGGTTCCAGACGGCGCCACCGGCACGGTCCTACTCGTTACTTGCGCACGCGCAGTATTACGGACGGAATCAGTCTCATATTGATTATCAGACATGTGCCAGGTATAAGAATAAATTATTACGTTACTTATTTAAGCATATTACTAAAATGTATATATTAAAACATATCATATGATGTTAGTACAAATCAATATTCTTAGGTATAGGTAGATATTTTATTTATAATTTGCCAACTATTTACTGTCTTTATTAATGTATAACTTTTTTAAATTTCCACTTATATAGTTCTGCGACAAAGTTTATACATAATTTTTTTTAATATATGTAATATCTATGCACATAAAAAAGTATGTTTTTTCAGTTGGACGTTGCTTGAGGAATCACCCCGCTCAGGTATGTCAGTGATGGAGGTTCGAATCCCGACGGGATACATGATCCAGCAACAGCGTTTAGACGCCTACGTTCTATCACGTAAAGTCAGGACGCTACAACGAGCAAAATATACGCCAACAAAATTACTGTTCTTCTTTGACTATGTAAGTAGAAACTAAATTAAAAAAAGGATATTATAATATGTACTATTTAAAATAAAATAAAACTGCATTGGAAAAATATATAATTTAACTATATATCGTCACTGTAGAATGATAACCTTGTATGTAAAAAAACAATTTATTTTTTATTCTTAGACTCTTATGTCATTTTACTGGTATAATAATGAAATAAGGACTTATTTATGATATTAATAAATAAGTCCTTTTTACCATCCAAAACTATGGACAAAAACACATAATAATATTTTAACGAACATTGACGAAATGGATGTTTGGTTCTCTGGACATACGAGGTTATCATTCTACAACGACGATATATTGTCTCGTACAGTCACAATTAAATTATTATTTATATATTTATTTTTTCAGTTGGACCACGAAACGACGTGTGTAAACTTCACAATAGAGCGGTGGTATCCAGTAGCCAACATGTCGCGATACTTGCCTATAAGGGTCTACGATTATTATGCACCCGGTATGTTGTTTAATGTTACACTATTATGTATATCAAAAATAGTATCATAAGCTCTCTGTATAAACCGGTCACATATCTAATAAATTAAATAAATCACAATGAAAGTAAATAATTTAGTTAGGAAAACGCTTTTTGATTGCCTTAGATTGCATCTATTTTCTTTAATCTTCATCCTTTTTGTCGATTTTTTAGTCTTAAGACTGGTAATCTCACGATATATAATAATACATTTTATTTTTCTCCCATATTACATTTGATATATCGAGCACCTAGAAAGAAAACCTCCATCGGTGCACAGCCGGAGTTTGAAAGTACCACTAGTCAAATCAAAACCAAGTAATATTTTGTATAAATTAATATTGATTGTGATTTACAGAACGGTTCAACGAAACGATATTCGACGCCTTACCAACATATTTATTGAACATATGTGAAGTTTGTGGATCATCACAGTGTCCGTACTGTGCTGTTTATAACGCAGCCTTACGTATTGCTGTCACACCTGCGTTAGTACTACTCATGGTTGCCGCTAGATACATCACATATAGGGTGTTCACGTAACATGTGCAATTTTTTACTTTCAAAATGGTCCATTGATAAAGATTAAATTATAATATAAAGAGTTTTTTAACAGACTAACAATTTCGATGATAAAATAAACTATTATTATTTTTATTATTAATGAAAACCATATTGAAAATATTGTATTTTACCAGGTCCATGACTGTTTGGACTAACCCTTAAAATATATTAATTGTTGAATTAATTAAACAAAGCATTTACATCAAAAATAAATATTAGCAGCATAAATAAGACTCAACCATTTTGTAATAATTTAAAAACAGATGATGTGAACACAGTGTACGTATGTTACAGAATTTTCACTGCCATGTTATGCTACAAAAATTTCAAACATTCTATATTTTATCTGCTGATATTATAAGTTTGACTTAAAAAAATTGTGTGCAATCGTTTTGACAAACAAATATTTTACTTATCATAGGATACAACAATCATTAAATATTATTTGTATATATATTTTTATACCACCGGCTAGGATTTCATTTCCTCTTTTGTGCTATAACTGGTTGTATTATAGCAAATTCTTAAAACTTTTTAGTTTAAAAATATCCATTCCAAGTAGATTAAGTATTATTATAGTGTCCATTTAAGAAAAAGTATCAATTTCAAAGCAATATGTTAGCACACGTGAAATATATAGAAATGCCTATTGAGATTGATTTTGCTTATATATAGACTAATAGATTTAGCAGTGATACATGTCGCCCAATTATCATATTTTTTCCGGTGCTTTTTATAAGCTCAGATATTTTAGGTCTAACAAATGTATTTACTTGAAATTATATACAAATTCTAACTATAAATCATATTTGAATCTAATATGTATTAGCAGCCTGCAGCCTTGCTTCACGTCTACATATTTGTATATAATTATTAATATTATGTATGTAGCTTTAAGATATTTAGCATTTATTTACATTACTTTTGTATATCATAAGGAAAATGTGCACATGTCAATAAATTTTGCCTTATTAGTTAAATTCGATGTAACTAGTTTATAATATTTTCACAAAGATGTAAAGATATATTGTATGAATTGCGTATTGTAGATTAGTAATTATTCCAAAATGTACAAATGACACTCCCGTCCACATTTGATGACACCATTACGATTTTAAACATTGATATTTAATTTAGCTCATAATGTTTTGGCAAAGTTTAAAATAGATAAATGCCATACATAATATAATCAAAGAAATCAGTAAACTGTATTAACTTTTTATAAATAGATATTGCTACCTTTATGAATCTCTTTTTATAATTGTAGCTGATGCATGTTACTTAATTAATTTCCGTCCAAAATTACTATGACTGATTTTTTTTTACCTTTTGTATTTTGTGTGTAGTATTTTAAGTTGTAACAATTTGTATGGAATGAAATCTCAATAGATCTATTTTTAATAATGAGTATGTAAATACCTTGTTTTATTTATTCCCTGGTGGTCTGTATGCTTTTTTACAAACAGTGTGGAAAATTATTTAAATTGCCACTATTTTTATTTAGAATGGATTAATTTATAGAATAAATATCCATTTTACTTAATTAATATTTGGAAGTAGAAAAAGTACAATATCTAATTTGAATTCATTGCAAACCTAACATAAACAGTAAGTATAAAGTACATATTTGACGCAATGAAAATACCAAAGTCAGTTATTATATAAACAATTTTAAAAACTTTAAATAATTTATTATATAAGGGTTGAATTCCTATAACATAAATTGACTAAATAGATTAAACAAAAGATTTACTGCCTTTTCTTGACTTGTTTGGCTTTTGAAGCACTAGGCTTTGCACCTCCGCTAAACATTGCAGTTATATATTCCGACATTTCTGGGAAATCAGACATTTTGGTCATATTACTAATTTGCTTTAAGTCTTCTTTTGTTTCTGGATCATTCATCATTTTGGGTAAAATCATAATAAGGAATAGAGGCAGCACCATCATAATGACCATTGGGTTAAATAGGAAGTCAGTAACTCTCCATTGTTCTCTTGCTTGGAAGTATTTGCATCGAGACCCTGATTTCATTTTCAGAGGGTAGGGTACTTGAATAACCTGTGATGTCTGAATGTAGTTTACTTTTCTTGCTCTTATTTTGCCTTTGGAGTTAATTTCTACTCTGACGGGCTCATACATATAGTCGGGGTGCACAATTTCAACGACATACGACCCCGAAGGTACATTGTGTACAGTGAATGACCCGTCATTTTTTACGAATCCAATATACTCGCCACCATTAATATGTATTCTTGTGTCTATTTGCCAATTGCTTGCTTCGTTAGGTTCCGGTGGAAAAACTCTGCCTTCAACGATATACCTTTCTACACCAACTTCATCTTCAAATAAGGGTTGAGCTGATCCAGTGTGGACTGTGCACAGAACAAACTTTGCAAAAACAATTGGAATAATAACCGTTAAAATATTACGATTCATTTTAAAGTATTTATGCTTAATTACGTTTTATTAAAATCTATAAAATCAAGAAATGTGTATCAAATCAATCGACATATTATATATTTTTCAACGAAATTATGACAATTGACAAAAGAGGACTGTAGTCATTGATCATAGATTCTCATGTGATATAAGATAGCTCGTCACAGATATAACAGGCGTCAGTATTAAAAAAAATACTTTATGAAATGGGAAATATATACAAAACCCGAAACTAACTCTTCTATACAATCAAATTTTGTGAATTTAATATAAAGGGATCACTTTTATACTAGACAAGCCTAATTAGATGAACAATTTTATACAGTGTTAAGTAAATCTTTAATAGTTCAATTCGAACATACTCTGCAAAAAAACTATTGAGATATGAAATTAAAACATCCTATCGTTAGATGAAATGTTTGTCTTCAAGATTTGTTTAGCACTTGACAAAACTAGTAATTAACTGCAACATTTCAAAAGAAGGATGTACCTTTGATTTTTGAGAATAATTGAGAAGAGCAAAAATTATTGTATTTTACTACTTTGCATACCCTCGGTTTCATTGTAAACCTTACAATGAGAAAATTTTGAGAAATATTAATTTTCAATTCTCTAATAATCATGTACCACGTTGGGACGGATGACCGACACGACAAAACACGGAGTAACTGGAGGATCGGCAGCTTGACGTTTATTGAAATATTTTGTTCGGAATATGAATTTGAGAATCCACGATCGCATTCGAACATGCTAACCAATAGACAAACGATGCAGACAAATTATGTTATATACCCATCTATAACCGATTTTCTCTTTTGTGATTTTGAATAATGAGTGAAGAACTCATTATATTAGCATTATGGAAAACTTAATGCTAATATATTGATCCGTATGTATTTATTTATACCTAGGCTAGCTATTTCTGGGATTAAAACACTGATTCCACGTCATTATACTTAATAATGACGTGGAATAAACCAAAGAGCTATGAAAGGCTTCGGGCATAATCATGATATTCCATGACATGTTTATTCTTCTAAATTTATTTCTATTAGATATATAATAACCCAATTTTCGGAATTACAGAAATTATCTTCGTATTTATTTATACTATGTCCAAAAGGTTATCGTAAATGAATCTTAATTATTATACAGTGTACATCGTTACACTTACACAAACACCCATTGAAGAAAATATATAATCAGTGTAGCGTAGACCGCGCATCTGATCACTTGGCGTTTAATATTCAACAAAAATGATGAAATTTTTATTATTACTCGTGTATATCGGACTCGGGTCTGGAATGTCCATAGTGAATCCAGGTCCAAAATTCCCTCCCACGAAAGGACATGTATGGCCCAAACCCCAAGAGGAAACGAAAGAAAACAAATATTTTTTATTCAACCCTTCCCATTTTAAAGTAAAGGTATGTGTTAGAATAAATCGTAATTTCATGAGATAAAATTTGTAATTATTTTTATACATAAAAATTATATTATTTATTTCTTTACAAGGTAATAAATTTAAAAATTTCAAGGAAAAAATATCTATGATAATGACTGAATGCTGGTAGCAGCTTTATAATATTAATGTTATGAATAAATCGTAGCAGTACTTACTTCGAAACTCTTTGGTGAAAGTATTGATTTTGTTGCGTCCCTCTGGCAAATCTAAGCTCTGAAGGATATTGAAAGGAGCAATTTCTAACTAAATTGAACTCTTTAATCGAGCACTAATCATTAGGTTATCCGTAATAGCCATAATAATTTATGTTAATTGTATCTTAATAGAATGTAAATACAAAATACTCAACAGGTAGGCGAGCGCCGCCTGGATTGTTTATATGAAATCATGTTTATTAAGCAATAATGAAAAATCTATACATCATACTAAATAAATTTTACGGTCGTATTTCTTATGATTTTTTAGGGCATTTATTTTTTACTTTAATGTTCACTGATGTTTCGACATAAACTCTCTAATCTGGTCCAATAATTTTATGCATGCATTTAAAAGAAAACGCAGTTGCATGCAATTACATTGCGATAGTTTGAGTCGAATTTATTAATAAATTCAAAAATATCAAAAAAGCTAATTAAAGTACTAATTTCGGTAAACTTTAATTTAAGATAGATTATATATTTTTTAATTAAGTAAATTCCAATAAGTTATGTTAATGATTTAACGCCACAGACCAGTCAAATGATTTATTGCATTATTAGTACATATAGTAATTAATTCGCCCGCAAATCATGACGCCTCGTATTCAAATCACGGTGCATACTGAATTGATTGGTAAGATCCCTATTTATTGTAACAAGAAATTAAAATATCTTTCATGAACCTGTCTCACGTATAGCTGTGTATTTCCTACAACGCTCCTATCAACAGATGGTGTCAACTGTACAATGGCATTATAAAGTCCGTTTTCTCTCTCTCCAGACTTCGTCAAATTACACTGGCCACTTTTGGGTCCTTACTATAATTTTATGATATATTTTTTGCCTTTTTTAAAATTTTGTGTGAGCTTTCTTTAATTTCTATTTTATTTATTGTTTTATTGTAATTTTATGTAAGTAATTGTTGTGCATACTTTTAAGTTTTTTTTGTGTAATGTTTGAGGACCTAATAAATTAAAAAATCTATAGAAAATCAGTTGTACATAGAACGTTTATTAACACCTCTCGGATGAACACGTACAACTGTCTATCCTGCTATACCTGCGATATCTGCGATATATCGACAATTTCGTAGTTAAGGGTATGGACACCCCTACGTAAGAACATCCTGGATTTGACACCCTAGAAGTTCAGGAATAGAAAGTGCACCTTTGCACCATGTCTTCTGCGCAAATAGCCAGTCTCAATAGAGAATAATCGCCGTTGAGTCGGCCTGAATAACTCTATTAATTTGTATTTTATCATACAATAATATGTTACAGGTAGTTGGACAAAACTGCACAATCCTTGTGAACGCAATAAACCGTTATTCTTTCATAATAAAAAACAAAAGTGGATTACACCATCGGAGGAACCACGAGCGGCGTAGACGTCGAATTGGCAGGGATGAGAATTACCTGGGAGGTATCGATGAGTTGCAGGTGGACCTGACCGAATCCTGCGAAGAGTATCCGCATTTTGAAATGGATGAGAGTTGTAAGTGTACTTATAACTTTTATTAAAAGTCGGAATGAAAAGTGACACCACCCAAAAGTTTCACTGATAATTTTGTGGATGTTACATTTTTTTTTTAATTTTAAAATCTCCTGACACTACGATATGCCTACAAGCGTATACACACGGCCCTTAAATCAATGGCCATATCGGGACAATGGTGGGGATGAATCCTGAGCTTGCCCGAACCAATTTCTGAGTTAGGGTTGATAAATTAGGGTACGATTTGCCTACACATGAGGCGATCTAGGGTGCTCCCCACCACTTCCCCGATATTGTCTCTGATTTTAGGGATGTGTGTAGACGCTTTACTTTATAGCGCGTTTATTTAAAATAAATAATTGTAGAATTGGTAATTCAATGCGTTTAATTCGGGTAAAGCATAATAACCATATTGTGACCAACTGTAAGTTTATACCTGTACCTGTACTTTCTATAAATAAATCTACGTGTACCAATATTAAACTCTTTAGTATTCACAATTAGGGTATTGGATACCCAAAACACTTTCTGGTTTGAATTGGAGAAAATCAGAAACTAGTTACAATATTGTATGTGTATTTTATGAGATAAATTGATTTGAAAATGCACTCCTATAAAAATACCAAAAATTATAATAGGCTATACCGATAGCCGATACTTATGATAATATTATGTCCGTTCGTAGCATCAGAGTTTTTGCATTGCGTAACTGATATCGTGCCATACAAGAGATTAAAAGTAAGCAATTGTTTAAAATAAACATTCATATCAATTATTTACTTTCTAAGAATTAATAAACATCGTATTTACTAATATAAACAAAACACTTACGACTTGAATTAAGGTTAATGACCTTTCGTGGTCATTTGTTGTTGACATAGACAAATAGACGAATGACTATTATTAAAAAATATATATGTTTTTTTTACATGTGTCTTCACTAAGACATCATGTTAAAAAAAAAACGATCTAGCCTAACTTAAGACTAATAAGTAATTTAAGTTTAACCTAATTTACTAATCAAGATTTTTAACATAAGAAAGTGTCCAATTTCACTCACTGTTTAGCACTTAATACTAACGTGCACTAAGACTAATTCACTAGTTCAAATGGTTTTAACAAACCATTAAAAAATATGAAACTAACAATTATTTACGGGTTTGTCTAAATTTTTCTATGGGAGCGCATTTGGCCTTTCATATAAAACGACATTTAGGACAACGTATTTGCGCTTGCAAGCTTTTATCGCTAAAGGTTTTTATGCGAACCTTAGAAAAGATTGAGGTCAATTGGAATACCTAATAATTCTTATGTATGTGTATGGATTATGTAAATTCCTTTTATAAATAAGTTGCCTGTATCATTATTGTTTTTAAAATGAAGCGGGCGCATAGCAAACTATTGCGCACTGTTATCATTATGATTTATCGTAATTTCTGTGTAAGCAATTTATATACATTCTTCACCTTTACTACATATTTTTGCCTTCTTGGCTAATTTATTCACTTTGCCTACTTACAAATAACTAGACTACTTAAACATATTTACATAAATGTGATTTGAAATTCGGTTAAAAATATTTTTTTTACTTTGTTATCGCATACTATAAGCTAATGATTTAAAGGCTTTTCAGGTTTCGAAGTACAGCCTCTTGGCCTCGTTACTAATTTTTTTGGTCGTCCTGTAAAGTTCATTTTAATTTATTCTCTTAAGAATAATGAGCCCGTTTTATTGTAAATACAATAAAATTATTAAGCTATATTTAAACCCTTTTGCAAAAAGAACGGACACCAAGGGATGTTTTACATTCTAATGTCGATTTCAGTTAATTAAAATATTAAACTAAATTGTCTGACCTATACTGTACGCGTAAAGTGAAATAAGCCAATTTTTTGATGAATTCTTTAAAATGATGTACACGGCCAATGAATAAGAAGTGGTCATCAATAAAGACAAGTCCATGTCGCCAAAACGCAGGCTGTTGTGCGGACTGCCCCTGTGGAAGAGTCCATTTTTATAGACGACAATCGTCGCCTTAATTTACATTTACGACTAGTTGTCAAATCGAAATGGCAAGAAACTCTGCGTCCTTCTCTAGGATGGTTATTTTGTTTTGTTTTACATGATACGTGTAAGGTACCAAGATGATGTATGTGCTTATTGAATCACTATCTTAATTTCAGATAAACTAAACGTGTCTTCAACATCGACGCTGAGAAGTGCGTCAATTTGGGGAATCATACGAGGTCTAGAGACGTTCTCGCAACTCTTTTACCTGTCGAATGATCGTAATGTAAGGAATTTCATAGAGAGCTCTACTACGTGCAATAGAATTTATAAAATCAAAGCAGTAATGCCCTGCTCATGTATAAGTATCTATCTATGATACAGTAAAAAGTGTACATGAATTGCGTTTTGCAAACTTTGAGTGAGAATTTCGAATATGACAATTGTGTAGCTGAATCATGTTATAGAAATATTCTATTTTAAACTTGCATTTTCTCATTTTTAGCAATTTACATTACAGGAGCTACGAGTGAATGCAACGAAAATAACTGACTTTCCTCAATACTCCCATCGCGGTCTCTTACTGGACACATCTCGCCACTTTATCTCGATGTCTAATATTCTGAAAATGCTTGACGCGATGTCCTACAACAAGTTGAATGTCTTCCATTGGCATATCGTCGATGACCAGAGCTTCCCCTATCAGAGCGAACGGTTCCCGGAGTTGAGGTTAGAATTTACTTACCGAAATTAGTTATATTTTTTTATTATTGCAATACTATAAATTTGATAAAGTATTCATAGTTACTAATACCAGCCTTATAGACGTACGGAAATTGAAAATAGTTCTAGAAAATTATGTATCTATTATCAATTGTTATTAATAGATGAAATAGCTTTGGTAAATAAATTTGGTAGCCGGTACCAATTTTTTTTCTCAATTTACAAGCCCTTAGACGGTATAGCCAATCAGAAAACCGGCATGTGTTTGATAGAAAAGTGGAAGATGAGGCACAGAAAGCTGCTCACCTCCATGAAAAACCCAAAAGCTACGACTCACATACAACTTCCTTGTGTAAAACTGGCGAAATAAATATTTTAATTTCAGCGAACAAGGCGCGTATGACTCTTCAATGGTCTATACGAAGGAGGACATACAAAGAGTAGTGGAGTACGCAAGAGATCGTGGAATACGAGTAATACCTGAATTTGATGTACCAGGTAAGAGGGTTAATTAGCTTGAATAAAGGTATGCCTACGGCGAAATCCCTGGAACAATATGTAAATGGATTTATATCGATTGATGAAATATAATTTGACTTTAAACATTAATTACGCTTACATGCAAGTTATGTAATAAAGATACAGTCAAAACCGTTTACGACGACATCGTTTAGAACAATATACCGGTTATATTGACCAAAATCAAAGGTCCCGGCTGAATTCTATTGTATTAGGCAATAACAACGGCATCGGCTGTTACCAAAGTTGTCCCTTCGATCTCGTTATAACAGATTTTGACTTGTATTATATTTTTGACTAGTTACGTCCTGGAATAAACCAGTTTAACCTTTAGTGGTACCAAATTCCAGGTCACACTCGGTCATGGGGTAATGCATTCCCCGATGTGCTGACAGAATGTTACAGACAGGACAAAGTGGTTGGTTTGGGCCCCATGAATCCAACTAAGAATATCACCTACAAGCTCTTGAGGGATTTATTTCAAGAAGTGCAGACCTGGTTCCCGGATAAATACTTCCACATTGGGGGTGATGAAGTAGAACTGGATTGTTGGTATGTTGCGTTTTTTTTAGTTTTGATTATCTATTTATTTCAGACCGTACAATTTTTATTATTGCAATTGAATTTTGCAAATTTTGAGAGAAGCAGCAGATGTGAAATGTCTTGATGTTCAAGCAAAACATAGTAATATCTAAATTACTTCTGGTAATTAAATTTCAAATGTCAGTTTCAGTAATTTATAAATTCAAAGAACATATGAACAAACAGTAATCGCCTGCTTATATACAAGATGATATTATTCTATCTTTTGTATGCGCAAACAAGCATCGAATGAATCGAACTTAGGACCTCCCGATCTTACGCCATGTCCAAATCATAGTATTATAGACATAGGCATAGTGATGGATTTTCATAAAATATAACTCAAACCGTACAAAACCAAAATGGAAGCAAACGACAGGGTTTTCTCTTCTATTCGTTCTTTAAATAGAACGAATTGAGTGAATCAAGGGCACAGAACACGTTCAACCCACGATTGTTGTTCATATCATAGATTAGATTTTTCTTTAGGCGTTCGAATCCAGAGCTACGCGAATATATGAACTCGCACAACCTCAGTGTCACACAGTTGCATGGTCTCTTCATGGAAAATGCTATACCGTTGCTGGCTAACGATTCTGAAGTCGTACTTTGGCAGGTGAGCTCCTTGACTTATAAAAAAAAGTCAAATTTATTATCAGCAACTTCAGAACCATATTTGCGTTTCATTTAAATTGGCACGACTTCTTAAAACCCTCTTTCGATCCGAAGTGGTGGAGGCCTGATGACATGTAGCTCAGATACCTTTAGGCATCAGTCTCGCACAAACGAGCATTTCCCTCAATAGAAGAAAATTATTGATTTTATATTAATAAATAACCGTTGCTTTATTTTGTGCACTATGTATGAAGTTTTTGTGAGAAAAATAAATAAAGATTATTATTATTTTTTAAAACGTCAATTGTGCCTCTTTGTGCAAATGTGAGCTTCGTATGCAAGCCGATACCGCTTGAGAATGACCGTACATGATGATCATGACTCATTATTCTAATATAATAGGTAAATAAATTACGGTCACAAAACTATTATTTTCGTAAGTCTTATATTATGTTCGATGCTAATATTTGCAGGAAGTATTTGACGAAAAAGTACCACTATCAAAAGAAACAATAATTCATGTGTGGAAGGGAAGTTGGATTAGCGAAATGGTCTCGGTAAGGTGTTTTTGTTAAACATTAATTGTATGTATACCTAAATTGTATAATCGTGAATAGATTTAAGTGCTTTAATGCTTTGAAATTATTGATTTGCCTTACAACGTACTTCACAATTCACTAAAGTTGAAAATTTTATCAGTCCTGCATTCGGTTATTATCATCCCTGGCAAACATTCCTGGACCCGCGCCCCTAAGGGTGGGTTGTTTCAAACCATTTGCTATCGTAACTTACGTTCGTTAAAATTTGACAGACACGTATGAACTTTAACGTCTGTTAACTTGTTAGCGTTGCTTCATTGTTAAAAAATGAGTTCGTCATTGTTAATGGGGTTGCCTGTTTGCGTAACGCTATTTTGACCTAATGTTTTATGGGAATATTTTTAGTAATAACAACATTGATAAAAACAATGTCATTTGATACATTCTGTCAAGTTTGACATCAATGTTTATTGTTGTGTACGAAAGGATAATTTTAAAAAGTGTTTAATTTTAATATAAATAATGGGAACCTTTTCGCCAAAGTAAGTATAAAGCTATTATTTTATTATTATATTGCATGAATTGTATATGCGCAAAGTATATATATTATATTGAAGGATATAGTTAGAAGTGTATTTATTTACGTTACTCATTGACTTTCAGAGAACGTTCGGTAAATTTTGGAAAAGAAGAGAAGGACAGATTTAGAAATTTAATAGAAAAACATAAACACATCTTATTTAATAAAAAGACAGACATTTCTAACAATTTGCAAAAAAAGAGGGCATGGAGTGCGATTCATGCAGAATTTAATGCCCTTTCAGATAATAAATATAAAAAGAAAATTTTTGAGTTGCGTGTTCAACATCTAAATGAGAAGAGGAAGAACGATGAAATCATTTTTAAACTACAAGAAAAAAAAATTACTTACTATTAATTATACTAAAAGGATGTAAGATTGTATGAAAGCGCCATTTCTAATGTAAAATGTATGAAAAGTGGCACTTATTTACCTTTACAATAAAAAATAAACTTACTATAACTTGATTAGAATTACTTGAAACTTAGTATAAAATGCTCTTCAAAATAATTAAGCAGTTGTGTGTATCAATGTTATAAAATTAGTGTAAAAAATAATAAAAACTGTAAAAAAATAGATTTTTAAGATGAATTAATTCTTATGTGCATAGGCAGGCATAACTATGTAATGTTTTAATTCGGTAATAAAAAGGCATATTATTTTTGTCAAACATTTTATTTCTCCACCAAAAGCATGCAATAGCAATATATTATGTTAATCCTTCACCATATTTCACATCCATACCATAAAATAGTTATAATCTGAAAATAAGACAGCTTTAAAATTATAATTTGAGATTTGTTTTCTTTGAAGTTAAAAATAATCTAAATATTAACATACCTTGCAAAATAATAATAATTAAACTATGTATATCACATATTAGTATTAAATTAAATTAAGAGAAAACTAGTTTTCTGTTTGTTGTCAATGAAGTTAACTTTTGGTCTAAATTAATAAAATCTGTAGGCTGTAATTCAGTTAGGTAGTAAAGGCATATTATTTTTGACAAATATTTTATTTCTTTACCAAAGGCATGCAATAAGCAATATAAACAGTATATAATATCTTAGTCCTTCACCATACCACCCATACACCCATGCCATAAAAATATATAATCTGAAATATAGGACATCTTTAATATTAAATTTGCAATTTATTTTTTTGAAGTCAAAAATAATCGTAGTATTAACATACCTTGCAAAATAATTATTAATCAAACCATCTCTAATATTAAATTCAGAGGAAACAGAGTTTAGGAAGTACGAACTACGAAGTTACAAACCAAAATTTGACGATTACCAATGGTTCAGGCACTGGTTAACGTAAGCGTAACTTTTTAACGAACGTAAGCTGTCATGGATGGTGAATCAACACTTTTTTTGTCTAACGTTCGTTAGCGCCATATTTAACGGTTACGTGTCCGTCAAAATTTGTTGATGCAACCCACCCTAACTCTTTAACATCCAATAGTTATGTCACAGGCAACTAGCTTAAAAAGCCGTTTAATTAACAGCCTAGCCTCTTAACTAAACAGCGCCGTTAACTAGCGGCCTGAAACATATATAGCAGTAGATCAAACAGCTAGGCAAATGACATGGAACGATGATGCTTCATTACTTGCCTAGCCTAATGTTGACTGTTAATTTAAGTTTAGTTTCACTTTCTGCCACTCTCAAAGTCGAAGCGAAACTCTGTATACTGTCAATATGGCGTTGGCAAACCCACAACTTTGATGGTGTTTTCCAAAGTTTAATGAAATACAACAAGTACAATGGATGAGTGTAGTGAGAATTTAGCTGTGACTGAAGCATATTAATTTTTAAAGAAATATTTTTTATGTCGGCTATTTCTTCTTCTTCATATGGTCACTCTATCGTACGAATAGCCTAAGCATTAGTCAGCCAATTTATTAAATTTTTCTAGAAAGCACAAACGCTACGGCTATATATCTTTCAGGCCGATAGTTAAACGGCGCTGTTTAGTTAAAAGGCTAGGCTGTTAATTGAACGGCATATTAAGCTAGATGGCTCCGACATTTATACCAACAATCTCGTTCCCAATAATGGGTTTTTGTTTTGCGCTATCCCAAGGTACAACATCAAAAGTTACAGAGTAAGGGCCCTGTTGCTGGCTGCTATATAAACCTTTACCAACATATTTCTCGCGTAACGATGTTCATTTGTTTCCTTCACTAAAATAACGCCTTATTTATTATATGATAACCGTTTTTAGCTTAAGCTATAATTATTCAATCTGTAACAGATATTAACAGCTGGACACAGACTGATATTCTCATCCACCTGGTACCTGGACGCTTTGGGTAGCAACTGGCCAGATTACTACTGGGCTGATCCCCGCCAGATGGTGTTTGATGTGACATTTAACAATACTTTGGCGAACGGAATTGTGGGAGGAGAGGCTTGTATGTGGGGGAAATGGTCGACGACAGAAATGTTATGAGCAGGTTATCTATCACTCGGTTTCTATATACTATAAATTCACCTAAATTTTGATTGGTTAAAAGCAAGATATACAGGAGATTGGAAAGAGGAACAAAACAAATGTGTATGTTCCCTGAATTCCTGCACCTTCTATGCTATAAGGCTGACCACCGATTTGCCTATTAATCTGTAAAATAGACGCAAAAATGTTTCTCGCACTCATTAGTGCATACATTTATGCACTTAGGTGATAAGAATCGAGCATATCGCGATCCTAAATTCTTGTATGAAATTCAATCAGTGTGTAACATACCGGTCCCAATTAGCGCGTAGTATCGATTCTGACACTTACTTACTCTTAATATTACAGTTGTAAGGAAGTATAGAAATTGAAGTTTACCTTATATTGGATACTGTTCTGTTTTATTGATTTCTGAGAAGGCTACTGGGCCATTAAAACTAAAACAAGTATTTTTAAATCCAGAATAAAAAGTTTTAAAAAGCGTTCGATATAACGCATGTTGAAGTTAAATAAGTAACTGAGCAACCGTCACTAAGAAGCTGTATTTTCCGTCAGCATCTGCTTGTCATGTTAAACCACAATCATTATGTTCTCCCGAATTCAAACACAGGTTGAAAGCAGTACAGGTAATATAGTTTGGAAAAAAAAAAATGGAACAGCGAAAATGTATGCTGTTAATGTACCAGTATAATTTTTAGATAGTCTAAATTAGCCATAGCTTTACATTACAATGTAGGGTCAATTTAAACCATATATTTGCAGGGTCTGGCCGCGAGCCAGTGCAGTCGCTGAACGATTGTGGAGTGCAAACACGCTCGGCAGGCGAATGCGCTCTATTTTCGATACAATACCTTTAGAAGTATACCAACGTATGGAAGAACATACATGTAGAATGATAAGACGAGGCATCGATGCACAACCACCTTCGGGACCTGGCTTTTGTATCCCATAGAATTTAAGGCTTAAATAAACGATAAAATTGCTGTCATTGTTTTATTAAAAACACAAAGTTCTTTTCAGTGCTTAGATAGGAATAGATTATAAACAAAACATTTCTGTATCGAAAAATTGAGCGCGTCCGTGAAACTGTATTTGGACTTTGGCTAATGAAAGAGGTGCGATTGGTAAACAGCAGCTCTAGTTCAAGACGTTCATAGCTAATCACTATCTTAACTAATTAACTAATTAAAATAAACGCTTTGTCTATTGCCTTTCATTTCCCGTTTTACATCCTCTAAAAAGAAGAAAAACTCTGCATCCGAACTGTCAAATCGTAGTGCACTTGACAATATATCGCAATGCTTGTGCACACAAGTTCAGTTTGTCTTTTCTACTTTCTGTTGTCACTAAGTTTCCATAATCTTAAACTGAAATTTGTGCATTGTTCAAAATTTGTTATATTAGGATAACTAATCATAACAAATGAGTCGATCTACTTTACGTTGCATGCACGACGTTTTTTTGGGTATGGTAATTAATATTTTATATTGTACGACTTCTTGTTAAATCTAAATCGTTTTTAGTCTTAGGTCTTTTGCCTACTATAACGATATTTCTCTTCTTTTCGCACCAAAGCGTAACACAAAACGACATCGTCTCTTGTAAAAATTGTCAATGAGAACTATCCATTGTATTTTTACTCCATACAAGTATTTTTTTTGTAAACATGAATAAAACTTAGTGTGACTAAACGGCTTATCAGATTTAATTAAAAATTTGCAAATCGTGTAAAATCGTTGAACTCTTCTGATTTATCAAGGTATCGAAATACCTGAATTGTACGAAATATACAGATTGTATAAATAAATACCTGGAGAGATGGCTGATACCATATCATGAACTCGCTGATTACCCTTAATCCTTATTCCTCGGTATAAATATGATAGTCGTAGTATAGTGTCTTTTTTATTTTATTTATTTATGTGCACTGTAGAGTCCACACACAATCCTTAGGTTCGAATCGAATCGAGTAATTAGTATTATTAAGGTAGTTGTACTCGTATCGCGAATTACAATTTTAAATTAACCTTTTTGTTTGTTAGAAAGAAAATCTGAATCTGAGCCAAAATGGGTGCTTACTCAAGTCTACTAAGCTACTTTTTACGTCGGTTTATCACGATAAAATTTCGAAGTAATGATAGTGTTATCAATACCACAGGTTAAAAATAACAGTCTCAATGCTAAATACAAAAGTTTTAGGAACGACTAAAACGACACGAACTGTCATTTTCATAGAAATTATATTTGGACTTTCTACATAAACTACTGTTAAAGCATTTTGACTAAGGCCCCTGTAGACGCTTGCGATACAAGCAGCCTTTTGGTGTTTTATGAAAATGAAACTGAAATTATATTTTATATTCGTATTAGCCGCAGTAGATAGAGTAGATTTTTTTTATTTAGTCACTTAATACCTATCGGTAATAATGAATCTTTATTTAATTGTGGGTAGAAATTTCATATATTTTTAATGCCGTGAGAGTTGTTTGGCTTTGTCAGTCAAATTTTCCTGGTGAAGTACACTTTCATTTGCCCACCTATACTATAAAAGAAGATAGAAGCCGAAGCCGAAGAAAAATGTCAGTTAAACCACACGTAATAAGTAGTATCAACAACAAGTTTTCGAATTGAATAATATAACGTGTATTACTTACGCATGTTTTTAATAATATATACCTACTGACAGTATCAAACTCTGGATTTGAGATTATGATTTGTATTTTGATATTTTTATATAATATTCTGATAGAGTGATTAGTTCAGTCACAATTTTCACGAAAATGTTAAAGGCTTGTATTTTTATAACTTTAGTGTCGATATCGGCGTGTGTAGAAACTCCGGGACCTAAATTTAAGCCAACCAAAGGGGAAGTGTGGCCAAAACCCCAAAAGGAGAACAAAAGTATAGAGTACTATACATTTGGCCCTTCACTATTTAAAACTAAGGTAGGGTAAGGTAGTAAATATGTGAATATGATTGTTATTTTTAAATAAACAAATAATTAAGGAAGATATTACATAAGAATATTACAACGTCCGATAATAATCGCATTTAAAGGGATTAGTTATCGGTGAGAAATTTATGGTAATACGCTGTAGGAATGATTTAAATAAAAACAAAGTGATTTATTGAATTTAGTTAAAATTCGTTATTTTTATGAATATTTAACAAGAACATAAAATTATATGAAATTTTAGGTAACAGATAAAACATGTACAATTTTAACAAGGGCAGTCCATCGCTACACATATATGATCCAGAATGATTTCGGAGGACCTTGGATGGGCTCAATGTGGGAAGACGATGGACTTCGCTTGGGAGATATGACCACCTTAGAAGTGACGCTGACAGAGCCCTGTGAGGAATATCCATCATATGGCATGAATGAGAATTGTAAGTCCTCGTTTGAAGTAATTTTTCCCGCTAAAAATAAACGGACTTTCAAGAGAAGACTTATTTATTTATTGAATAATATTACGCCGAGAAGAATCTAAAGCTACCATGAATTTTTTATTTTAGATACTTTAATAATATCATCAACGTCCAAATTAGAAAGTGCATCTGTTTGGGGTATACTCCGCGGATTAGAAACATTCTCACATTTGCTCTACTATACTGATGATTATAAGGTATAAAAATAAATGATAGTCTAGACGAGTCTTTATCTCAGTGTATTTACAACCTTTACTGTATGTACCAATGCCATAACCTGCCAATTTGGAGATACTGGTATTGTTCTTACTGCGCAGTAGTAAGTAAACGAATTTAAACTGGATCTCATCTGAGTCACGGCCTATGACTGTGGCTCTTAGTCTTTCAATCTTGTCTAGTCCCGATGTTCCCTTGCTTGTGTCTAAAACATAATATGTGGCAGACCCAGAAATGTGTTATCCCCATCCTGCATAAGGAGTTTATTCATAAAAGTTATTAAAATATTACACTTAATGTTTTTTAGCAAATTCGTATTAATAAGAACATTATCGACGACTCGCCCAGCTACATCCATCGCGGCTTGTTATTGGACACGGCTCGTCACTTCATATCCCTCAAAAGGATTCTAGAGACCCTAGATGCAATGTCTTATAATAAGATGAACGTTTTCCACTGGCACATGGTCGACGACCAAAGCTTTCCTTACCAGAGTGAGAAATATCCCGAACTGAGGTATACCTACCTATGATTTAAAAAAAATCTGGACTCTCTTGCATCGTTTCTAAACTATTATGATTATACAGTGAAAAAGGTGCCTACTCTCCTTGGATGATATATACAAAAGAAGATCTTCAAAGGGTAGTGGAGTACGCACGAGACAGGGGTATTCGAGTAGTGCCAGAATTTGATGTACCAGGTTAGGCATTTCTTTATCGTATCGTATCTTACGTTGAACAAATGGCGCATTATATAAATTATCATATATTCCGCGTTGATAAAAAAGGAGAATCCACAATAGATAGTTTATATACATATATCGCAGTATAGATATTATATTAAAAATGTTTTTTTTTTATATTTTCCTCAAACTAATTAAGTAAATTACGATTTTATTGTGTAATTTTTAGGGCATACCCGTTCCTGGGGTAATTCCCACCCGGAAATTTTAACAAATTGCTCAGGTTTGGGTCTAATGGATCCCAGCAATGATGCTACATACAATTTTGTCAGTGACATCTATGAAGAATTGAATACAATATTTCCAGACGATCACAGGCATATTGGTGGAGATGAAGTAGACACAAGATGTTGGTACGAATATCATTCAATTGCAATTCGTGATATTTATGAAATAGATCATGTATTTAATTTTAATATGTGAATTTTTGGGGCTGTATAGATCTTTTAGTTCTAATGCCGTTTAATAGCGAATTAAAAAAGGCGCAGAAATTTGTCGCTAATGTCGCAACGGGAAATTACGACGAAACCTTGTTGTCTCTATTAATATAATAAGAATTAGTATTTTCCAGGGGTAAAAGCTCTCGTGTTACGGAATTTATAAAGGAAAAAGGTATTGGAGTTGAAAACTTACAAGGATTATTTATAGAAACTTTAATGTCAAAATTAAATGATACAAAAATTATAGTTTGGCAGGTAAATACAATTGCTCAATTAAGTAAATAATTATTACATACATAACACTTATAAATTCTTGCATTAAGTTTTTGTTATTTCGAAATGTATTTATTTTTACCGTAACTTTTGCAACATATTTCAAAACGCAATCCCAAGCCTTTAAAGTTTAATTTATTATTATTAAAGTAATGAATTTCAGATACAAAAATTTGAAAATTTCAGGAAGCATTTATGCTTGGCGTTAAGTTACCAAAAAGTGCTCTTATCCAGGTCTGGAAATGGCAAGAAGTGGAAGCCATGCGTAAGGTTGGTGGTAAGAAGTAATAGATACCATACCCTACATACCCAAACTACGTATTACTAAAACTAACCTATGTTCAAGGGTTTTGATAAATATTTAGGCGTTCAGGGAGTTTTACTCACAGTTCAATACAGCCTTGCTATTCTGTAACTCACTTTTCAAACTCTTACAATTAAACAATAAACTACAAGTTCCCTCCTTTATCAGAATGCTAAATCGTAAAATGAATGTTTCACGACTGATTTGAGCGCGACCGCCGCTGCGAAAACCGCTGTGAGAGTTCGAAAAGTAAGTTACAGAATCGCAAGACAGGATGCCGCTGCAGCTGGCTTCTGCTTGTATTCGATCTTTTCGAACAATTATTGCTACGAAGGGAACATTTTCCATTATGTTTATGGCACATAAATAAAATTTACAGGTTCTGAAAGCTGGTTACAAAGTCCTGTTTTCAACTCAGTATTATTTGGACGATCTATCCCAAGATTGGGATTACTTGTACAAGTATGATCCAAGAGAGATAATGCTCGCGAGAGACAGCAGTTTGAATCTTGACAATATCGTTGGCGGTGAAACTTGTATGTGGACTGAGAGAGTAAATGATTCCAATGTTATTAGCAGGTTAGTTGTAATTTTTTGTATCACATTTCATTCGCAGTCGCATTCTCACTAGAGGTGGCATATATTAAAAACTTTGTATTTTGCTTTACGCATAAAATACAATATAATGATCTCAAATAACATTACCTATTGGTAGACAGATATATGATCTTTAATTTAATACATTTCTGTCATCGCTTGTACAAATAGTTCCGATGCAACAGACGATATTAGCAAAATTGTTTTAACCGTACCCAGTCTACCCTAAATACGAGTAGATACCGAAAATCTAAATACTAATAGCTAAAAGACAGTAATACCTTACTATTATTTTTACACCTATCTAATTAGGTATAATAATATGCGATTTGCATTTCAAAGATCTTTAATTTTCACACCTATTTTTTAGGCGTTACGTTACCAGATGCAAAACGTTAGTTAATTTATTTTAATAAAAAGCCAAATGGACCCTGAAGTCTCTCAACAACTATACGCTTCTGTCATTTCAGGGTATGGCCAAGAGCCAGCGCGTTCGCAGAACGGTTCTGGAGCGGTGGTCCAGGAGTCCCAATACCATCAAGTAACGACCATAGCCGGTTAGAGGAACACACTTGTCGCATGATCAAACGAGGCATCGAAGCTGAACCACCTAATGGACCAGGATTATGCTGATAATACTTGAGATTTAGAAGAAATTGAGTCAATATTTTTATTATTAAATACTTTTTACTTAAAGACATTTCTAATGTTTTTTTTACTTAATGTTTTATTCAATTGCCCTAGATCAATATTTGAAATGTAGATTTTTCCTGCTCCTGTCCCAGTACGTTCAATGCAGTCGCCACAAAACACATACTTATAAATAAATATCGACTCAGATGCATTTATGAAACTTGCAGAAGCTTCTTATATTTTTGCTGCCTACGATTTCATACGATGTTCATCGTACATCGCAATCACTCGAATGCTTCTTTTCCATTTTAAATAAATCTACGTTCAATTTTTGTGTTACTTTTTTGCTTTACTTAAATATTGATTGCAATACGAATATTTTATTTTCTTTCATTTGTAACGAGCGAGTTCAACAATATTCGAATATTGTTAGCCTAGTGGCTAGGACTCTGTGCGTTGGCGTGTCCACCTGGGTACAAACAGATTGTTCTATCACAGAAGGCGGATCACCTATTTGCCTTTAAACAAAGTGTCAACGCTACTACATTTTTATTTTCCACTGAAATTGAGTAATATTAATTTTTATGTTTGTTAATAACTTATCTTTTATCGATAAAAAATAAACACTGATAACGTTCATGACAACGATACAGTATCATCACACTAGTATCACCAAAGAATATAAGAATATCTATAGAAATAATGTGTTTTAAAAATGTTTTCTTAGTTACTCAATTACTATGTATTTCTCAATGTGTTGAAATATTTGGACCAAAATACAGACCGAGTAAAGGCGCAGTATGGCCAAAACCAAAGAAGGAAACCCGAGGTGAACAGTTTTATAACCTTCATTCCTCATTTCATTTTAAGGTAAGAGTCACTGAAATGGATTCAATAGCCACCTGAAAAATAATGAGAACAATAAGGCCGCCAATTGTACTCCGTGGTTTCTTTTTACGCGTTTTGTGTACTATTTCGGTTTAATGTGCAAGAGTTTTTCAATAAATTCATGTAAAATGTAAATAAACATTTTGCTCATTTCATTTAGCTTTCAAATCTCAGGTAAACAAAATAATTAGTAGTTTGTAAGGAAAATTAGGTCATGAGAGTAAAGGTACTTAATTTTTGTTATATTACCTAAACAGTATTTTAGTTAAATAAAGTAGTTAAAGATATATAATGTCTTGAAAGGAACCGAGCGAAAATATATAGTATATCAGGATTAAGATGTTACCTACGGATACATAAGCTTTATTTACATCTGAAACTGAAAACATCAGATTAGACAGCTAAAACTATGGAAGGCATATGATTATAACTTTGTATAACATTTAAGGTAACAGATAAAACCTGCTCAATATTGTTAAAAGCAATCAACCGATATTCAGATATTGTAAAAAATCCAGAGATGAAAAAAGCTTCGAGCACTGAGGTAGACAACCAAGAAAACTTTTTAGGCTTCTTGACGCAGTTGGAAGTAATTTTGACACAGCCATGTGAAGAACACCCATCATACGGCATGGATGAAAGTTGTAAGTATATAATCTAGTAATTTAAGTAATTAATTAATTTATGTAATTAATATAATATTTGATAGATACATTCGAGAAGTTTGAATCTTTGTTGAAATATAAGTAACGATACAGTTTTGTGATAAAGTACTTCGTGGGCGTACTTATTTAGAACTAAACGAAAGGACGGACATGCATCGTTCGTTTAGTAAACTATACAAACGGTAGGGAATGTTCCGAAACCATTGGAAAGTTCATGCTGTGGCCTCAACCATGATTCTTCTTAAGTAATGCTTGCTAATGTGCGTTAAATATATTTTGTCGTGAGTTCACCCGTACATTTGATTCGTAACACTGGTTATACCTACTTTGCGGCATGTACGGTGCATTAAAGTTAATGCCGTATTTATAATAATTGTATTGATATCTATGTAAAAATAATCGTAAACAAAGACTAAAAAAAATTGTTAATTAATTAATTAAATTGTCGACTAATTTTTTTAGAAAAATTTTTAATTTAATAATAAATTTTAGGGGATAAGCTTTAAATTAGAATTTTATAATAAAAGTAAAAGAAAATTGAAATTTTTAAAATTTATATTTTTTATAAATTATAGTTTTATATCAATAATTTCATATAATTAAAATTTTATTTTAATTTTTATAAGAAAATATTTTTTAATTAAATATAAATTGATATAATGATAAAATTAGTATATAATTTATAAATAAAATAAAAATTATTTAAATTAATAAAAAGGAATTCGGAAAAAATTACAACATTTAATCCACTTTTTATATAACCGGGTAAGTTAAAATTAAGAACTGTTAGAAGCTTAAATCAAACTTGCTTTATTACAGATACTTTAAAAATAATGTCAACGCCTCAATTGAAGAGTGCGTCTATTTGGGGAATACTACGAGGCTTAGAAACATTTTCACAGCTGCTCTACTACTCTAGTGATTATACTGTAGGTAATTCTTAGTAAAAATAGTTTTAAGTGACAATTGACATCCAAAAGCGATGTTTTTGCATTAAATTATTGATTTTAGCAAATACATATAAACAAGAATATCATCGAGGATTCACCCAGTTACATTCACCGCGGGTTGTTGCTGGACACGGCTCGCCACTACATCTCCGTCAACAGGATTCTGGAGACTCTAGATGCTATGTCTTATAATAAGATGAATGTCTTTCATTGGCATATGGTTGACGATCAGAGTTTCCCCTATCAGAGTGAGCGCTTCCCGGAATTAAGGTATAATATATCAAGTGTAGCAGCTCCTCTACGCAGCGACCTTGATAATCAGGTGGTGATGAAGTCTCTTAGACTTAGACTGGCATGTCATATTAATTTTTATACTCTATTATTGAACTTCCTTCTTTCAAAAAAAGGTTACTTTGGTAGGTAATTTGAGTAAAAAATATTATTTAAAAATATAGACAATATTTTGAATGTGACTGTAAGCGTAACCCGGCACATTATCTTAGGTAATAAAATGTTGATAAGTTTTATTACGGTAATGTACGGATAAGTTCCGAATTACGTATTTATTACTTATTGGTAGGATAAACACTATTGTTGCGTTACACGACTGTCAGTCATATAGCGCTATTCGTCACATAAAGTCCATCATAAGTTATGAGTCCGACGAAGTGTCCAATAGCATAATTTACCTTCCAAATAATTTATGTGTTGCATAGCTATTTGGTACTTTATCCATACATTGTGAAACAGACCCTAATAATATGTAATAATATAAATGCGTATGTTTACGTTGTTTACAGTGAAAAAGGAGCTTATGCTCCGTGGATGGTATACACCAAAGCAGACATTCAGAAAATAATTGAACATGCCCGCGATCGCGGTATACGAGTTATACCAGAGTTCGACGTCCCAGGTAAAAAAATATACCTATAATATATAATTTCTCTTAAAGGAGCCATATTAGTCTATGAAAATGGTCAATGATAGAAACACGGCAATTTAAAATTAAGAACCAAAAAGGGAAAGACACCACTAGATGCCTTTATAAATCCTACTGGAAACAAGACAGAAAGTACCTTTTAAGTAATTTCATCCATCCATAATGTTAACTTTTACTTTTTGGCTTGGTTTTTAGGGCACAGCCGTGCCTGGGGTAACGCATTCCCGGGTATTCTCACTAAATGCGGTAACAGCCTCGGACCAATGGATCCAAGCAGTGATACCGTATATAATATAGTACAAGAGCTTTATAGGGAACTAAAGACGATATTTCCCGATGATCATTTTCATCTTGGCGGCGATGAAGTTGACACTGATTGTTGGTAATTCTTCTATGTGTAACTTCCTAAACTAAAGCAAGCCCTGAAATATAATTACAGATTTTGTTGTTCGTTCTCTATCCATCTAATTGGAACAATTAATTTATACTCTTGGAGTCTTGTCCTCTCGATCAGGTTGGAAGTCAAAATGAAAAGCTCTAAATTATTTATCTTAACCGTATAAAAATCAGTCACTATAAAATACTTTAGACTTTAATACAGGAAATACCGTCTCCACAAAAATGTCGCCGATTACCTCGGGACCCTTGACCTTTTGTATTTTAAACGATAATACGCGAGTCATCGATTTTATTATGTGTTTCAGAGAAGAGGTATGTATAATAAATGATTTATTACTAATGGAGAAAAATAGTCTAAATCAAGGCATTATCGAAAGATTCTGAAGGAAGTATAATATTGACGAAAACTAAAAAAAAAGTCTCGGAAGCAAGTAGGAATCATGTAATAATAAGCTTAAATAGTAATGTTACAACAATAAAACCTGTTAGTAGTTTTGTACATTTTAAGAAGCTGCCTTACGATTCTGTAACTCACACAGCGGTTTTCGCATCGGCGGTCGCTCTCAAATCAGTCGTGAAGCAGTCATTTTATGATTTGGCATTCTGAAAAGTTGGGAGCTTGTAGTTTATTGTTTATCCGAGGACCACTATCTTATCTTTTTTAATTTATTTATATTCCTATTGTAGGTCTAAAAATCCTTCTCTCATGGAATACATAAAGGAAAGAGGTACAGAAGTAAACAAAATACAAAATCTGTTTATGGAGACAATGATGCCCTTATTGAACGACTCGAAACTCATTGTGTGGGAGGTGAGATTCTTTTTATCCGATTGCCATGGAGGGTCATCAAAAAATAATAATTAAACATTATAAAATGTAGACAAAATACAGTACTTACTGTGTTAACCCAGCAATGCCTAGCGTGTCCATATGGACACGCAGTAAGTAGAAAATTTAAGCGATGACTGTAGTCAGACTAACTGTTTTCTTATTTTGGCAATGCCATGTAACTTCTATCAAAGTATCAAATGACATTTATTTTTAGCGCGAGTGAGTATTGCGTGTAAAATAAGGTTCTAGTTTTAGTTTGTTTTTGAACTTTGGAAAAAACATGGATGGCAGTGGAAAGTAAGTAATTTTTCTTATAAATTATTTTAAACGCTAACTGCTTTTTGAATAGGATTGTGGTCAATAGTGTTATCTGACGTTTGAAATGATAACCTAAGTGAAAACATTGTTTCGATCGAGTTTTAGAACAAATTTGTTCGCGTGTCCATATGGACACGCTAAGCACTTGAATGAGCTGACATTACTTTGCATCCGCTTTCTTGTTATCAGGTACATGGATTATGGAATATTCAAAAACCAAAGAACATTGAGTGATATTTTGAATGCCTCATCACAAGTTTGTAGTTGCTCATTTATCTTCGATAAGGCTATGGCTATGGCGCGACGAGGTTCCGTACGTGAAAATCGTTTGCGAAAATGCCCGAAGCTCACCACAAACAAGCAAATAAAATAGAAAAAAGAGGGTATTATGAGTCAGCTATAAGCAAAGATGATGGCGTATAGTGTTTATTGCTTCTAGTAATCTGGGGGTACCCATAAGTACTGTGAAGCGTTATTCAGAGCAAGATAAACGAATGTACAGGTCCCACGTCCTCATCTTTTTGGTAAATATAATCGGTTCATGGGAGGCGTCGATCGTATGGACGAGAATATAAATATGTATCGAATACACATAAGAGGCAAAAAATTATATTGGGCCCTATTCAGCTGGAGGCTGGGTACTTGTATTCACAACGCTTGGCAACTACAACGGAAAGCAGGCGCTAAAGTGGCACAGCTTGATTTCAAAAGGGAGATTGTGTTACATGATTTGAGCAAATATAACTCTATACCCAAAGGGCTAGGGAGATCTAGTACTTCTAGTTCAGCGATAGCGAACACTTCGCGCTTTGACAAAATAAAACATTTTGTTACTAAAACAGAAAAAGAGGAGATGTGTGGGTCCGTACTGCAAGACTAAATCTTCCGCAGTTCGAACAACTTGCTGCAAATGTATTGTTGGCCTTTGCGTCAACTACTTTAGGGATTACATCAAAAACAACGAAGTCCTTTCTTTTTTTTCTGTTTGTTATTTAAATTAGTGAAGATTTAATTTAATTTGTACACCTTAACGCTTAGCGTGTCCATATGGACACGTTTGATTTTTCGCAAAATAAACAATTTTTTTTTAAAACAACTTGATTTTCTCTTTATTAATGTTATTTAAAGTGAGATGATTGCAACAAATACAAAAATAATAATTAAAAAAGAAACTGGGCATTGCTGGGTTAATTATGATGATAATATATTAGGTAATAAACCATTGACGAACACAGATAAAATAATTATTCCACGGTTTATATTAAGTCCTATTTGATTTAAGTTTCATGCTATATGCAAAAATGCAGCTTTTTTGATGCTACATTTTGATGTTTTCCCTAATTGTTTATTATTCATAATTTATTCATCCAAAGTCACTAAACGATCCACAGGCTTACAAGTCGTTGTTAGTGCTTACTTCAGATAATTCTTCAGTTGACTGATTATGAGATCGTGTTAGATAATTAATTATAAAGGCACTGTTAAAATTATTAAATAATTTCTTCTGATTTTTAATTCTACACGATAACTATTTCAGGAAACATTTACCAGCGGGGCGAAGTTACCTAAAGATACTATCGTCCACGTTTGGAAATACAAGGAAGAGGAACGTATGAAAGAAGTTAGTAGGTGTATATATGCAGAAACACATTTTTATATAATAACAAATTTATTTTCCTAATGCTACCATTTACTTATACGATAAGTAAGAACATGCGTTTAGGATTCCCATCTTTTATCTGAATTAATAAACCTATTACCGTATTGAGTTAACTAAATAAATAGCTATAAAATAACTGATTATACTCGAATCGCTAAAATGTACATAACAGTTAAATTTCAATTTACTAGGTACTTTCAGCTGGACATAAAGTGATATACTCATCACAATATTACCTCGATTTTTTACAATGCAACTGGGAGTTCTTCTATAAGTACGATCCAAGAGAAATGATGACATTTAGTGGCGACTTAAATCTTGACGACATTATTGGTGGCGAAGCATGTATGTGGTCGGAGAAGGTTAACGATGCTAATGTCATAAGCAGGTACTCTCATTATATAAGGTAATAGAATTTATTTAGACTGGTCGATCGTCAGAATTGTTTACTTAAATTACGAACCTAATGATGATAAAATTATAAACAACTAGTTGACCCCGTGAACTTTGATTCACCAACATATATTTGTGTCAAATTTTTAAAATAGACCAAAGAGATCGGACCTCATACAGCATACTACATACTAATACTATGAAAAACATATTTCTGAAAGCATCTACAAATAAATGACAACCAAGTGACAATTTTTTATTTCTCAAAAGACGTCAAATTTCCCAAATAAGAACAGTTTTTATTGGAAAATTCAATTGTCGTTTTTAGTATGTTTCTTTAGTTTTATTTACGTTTCCCACCATTTAAACCTTCTCTGATCTTTCACAAATATTTCAAGATCATAATTAGTTAAATCGGTCCAACCGTTCTCGAACAGCAATTCAGTTTCATATATATATATATATATATATATATATATATATATATATATATATATATATATATATATATTATATAGATTAATAAAATGTAATATATATTTAAATATTTTATACCATACACCAAATATGTACCTGGATATTGTTTCTTGTTACGTCTCATAATTCTAGAATAATTAACGATAGTCAGAAAGAAACTCAACAGTGATTTTCCACATTTTTACATCTATTACAGAGTGTGGCCTCGAGCAAGCGCCTTTGCTGAGCGCTTTTGGAGCGGTGGTCCGGCTACAGACTCTCCTCCTATAGACGTATACAGACGAATTGAAGAGCACACGTGCCGAATGATACAACGCGGAATTCCAGCTGAACCTCCGAGTGGAGCAGGATTGTGTTAAAAAGTTTTTCATCTATCTTAAAATATTCTTTTTAATTTACTTTACTTTTAAATTGTTATGTGACTGTGACATTAATTAATAAGTTATTATATTATGAATAAAAAGTATAAACAAAAATAGTATTCGTTATTTTGGTTTAAATATGTGGTAAACTGGTTATTTATAAAGTAACCTGTATCTGCGACTTTAGAATTCGCGCCTAACTAAAATTTGGTGCGAATTTGGTTAATTTTTTTTCTTAAATAATTTATTTCATAACCATGGATATAGAGTCCTTCAGTCGGAATCATAGAATTACATAAGGTCCTTAAAAGTATGTAATGGTAACGTGCAAATGTTACATTTATACCATAAATAATAAATATAATATTAGCATAAACATTCTTAAGCTATTACGTTAATACAAATTGTAATTATATCCAAATTAAGTATAATATATTAAAACTAAATAACTTAACACAAAACTATTCTATACAATTGGAAATATTTCAACTAACTCTATGTAATTAAATTTGTTCAACTGTGGCGGGGAACACTTAATGAATTTTCTTCTGCGACATCACTAATGACACTTGCAAGTAAGTAATAAACGTTGGATGTTAAACGTTTCGCATTCGAACAAGACATGCTTTATATCGGCATTTTCCTTAGAACAACATGTACAATTATCATCAAGAATTATCTGATGTCACACAAAATAATTATAAAATTATTGTATAAAGCAATTGGTTCTGTATTTTCAGTGTCTAACTGACAAAAAGATGTTTCAGATAAATTATAATATTCAGTCCAATCAGCCTTACAATATATGTATTTTTCTTCTTATGTGGATGGTTTTACATTGACAACAACCTGAGTTGGATAGTGGTAGCTGCCCATTGAATCATCATGAATTCGCCATTCACAAAGAGGAGCTATTGCTGGGTTAACCAAAGTAATATCTATTAGCAGATGCATTTCTGTTTGGAATTTGAACAGTTGTAGCACTCCCATCATTCAAAATACACAAGTCTAGTTCATCAATGAGATAGTGTTAACTATATCATACTGTAAATTTTTTTTTTTTTTTTTATAGAACGGGGGGCAAACGGGCAGGAGGCTCACCTGATGTTAAGTGATACATGGACACTCTCAATGCCAGAGGGCTCGCGAGTGCGTTGCCGGCCTTTTAAGAATTGGTACGCTCTTTTCTTGAAAGACCCTAAGTCGAATTGGTTCGGAAATACTTCAGTGGGCAGCTGATTCCACATAGTGGTGGTGCGCGGCAAAAACTGCCTTGAAAAACGCTCAGTTGTGGAACGGCGGACGTCGAGGTGATACGGGTGGAATTTCGTATTCTGTCTCGACGTCCGATGATGAAACTCAGCTGCAGGTATTCATCCGAACAACTCCTCTGAACACTCTCCATGGTAAATGCAGTAGAAGATGCAGAGTGACCCCACATCTCTACGCAACGCCAAAGGATCAAGCCGCTCGGAGAGGGATTGGTCGTCGACGATTCGAACCGCTCTGCGTTGTATACGGTCAAGTGGAAGGAGCTGGTACTGGGGAGCCCCCGCCCAGAGGTGAGAGCAGTACTCCATGTGGGGCCGAATTTGCGCTTTATATAGTTGCATGCGGTGGCCCGGAGTGAAGTACCGCCTCGCCTTGCTGAGCACACCAAGCTTTTTGGAGGCTAATTTAGCCTTTCCCTCCAAGTGACCGCGAAACTGAACGTCGTTCGTTATGTCAACGCCAAGTATTCCAATGCTGGCTGTGGCTTTAAGAAGAGTGTTTTCGAAAAGAGGAGTAGTGACAAAGGGTGTTTTTTTAGCGGCAACAACAACAGCCCGAGAAGTACCTGCCCGGCCAGTGTAAAAAGTATCCCCAGTGCTGTCATCCGCATAGCAACGAATGTTGCTAAATTGCAACATATCATTGATATTGCAAAAGAAATAGGGTCGGGGATAGAACACAGCCTTGTGGGACCCCAGCGTTCACAGGTTTAAGGTCGGAACATGCTCCGTCGATGACGACCTTGATGCTCCGATCGGCCAGAAAGCTGGAGATCCAATCGCATAATTTCTCGGGAAGCCCATAGGCTGGAAGCTTCGAGAGTAGTGCTCTGTGCCACACCCGATCGAAGGCTTTCGCTATGTCCAAACTTACCGCCAGCGCCTCCCCCTTGGACTCAAATGCCTCTGCCCACCTATGGGTAAGGTATACAAGGAGGTCACCAGCTGAGCGACCACGACGAAAGCCGTACTGAGAATCGCTAATCAACTGGTGGCCCTCTAGATACCACAAGAGCTGGCAATTAATAATGGTTTCCATTATTTTGGAGAACAAGGAGGTTATAGCTATTGGGCGATAGTTGGACGGATCAGAGCGATCGCCTTTTTTAGGGATCGGATGTATCGAAGCGGTCTTCCAGCACTTCGGGACAGTGCCGAGCGAGTACAGGTACAAAATTGTTGATTAGTATACCCACACCATTATGGGTATTAACTGAATTTTTATGTATAAAATTATATGGTGCAAAGTTTGGAATTATACTAGTGATTTTAAGCCAAGTTTCATTTAATAAACAGATATCAATATTATGTGTTGGTAGTGGTGGGTGTGTCGTTTTTATCATTACCCAGAGTAATAAGAGATTTTACTATGGCGTTAATGATAATGTCGTTATTGAGAATTTGCTGTGCATTGAACGGGCCTGTAGTCACATTATTATTGCTTGGCTTAGTAATAGCCGGAAACTCTTTAGGGTCTAACATCTGAGGGGCTATGGGAGCTGTACTCACCACAGTAACTTCTGTTGAGATTGAGATATTTACTCTTTTTTTTCCTCCATTTTCTTCTTTTTAATGGGGCAATCCCTGGAGATTGCCAAATGATTGCCATTACAGTTAATACAAATAATTTCATCTACGTCACACTCCTTGTAGGAGTGCCGGCCGGAACATGACGAGCACATTTGCTCTCCGCGACAAACTCGAGCTGAGTGATTGAATTTGAAGCATCTGAAGCATTGCAGCAGTGGTCGAATATACATGTGGATCAGGTATCTAAATATCTGTATGTATGCATATAGGGGCAGCGTTGTGGCAGCAAAAGTCACTGAAATCGTACTGAGCGGGACAAGTTTTCCGTCAACTTTTTTCATAAATCTTTTAACGGAAATCACTTCCGTGTCACACATTATGTTCTTGTATATTTCCGCATTCGTTAGCTCCTTGGGCAAATATCGTATGACGCCCGTCGCTTCAGTCAGGTGAGATGGAACAAAAGCTTTAAGCTTGTGTCTTCCTAAAAAACTGTCCATTTTTAGGAAATTATTAGCCGGAGCTGGTTTTTTAAAAGTGATGCCTATTTTGTGAGCATTTACTCGGTGTACTCCCACTATTCTTTTAACATTGTCTGTGAATAATTTAGTTAACGTGATGGGATTTTTGTTCCCTAACTTTTCATTTTCTTGGGATTCCACATAAACAACACAATCCGTGCTGTGGTTGTCTGGAAATTGTCTTTTATAATTTGGTTTGGTGAACACTTTATAGTTTTCATTAGTCACCTCTAATTTTCTTTTCTTGGCATCTTTGTCACCGGGGGCCCGCCCCCCGGCGCTGTTTTCACTCATTATAATCTACTATTCACAAAATGTTACAAATTTTCTATTTACAGAAAAAAGAAATACAAATATATACAAAAAAAATAATTATTGAAAAAACGCAAAATTTAAAACACCCGCCAAAAAGTCATTTGGTTAAAAACGCTTTAGTGTTGCTAGTTGAATTGCGCCTAAAAACTTAGTAATGATACTCTCGTGAGAAATACTTTATTATATCTGTGCCTTTGTGTGTTATAAAAAAAAATAGTAACTCCCCAAGGATCTAATGTAGATATTTATTTAATAGAAAATTTTCAAATATCTGATAGAACTTAAATAATTGTGTATCCTTATTGAATGTTAAAATAACCAATAAAAACGCTGTGTAATATTGATTTATAATTTTTGGCAGAATTATATCTCTTCTTATTTAAGGGTTACAACACAAGATTTGACATGCGTTGATAGTTGTCTATGAACGTTTTGTAAACAAGAGATAAAAAATGTTTGATTTCTGAACCCGTCTTAATATTTAAAACTGTTACAAACACCCACATGTGATTTCGTAAAAATCGTCTAAGTTATACTAATGAAGGAAATGCTTCGTTTTTTGCATTAATAATTCAAAGGAAAATGTCTGGTTATTTGGAAGTGAAATATCCGTTTAAATCAAACCTCGGTCTTAATCCTTTCAAGGTTTGTAAAGTTCGATCGGTGTAATTTACAATATGATAACTTCTTTAATATTTTTATTGTTTGTTTTTTTGTAGTCTTGGAAAAAACAATGGTGCATTTTGAGACCTAGTGTGACCTGCAAAGGGGGTGGGTCACTAGTTGTATATTGTAGTGAGGCGGGAGCGCCTGCAGGAACAGTAGAGTTGCCCTCGGGTTGCTTAGTAAAAAGAGCCAAATCCCGCACGCGACCTCATGCCTTTGCAGTATTCACCCTTGAAGCACCGTCAAAACCTCGAATTCTTCTTGCCGCTCAAAGCCATCAAGAAACTCAAATATGGATGGATAAAATTCGTGATTTATTAAATAATGACAAAATGAGAGGTAAGTCTACCTTCAATATGAATAGAAAAAATATTAATACTTGGTCAAGCTCATTGTTGTAATTTTTCATTGCCTTATTTATCTTTCTATGTGGGTGATACATATATTATAATTTTTATGAATTCTAAACCTTTAACAAATAATAGTATGCCTGGACTTAATGAGTAGTTATATAAACATGAAATATTTAATTTCATACCAATGCATCAAACATTTTCACATAGGATACTGATGTCATCACATTGAATGTTAATTTCCATTGTTTTTCAATCACATATCATTTTATGGCTCTTCCTGTTAGTGTAGAAGTTATTCCTTAAGTGTATCATTAAATTGAAATCTCTTATATGTCAATGAAAAAACAATTTGTAAGTGCTTATTATTTAGCATTATCATCAAAATTATTGTTATGTAGCTCTTTTGTAAATAACAAATCAAAGTTACCATTTTTTTTAGTTTCGTGAGTTTAATTCATAGTTGGCAAGGTAATTTATTAAAGCTATTATTTATTGCCAGTTAGCATTGTGTGCATTATTTAACATTATAATTTATTTTATTCCTGTGTCTTTTTTAATAGGACTGAAAAATTTAATGTTAGTAGTTTAGTGTAATTTCTTTATAATAGAATTTACATCACATGTTATTTAATCACATTTAGTAAAATATTCAAAATGTAAAAATTACTTATATTGGCTTTTTTTATGGCTCACATAATGATTCTAAACAAGATCCAAAATATTTACAAAGGTACATAAAATAAACTATAGTTAAACTTATAAATGGACATAGCATAACTTATATCTGTATTTCCACAGTTGCTAAGTAAGAAGTAGTATAGTTTCTAAAAATATACAATTTTAAATTGTGGATCTTGTTTGAATTTATAATCCATCAATCATGCTTGGTTCATCTCATTTCAGGCTCAGAATCATTACTCAAAGACTCATATCCTGTAACTGTGATTGCTACGGAATTGTCTAGAAAATGTGGCTTAATGACTGACAGTGTGCTCACACTATCTACATCGGGCTTGGTAGTTTCTCACAATACAGCCAGCACAAAAATAGACTGGCAACACATTATTGATGTACTCTTGATCAGAAAAAATGGAGACAAGAATAGAAATTGCATCATTAGTATAAATAGGTGTGTTTCTGAGTTTTAAGTTAATTTATATGTGACTGCACCTCTCTAAACTTTTTTATTTAAAATTAGATTGACAAAACAAAAGCTGCCTAGCAGCTATTGTGAACCCTAATTAAAAAAACTATTGGTGTAGATTTCCATTATATACACTCATATCATTAACACTAAGCTAAGTTGAACTACATCCATTATTCTCTCATTCCATCATAGCATAACCACAATTTGGCTGAAAAGACATATAAGGACCAGAGTGTAATAATACTGAGTTTTTTATGACTCAATTTAAGTTGTTATAAGTTTACAAGAAAGTTAATTGTATTAAAAATTTGTTTGCTATTTTAACTTTTTCCTCTATCAATTAACAAAGTCTAACAATACACATATTGACGTAAATTCATTTTATATTACGCCACTGACCTAATTTATCCTTAAACATTAAAAGTAATCTTGTTTGTTTGTGTAATGTAATTTCCCTCGGGAAATAACATAAATATCATTCAATCTTTATTTCAGTTTCTAGTTTTATAACATCAACATTTATTTATACATATATATGTATAGTTTATTATCATATTATAAGTATCATTTCATTTTGTCTTCAGTGGTCTCTTCATGGCCTTTGCTTCTCTGTTCATTTATTCACCTGTTGCCACATGTTATTTAATTTTATTTCAGTATCTATGTATTTTTCTTACTTAAATATAAGTATAATGAGATTGTTTTGGTTGTGATAAATAATAATTTGCAATAAGGTTTATACTCAGTTTATTGAAATAAAAAAAATTTGAATGTACTAACAACCAGTCAACTAATCACCAGTACTTTTTATGAGGAAATTTTTTTATAATATTTTTGAGTCTCCAAGGTAAACTAAGGAAAAGTTCTATTTATTATCTTTTATTATTCATATTTATGTATAAAATACACAAAGTGAAGTTTTGTATTGAATAACGAATTTGATATGTAAAACGGACACAATATGGGTCCCATAACTCTGTTAACTGTATGTATTGATGTATTCTTCAGTTCAAAACATTTTTCTTTCTAGTTTCTGTGTTTTGATGTTGAATTTTGGGTCTAAGATTGTTTAATTTTCTGAGTGGTTCTATCACCATATGAGCAAGTGTTCATTGCGCACTACCATAATATAAACATATAATTTTTGTAATTGCAGTGGTTTTTCTCAAGGCAGTGGTGAAATGACATTTTGTACACCGTTAGCGAGTGAACTAGTCAGTGCTGTCCGTCAAGCGCTTTCGGCTCGTCACAAGAAACTTAGCCGAAGCGATGGAGACTTGAGAAGAGATGACATAGGTAATTCAAATCTATACTATTATAAATTGAGATTTAAGGTCTCTTAAGTTAGATCAAAACGCACACGGTGTGCAAATTTTATTGAAATCGGTTCAGTAGTTAAGGAGTCCATAGCGGACAAACAACGTGACACGTAATTTATATATATTAAGATATATGTATTATATATTATATAGTTATTAAAATACAATAATGTATGACAATGAAGTCCGAGGAAAGTTTATTGCCAGTTTTTCCTTCTTCGCCCTTAATTTGAGAATTGGTAAATGTAAATTTAGAAGCAAGTAATTTTTTTGTTGATATTTTATTTGCAATCACAAATTTACACTTTTTTTTTAAATTAATCAATTGAATAAGCGCGCGTTTTTTATGTATCGGAACCATTCACAGGTGAAATTCGCCGCAGCAGCTGGTACAGCGGACCATCGGAGGTTTCTCTGGATGACACAGATCTCAGTATGACTAAGGTACGCAAGACTCTATATTTTAGTCAAAACCTAACATTTACTAGATTCTAGAAATATAAAATGGCGAAGTTTTACGCTAGTTTACTTACGCTAGGAGTGGGATAGTTCGTGAAATGCGAAGTAGACAATAGTTTATCGAATTATATTATTTAGTCAACTTCATTCAAAAGTAGTAGTTCTAAATTTACATTTACTACTAGTTCGCAAGTCAATGGCTTAGAGCGGGTAAGAAGAACTGGCAAGAAACTCTCCGCCATTCTTTTTGATCGCTAAGTTTTGAGTCATACACACAGAAATATTCGTCAAATATATAAAAAGCTTTATTGATTAATTTACGTTTAACGAGAGCTTTGAATTTATTTAGTGATAATTCTTTAATTTCGTTCGGGAGTTTGTTGTAAAAACTAATACAATTTCCATATATGGAGTGGTTATCTTCTGGAGCCTGGTTGGTCGTCGCTTAAATTAGTTCTGTTTCGAGTATTATACTGGTGACAGTCAGTTTTTTTTGTACATACAACAAGTCTTCAAGAATATTATATTGATCAGATAGTGTCATAATATTTAATTCCCTAAACAAACTGCGGTAATGTGCTTGGATTACTATCGTTTTATATGAAACATTTGTTATAGGAATATCAACAAATGCACAATGGTGACTTATCTCAGTTGTCTGAGATTCCCTGTGAAGATAAACAAACACCTCTCTCCCCTGAAAACAGGTACTTAATGTCGAATTTATTTCTGGTTGTATTGTAATATTTTGTCATTTTAATCATAAAGTTTATTTTGTCTATGCATCTATATTAGGTTAAAGACCTCAGCGGAAGTCTTTTTTTTTAACTTTGAGCTGTCAAACCATTTTTTATGTATGAAGTTTGACATATTTGACAGGGCTTCAAGATGAGATTGTAACTTGAGATACGAATATGGACCTAAATTTAGATGTTAAATGGCGCCCTTTTTTGTTTTTGTTAATTTAAATTTTCACCGATGTTACCATTGTGTTCTTTGAAATTCAACCCTATTCAAGACTAGTGTATAACTTAACTGTAAACTAATTTTAAGTGAATTTTAAATAACAGTGTGTGGTCCCGTCGCTCCACCGTATCAATAGTATCGGTCGCTTCGGGCGTCTATGAGGAAATTCCCGAAGAATGGGCGGGCTCGTGCGTAGATCACACGTACGAGTCCGTCGAGTGCGTATACGGAACGATGAGACGGGCGGGTAGACGCGGCGCACCTCCCCTGCCCCCGAGACATAACTTTGGGTGAGATTATTTATTTATTCATAACTAGCGATATTGTGGATATATTTATATTTCCATAACGAATTTGCAGTTGTATTGTGAGGACACATACATAGGACATATTTTTTATCAACCAGTGGCGCTACCTTTTTAGGTCTGGGCCTCAGATTTCTGTGTCTGTTTCGTGATTTTTTTTCTAATACACAAGTAGGCGATCAGCCTTCTGCCACACGACTTTTTTGGATCTAAGGCGATACGATGTTTTCGTTCACCATACGTGGGAGTTTTGAATGCACAGATCGCAAAAGTTGTTCACTCAAGCCAAAACTGCTCACGACATTTCTATAGTTATAATTTGTATAGTGATATTTTTTATTAAAATCTGTCTTTTCTATCTGATACTAAAGTCTTTTATTATTTACTTTAAACATCTAAGTGCTCGTGGTTCACTTTGTTCAAGTTTTCTATACAAAATGTTACACATCGGTTTTAAAGGCAGGCATAAGGTCTACTATTTATAAATTCCAGTACAATGAAGCTTTCTGATTGGAAAAGCGCTAATTCGAGCAGCCCCGGTCGCGATGGAGTGACGCGTCATAGCTCGTTGGGCTCATTGCAGCACTGTGCAAAACCACACCGTTATAAGCAGACCTTCAGTGTCTTTCGGTAAGAGTATTCCTAGTCATATCTTTCCATTATGAGTTTCACAGTGTATAAAACTAAACATTTCACTTGCACTTGGACTAATATCAGAGTATTTAATATTTATTTCGTTATGTCTAATGATTGATTAACTAATATACTATGTTATACTGAAAAATACGAAATACTAACCCCATTAATTAATGACTATAAGGCCATTAATTTTATTATGTAACCGTTAATTTAAATAAACTACTCTTAACCCGGTCCTTTAGAAAGTGTGAAAAACAGAATTTTTGTTGTGTATAAAGACTTGCATAATATGTTTTTTTAGGAAAAGGCTAAAAAGCGACTCCCGCGTCACCTCCCCAAAATCCGAGAAAGAGACAAAAGACGTTGAAACAAAAAAGAAAAGATTCGATTTCACACCAACAAGAGACATATTCAAAAGCTTCAAAGTGAACAGAAAGATGAAGAATCTGAAAATAACCGGGAATCTATCGAAGGGCGAGACAAAAAGTTGCGAATTTTTGGACGAAACGGAGCACGTGTCGACGAATCGTTGCTCGAAATCCGTCGAATGTATCGAGAAGTTTGACGATTTCGATGTTTCAATCGAGATTAACGAAACCAACGTCTCGGCGCTCGCGCTACCAGAGGAGATTGTGAAGTTAATATTTACTGAGAAAATTCTCGGAAATTTTGAGAATGAAAGCGAATATATGCCCATGTCGCCCGTTCAGCCTCCGCCCATGGAGCAGCATTATATCGTTATGTCGCCCAAGACTAAAATTGCTTAAATGGAGAATTTGAATGAAATAACTCGGATAAAGGCCTGAATAGGGGAATTTGAATAATTATAAATTTAAATCTGTTTTCTATTTATATTCTCAGTAGACATTTACCCCCTTCATAAAAACTATATCCGTCTAATTGCACTCTCACTTATGTACTTTTACGTCTTTTTTTATGAAGAGGGGAATGAATATTATTCAGAATCTCATGAAAATGTCGACTGACAGTTACTAATTTGGTTTTTTTGACATCTCTTTCTAGAGTGATAAAGCATAGACTACATTCTGGGACAGGTTCAAGTGCCAAACACCTATTTGTGTCATCTGACTGTTTGGGGGATTTACACATTTAGGAGTTAACATATCACTGAACAATTCAGTGTTGAGACTAATCGCTAAGTATGACTTCCGTACGTCACTTTTACACATGGAAACCATTTAGCGCTAAGTCTCGGTTCTGAATCTTACACTTATCCCTTGTCTTTGAATCTTCGTCTATTGTGACAAAATGTCTCATTGAAGTCAATTATATTCAAATTGCTTTATTTGGCAGTGACAAGTGATATCTTCTCACCAAAACACATCATATATTTGATTAAAAAAGCTTTGACCGCATTAAATGGCTTGATCTCGACGTCTGTAATGTAATACGAATTAGATTTGCTTAATCGTTTAAAACCGCGTACAATACCGGCAAACATCTTGAACATTAAACAAGGGAGTGGGGGAATGTTTACGCAGCGCGGGACACAAATGTCAACTGATTTACCCGACACGCGATCGACACGTCACTCCGCCGCCGCCCACCACCCCCCTCCCAGTGATACCTAAAAATCGCTTCTGCGCAGGCAGGAACATTTGTTCAAGATGTTTGCCGGTATCTGTATCAATTTCATGTGTGATATGCGCGTATATATTTAGTACGTGAATTCTTCAAGCTATTTTGAACCTTATCGCTATTTATTAAAACTATGGTTGTATATATTTGGTATTGTAGCTTTTAGTAATAAACACTGCCAATAGGTCTAAGAATGTAGGTGGTTTTCCAAACGAAGTCGAAAGTTGTCCTAAAGATTCCGTATATACTGTTTCTGTATTTTACTTTTCCCAAGTACGTGAACTCCGACAGTCAAAGCAGAATTCCATTGTAAAACAAACCTTTACACCAAGCAATAAACTTTAATTTAAATGTGACAAGTCCGCTAGATTACAAAATTACTTATTAATCTTTACACGTTGACACGCCTTTTTTACAAAGAAACTGCGTGAAGAATGAATGTTCTTCCATACTTACATGCTGACTACTCGTTTTTGTCATTTATAAGCTGAATAAAATCAGTCAGTATAAGTATTTAATATACATTTTTGTAATCTGTTGCTTATCACTCAGAACTTAACTGTCATTTGTCAAAACGTGTCAAGAATTTTCTAATCGCGCATTTGAAACAAGCTGATTATTTAAAACAAATCTTCGATCTAGTTCCTTAATAAGTTTTTAGTAGATTACAATGTGCGATTACAAAAGTCGTTCTTTTAACGATAATATTTCGAATAAATAGAAATTCCTTTTATGGATCCTTTTGCAATTACCAGGAATGTTTACAGTGGCGTCGCCAGCCGGTCCTAGAGATAAAAGCATATATAAAATCAGTTACACGCTATCTCAGATACACAAAACGAAAGGTTAACTATATAAACCCGTGTGATTAAATCTGATACAATATTAAGTTAATTTAACTATAATTTCGGACACGAAAATCTTAACAGAACGAAAAAAACTGATTGATAGAAGTTAGTGACAATTTCACTTAGTATATATTTTCACCTATTTTTTGCTTTAGTCTATGGCAAGCTCAAATCGCAAAACAATACGTCATAGATTATACATAATATTAGGTAAATTAAATGGTAGTTAAAGCGTGAGTAATAAAAAATTCTGTTCGCCCTTCCCTTCCCTTTTATTGAAAAGTAAAATATAGAAACTGTGTCAAGTAAAGAGTTTTAATTTACGAAGACTTCTTAAGGAATAATTTATTTTAACACTTGTCCCAGTATTATAATTGAATAACGAGCTTAAAACGTACCCGGTTTCTATACAAAATACCATTTGTAAAAGCTATCAGTATATTTCTATACAAAATTCGAGTCGTAGAAATTACGAGTCGTATTTTGGTTAGAACCGGGGTGTTAGGGTAAAATGAAATATGGATTTTTTACACAGGTCAAATTCGAAACCGAAGTTCATGTTATAGTGTTAATAATACAAAGTTTGGAAATGATTCCATTTGAAACTTAATTGCCTATAATAGACGCACGGCATCAGCTAATATGTTTTTTCAACTTTCTTTCGTATGCGATATGTATTTTTAAAATTTCATTAACTTATTTCAGATAATAATTCTAAGTCCATATTTCGACCAATATATTGGTTTTATTAGTAGTAGCTTTGGTGTTTTGTGATATTGGTATGTTGTTGAGCTTGCGAGCTTTTGTTACGTTTATCGGATTTAAGGAAATACAAAATTAGAACGAATTGGCATTCCATTGATATTAAGAAATACTATTGTATTCAATAATTTAATGTGGAAATCGTACATACTCCCATGTTCTATGTACAAATAACAATTCCTCATTGAACTTGATCCATCTGAAGTCATAATAACAATTTTAATAATGGGTCAAGTCAAAGTTAATCGTTTAAAAGGTACCAGGGTGGCAGAAATAACAAGAGACCTAACTATGACGTGTTTTGTTCAATTGGTTAAGACCATCTTTAGTCCAATGAGAGATACGTACGTCTTTCGGTTTGCCCAATTATAATCAGCGCGTCTCTTGCTTAACATTCCCACCAGAAAAATTAAATTAAGAACGAAGAGAAAATTGTGAAATTCAAGTCGTTATAATATACTTTTGTAAAGACTAAAATTATGTTAAGCATTCTGAGGAAGGGATTGTTCTATACAAAAATTAGTTCGAAATTTGTTGGTAGAATATATAGCTTAATTCAGCTTAGCAATTGTATTTGTTAACTTAAGTATTTTCATTGCTCTATGTTGTATCGGACTGACTTTAGAAGCAAAGAATAATCTTATCGATAATAAACAATGTCGCATATAATATTTACTAATATTACTTTTATAAAAAAATTGTCGAAAGAATAAACGTCAACGCAAAGTCAACTGCAATAAAGATGAAATTTGCTTCGGCTACAGCCAATTATTTGCGATAATTATAAAATATAAATACATTGATTTGTCATGAAACAACTTTGTCCAAGCAAAGTTATATATTCCTATAAATTACCAAATCAAGATTATAGAAGCGGCAAAGTTTTTGAAAGTCATAATAGTTCGTTCTATACAATTTAATTCTATTCAAGATTCTATGATTCCTGACTGCCATTTGAGGTATAAAAGCGGTTTCTAAAAGTTCAGTCCGATACGCAAAATTTTAGATCTGCCTAATTGAATTTAGTTGTAAGTACTTAATAATTTAAAGTGATCTCTTCGTGTGATAAAGCTACATCACTGCTTCAATCGATTAGCTTTCTTCGTAGTATTATGGTTTGATTACGTTTTTTGTTGACATAGTCAAAACGGGCCCTATATCATTGATGTAAGTTACACGAGAACACATTCCCATCATAGAATACTCTTTACGCATATAAACTATTAATACGTTAATTTAAATAATATATTAACCATCTATATTAGCTCGATTTGGCATTTAACAAATGACGAATGTGTCAATTGGTTTTTGTCATTGTGAATCATGTATTATCGTTGACTATTTGAGTCTACAAAAATAATGTAATGGTCGCAAAAACAGAGACGTTATTTTAACAATGATTTACCGCAAACGGCACGCGAGCTGCACATTCGCCAGATGTGGACGCACCCTAAGACACTGACAGTCGACACTAGTTCTGACACCCGTATACGATTTTGACAAAGGGGGTCATAGAGTAAAATTAACAATCAACCGTTACTCTATCGTCTTAGATATGTTTGCGACAAAGTGTATAATTTTATAGCACTAACCCGTTATGACAGATGTCAATTTAGTTTATTTTTAGAGGTTTATATAATTTTTTGGGATATTTTGTTGTGAAAATTAAGTGATTTGTATTTTGGTTAAGATTTGTGATGGACCAAAAAATTTTGTTACTTTTTGATGCGCCGCATCCCGACGTATTTAATAAACGTTTGTATGATTATGTTGTTTTTTTCTATTACCTAATAATCTACTGAATTTTTAAATCATACCTGAGGAAGTTTTCGAAATTTTTTTTAATAAAAAAAATCTGTTGTAGGTCATCGCCCAGACACAAGCAAAAAGAAAAAACAATTTTGTTAAGGCAATTCTTTATTGATATATAGTGCTTTACTTATATTTGAAAAAAATATATATAATCGTAATTCGTCATAGTAAAAAAATAAAAGTTTGAGTGCTTGATTGACACTCCAATCTGAAATAACAACACACTTCTAAAATATTAATGAAGGATTATTTATTATTGGGATTTAATTTAACATTACAGCTTTGAAGAAGCTTTGAAATCTCCAAAGAACTAAAAGTAAATAATGAACATTTTACTGTATTATTTTCGGATAGCGCAAAACATATTTAGGAAAAAATAATATAAATATAATATCATTAATTTTTCTACACTTTAAGGAAAGTATTTTCTGAAAATTTCAGTACAATTTATTATTTACGATTTATTATTTATTTATTTATAAAAAATACTTTTCAAAAGAGATTCCAATAATCATAAGATTGCAAAATATAAAAACACTGAAACCCGTTAAGACGACATGTCATAGTCAGTCATAAAAGCATATTATTATTTCCTTCTTGAGGTTATAGCGCTTTACGCGAGGAATCGTATTAAGCGGGTTTCACTGAATTAAACTATACAGTCAAACAAGATTTTAAATATTTATAATTTTCTTGAATAAATATTTATCTATAACGCATATTAATTTTCGAATTTAATACTTATAATAATACATTTGAGATACTTAATAAATACAGAGAAAACGTCATAATAAATACAGATCAAATGAAAAAAGGCAATTTTAATACCAGGAATGTGAGAGCTATTGTATATTAATTATCTATTTTTACGCGATGTCCACATCTTATGTTAAAGCAAAAAAATAAATGTTGACAATCGACATTTCAAATATGTCAATACTCAAAATAACAATCAGGAGTAAATTATTTATATATTAACTACAATTAATTAAACGCTTTTCTGGAATAAAATGTTAGTTTTAATTATGAACAGGCTGTCAAGTTTCTTTGCTTTCAAGTGGTGACTCCTACACTGTGTTGCTTCCTTGAATATAATACTAATGAGTGTATAGCGTAACAGTTTTAAAAAAGGTTGTAACTGAACGATACTTAAAATATTCTTTGAAAATTTGTTCCTTTTTTACCCACCAACGTTTATTCCTGGTAGCTTATTTTTAAGAGCCTCTTATAAATGCACATTCGTTTACGTCATATAAAATTACTTGCGTACAATACATAAACATACGCGTGTGATGATTAGGTTTAATTAACTGTGAATACCTACTTCTATACATTGTAAATATTATGTCAATTATTATAAGTAAATATTATTATTATTTGGGTTACTTGGACATGGCACAATATATTTCAGATTTTTTTTTGTGCAGTCTGTATATATTTGAAACCCGTGTGAATTTACTAAGTGAATTTATATATTTTCATTTTGATTTATTATATTCATAACACCATTTAAAACACGCATTAACATATAAAAAATTGTTTCATATACTTAGTCAATAAATTTAAAGTTATTAAAAATCATAAGATCTAGAACAGTTAATCTGGTAGCACCGCCCCTAAGGATATACAACTCGAACACTACAGACTGGACAATTTATAAAAATATAATCACAACAGAGACAGAACTAAAGACCAAAATTAATACAATAGAAGAACTTGAAAGACAACTGGAACAACTTAATATGAATATTCACATTGCTGCCAATTCTGCAACTCCAAAAAGGACAGGTAATGGACAACCTCTGAAACATAACTCATATCCAAAAGATATTAAAGAGAAAATACACGAGCGCCGACGTTTGAGAAAAATCTGGCATACTACGGGATATCCAAGTGATAAAACTGCATTCAATAGATACTCAAATGAACTCAAAGCTCTTATCAGCACCCTAGAAAATGATAATATTCAACACTATCTCTCAAATCTAGATCCAACGAGAGACACAAACTACTCACTATGGAAGGCTACCAAGAATCTAAAGCGCCCGAAAAACCATATATCACCTATCAATGATGAAAAAGGAGGATGGGCTAGATCAGATAAAGAAAAGGCAACAATCTTTGCGGAATATCTGAAAACAGTTTTCCAACCACTCCCTGAAAACAATCCCGAACATACTTTGGAAATCAAAGAATACCTCGAGTCAGCGAATCAAATGTGTTTACCACTAAAAAGTACCAGCCCAAAAGAAATTGTGAAAGAAATTAGGAACCTCAAGGATGGTAAAGCACCCGGCTATGACCTGATTGATGCCACATTACTTAAAAACTTGCCTCATAAAGGTATCATGAAATTAGTTAACATCTTTAATGCTAGCTTAAGACTTGAACATTTCCCTGGGCAATGGAAAATTGCACATATAGTCATGGTGCCGAAACCCGGTAAACCCCCACACGAAGCTGCTTCATACAGACCTATCAGCCTGCTACCAGTTATTGGCAAACTGTTTGAGAGGATATTGCTTAACAGGATGAAAGAACATCTAAGTACACTATTACCGAACCACCAATTTGGATTCCGGGAAAAACACGGGACAATTGAACAGGTACACCGTATAGTTGACACCATTAGCAGGTGCCTTGAAAACAAATTATATTGCTCTGCAGTCTTTTTGGATATCAGCCAAGCGTTTGATAAGGTATGGCATGACGGCCTCCTGTTCAAGCTAAAAGAAGCATCTTCCACATTGTCTATTCCTAATATTGAAATCCTACTTAGAGAAAAGATGCTACCAAGTGAAGTACGGCGATGATCTCTCAGAAGTACACGAATTAAAATCAGGTGTCCCTCAGGGTAGTATATTGGGCCCTATACTATACCTCATTTTTACAGCAGACATCCCAACAACTAACTACACCACGACTGCGACATACGCTGATGATACGGCGCTTCTGTCGGCTCATAGCAACCCAGAAACGGCATCATCACAGTTGCAAAACCACCTGATAGAAGTTGAGAGGTGGCTGAAGCATTGGAGAATTAAAGCCAACGAGAGCAAATCGGTACATGTAACGTTTACTCTTAGGAGAGAAACATGTCCTCCGGTAACGCTAAACTGCAAAGTTATCCCTCAAGAAAATAACGCAAAATACTTGGGCATGCACCTAGACAGGAAACTTACATGGCAAAAACATATTTGGACAAAGCGCAAACAACTGGATGGAAGGCTGCGGACACTGAACTGGTTACTGGGACGCAAATCACAACTTAATCCTAACAGCAAGATGCTAGTGTATAAAACCACCTTAAAACCAATCTGGACTTACGGGATACAACTGTGGGGAACGGCCAGCAACAGTAACATAGATATCTTGGAGAGATTCCAGACCAAAGCTCTGAGAACAATGTTTGGCATCCCACATTGTATAAGCAATAGGTACATATACCTCGACCTCGGCCTAAAAACAGTTCGACAGGAAATAGCTCAAAACAGCCTGAAATACCAGGAGAAGCTGACCTCCCATGTAAATAAACTGGCACACGCTCTGAGCGGAGAAGGCGGTCTTCAGCATAAGCGGCTAAAAAGAAGGGACGTACCGAGCCTATATAAAAGACTTACCTCTTAACATCAAGAGAGTCGTGGCTCTGTCGAGTATGGCTCTTGAGGATAACATGAACTGAGTAAAATCAAACAAACAAGTGGCTTATTGCTGGATAGCAGATTGCCATGAAGCAGATACAACAAAAAAAAAAAAAAAAAAAAAATCATAAGATCTAGAAATCATAACTGTGATGGCAATACTCGTGATAAATCTAGTCATAATTGTTTATTTTCTATGTGGTCCCAGATTTGACCACACATATCAAATTAAAAGCAAATTCTAAATTACTTCCCATTCGCTATCCAAATGGTCGTCAGGAGAGAGCAAATTTAAGCCATCTTTAACTCCACTTTTCATTTCTAATCTTAGCTCAATACTCTCCAAATTCCAATTATTCGGCAACTGCATTACTTTTGGAACCAAATCTGTTATTTTGTCGACTTTACTCATTGGTTTTTCCACATTCGTATCAACTTTTTTAATCTGTGTTTTCATATCTATGGGCTTGTTAGTATCGTGTATTTCTTTTTTATCGTCTATGGTTTTATTGACATCTTTGACCATAAATTTACTGTTTTTTGTCTCTATTGGTTTGTAGATTGGATCCTCGTAGGTTACATTACTGTCATGACTCTTGATACTAAGAGATTCTAAGTTCAGCATTTTCGCTAATATCTTCTCTTTTTCTTCTATTTGCTTCTCGAGTTGTTCATCGTTTTGATCTGGATTGTTCCTGAAAGACATATTGTAAATGAATAGTTTTGGTAGCTTACCAGTCATAAGCTGAATTATAATTTTTAATTTAAACAGTTTTTCTTGTTGAACGATAAGTCGTGCGTTAAAACTTCGTCTTTACACATTCTCACGCAATTAATATTAGGAACGTTCGTCTACAGAAACCAGTAATTTAAAAAAACAATCGACAATATGTCCCGCAATACTTAAAAAAAGCCTTAAAAAAATTGAATTATTTAACGAATGTCTTAATAGTCTAGATACCGTCGGTAATTAATGCGAGACGTCAAAATTCGTTTTGGAAAAAGTATTTAGATTCAGTATGGAATACCAAAGATTCGTGAGAAAAAAACCACAAAGAACAATACATACCCATATATACTAACATTCATTACACAAGGACTGGTGTAGCTGACATCTCTGAAACAACAAAAATAAGATGTTCACTAAAGATAATCACTGCACGTAGTACAGTTAGCAATTCGGGAGTTAAATAGACTATTATTGAGCAACTTCCTATTTATAACGTAAAACATTTCAATGCAGAGAGAAAAAGTACATGTAATGAAAAATTATCAGTGGAACATTCGCTTTACCTAGTAGATTTCCTTTTGTAATCTGTGGAATCGACCTCTACAGGGAGGTACGAGATTGTCTATATACAACCTCCAGGTATTAAATATAGGCCGAAAAAGCATCCAATAAAAAAGTAGGTGTCTATGGGCCGTCTTGTATTGCTGTCTCACAGGCTCGTATTTTACAAAAAATGTTTTACCTGCTCCTAGACCGGCTTCGTACTGGGGTCATCAACCTTGGGGTACTGCCACCGGACCCTGCATCCCTCCTCCGACTGCGCCTACTATGTATCAGCTCATCGTCATACTTTTTCTCCATTATGCTATTATACAACTTTAACTTCCTTTGCAGCTCCTCAGATTTAACCCGCCTTATTTCTTCTACATCACTTGACACGTCCCTAAACTCGTTTATAATAGATTCTAGAACATTGTCAGATATGTCACGCGGTAGATGCTTTATTGGCGGGAGTTCGAAACATTCTTCTCCGTTCGGTACGTTGTCTATAGTCTCGTTTCGCGTGAACATGGCTATGGGCTGTTCGAGAACGCTTGTGACGTAGGGTACTGCTTGGTCGATGTGTGTGAGGTCATATACTGTATTCACCGCTTGCTGGAGCGTTGTGAGCGATTTGGACATTATCGGCTCGTCTGTTAAATTTATATAGACTTAGTACGATTAAAAGCAGAACAGATAAAAAGCACAACATCCAACAGAGCCATTGCTCACAAAACAACAACAAGCGGTTGAAAAATGGTAAAAGGAAAATTAATTTGAAAAGAATTGTTAAAATAAAAATGCGCAAATAAAACAAAAACATATATTAACAAAGTACAATGGCCTTGCTGGTATCGTTGTCTACAAAATTATTTCGTTCACTCGTAATATAATGAATGAAGGAAATGGAAGTACCGATTTGGTTTAATGTCAAATTATTAAAGTTAAGTCGTCGGCATAATAAGAAATGTTACTTATAAAATTAGCCTATATAACAATGCCTGTAACAACAAATTGTGCGAAACCAAATCGTCATAAAAATCAACCTATATGAGACTAGATCTAAATTCACTTTAATTACTAATAAATGACTTAAGGTAATATAATTAGATAAGTACCTCATTATTTTTTAGGTATAAACATTTTAAATTATATGTAAAAAAACAAACCGATCAGGGACTTGCTCTGCCATTGAATATTTCTTGTTCATCGGACAATGTATATTGAGAAAGGAATTCTTCTGAACAGAATTCCAGCATTTTTAATAATAGTAATAATAAAGCAGTGCTAAACCCTAAATGGTTCTTGGCCTTTAATCGACAGTGTAATAAGACTTATCCCATCCCGTCGTCGATTTCTTGTGTCTAAGAGATGTCGGTTTCCTCACGAAGTTTGCCTTCACAAATAACGCACATTTACATAAATTCGTTCGAATTCACAACAGTCAACAACACTGCTCGTCACTATATAGCGTGCATTCTAACCCCTTCGAGGTTCTGAAACCAGCTGCGCACGGGATTTTATTTCCATATACTTGCTTGTACAATTGAGATCATCTTTTTTCAATCTATCCAACACATAAATGTCAATAGCGGAGTTATTCACTGATCATTTCTATTAATACTTGTATCTAAGACTTAAACGTCGAAAACATAATAATAATAATATGTACTATAAAATGCGAAAGGAATAATTTAGCGCATGCTTTAAAATGGTTCGATCACTAACATTAATACTCATATAACACTGATATTCATGCATATTAAACATGGATTATTTAGTAAGGCACTGATGAATTTATAATTAAAAATATATGTATACTAGAAAAAGCACAGATTACTATCGCATCCTATAAAAAAAGCAAATGAATATATACGGATAATCGACATTTCTGTGTCTGTTCATTTATATTTTACACGCATCAAGCAAGCGAACACAGGAGAACTTGTCTAAATCAAATAATTTCTTTTCTAAAACATTAGTGGGTCTATAAAGAGAATTATCAATAAAACAGTTGAATGAAATCCAAGAGCCATATCGATAGATGCCAATAATTTTCTAAGAAAATTTTACAAAAATGGTTATGGTTATTATAAAACTAATACTATTCATTCATCGCTTTCTTAAATTGTTTACAATGTGGAAAAAACAGATGAGTAAAGTCAACAGCACCATTGTCATGTCAGATATATATATATATATATATTATATATATATAGATATATCGTAGATATCTAATATATAAAATTCTCGTGTCGCGGTGTTTGTAGTTAAACTCCTCCGAAACGGCTTGACCGATTCACATGAAATTTTGTGTGCATATTTGGTATGTCTGAGAATCGGACAACATCTATTTTTCATCCCCCTAAATTTTTATTTTTTAGATTATTTTTTATTTTTTTTCATGACACAGCATTAAAAAATACATACAACCCATAATTTTCACCCCTCTACGATCAACCCCTATTTTTTATTATAAATATACATGGCAAAACGATGTTTGCCGGATCAGCTAGTATTTTATAAAAACCTCCATTATTTGTTATTTGCCGTAAAAGACAAGTGATTAAAGTTAAAAATATTAAGTACCACGTAATTCTTATCCTAAATGGTAAAATGCATAAAAAATATAGCATTGGTCCTTATTTGGTATTCGTAAGGCACTAAGTATTTGTGAAAAATAAAATTTTCTAAACTAAAAGTATTAAAAAATAAACATCATTTTCATAAGCTAAGAATAACAATACAATAAAATCATCAATCGAAATAATTTTCAATTGGAACTCGTCCTACAACTGTATGCTAAAACAAAACTTAGGTGCTGTTTTAAAAAATTAACTTTGTTTCGCTTGATTGTGAATGGTCAACCTCTCTAGACCAATGACAATCAAACGACGCGTTCAAAAGTCTCGTTTATAACTCGGATATAAACGGGAGTTTATTATTTACATAACACGACGTTCGAGTGATTTACAGCAGCTGGTAAGCGCTCGTCCAGTTATTTAAATGAAAATTTCACGTTTTGACATAAATTTGCTAATTTTATAATTATATTAGTGACCATAGTATTGTTATTCAGAGGTTGTATTATTTGAAACATTGTTTAATTGACGTTATATATTAAAAGCGGTGTTTTAATACTAATTTTATTAAAACGAAAAATTGGTATCAGAGGAACATCCAACCCGAGTCTGCTATCGGTCACTTTGGTCTATGGTTCTAATTCCATGTCACTGTCTAAAAATCGATCTTCAAAACGAAACACGAATCATATATAGTTCCTTATTTCGTTTCCGCGTCTTATTCATTAAATATTTCTAAACAAAATTGACAAAATCACATCATCTTCGGACTAATATATAAGAGACTTGGTATAAACGGGTTGGTGCAGCATGTCTGATACAATTTTTCATTGCAAATTGCACCTTAATGCAACGCAATAAAGGTGAACTTTTATTTATCAATTTTAACTTCCGTGAATATATAATGTCGGGTCTTTATTGCCTTGTCTTAAGGTGTATTTTCCAGTGCAATATTTTCGAATAATATCCGACTTGCTGATTGCACAATGATCTTTTACTGGTTGAGTGAGGATTGCCTATTGGCGAACAGACCTTGCGCAAGCGTCGCTGGCTCTGGCTTATGTGCCAGACGCACTAGAGACCTCTCCCCTTCCAGGATGAAAATTTCTTCCTTGTTCACGGATACCGACAGGATGCTGAAAAAAAAATTATATTAAAAAAGCTTTGCCCAGAGAGAACCTCAGATACGTAAATTTTATATTGTAAATGTTTCATGAATAAATAAATAATTTCGGAAATCGAAAAGATTCTCGAAATTCATTATATGGAATATAGCGATAGGGCCGCCTGTTTATAATTGGCTGAATGTAAAGAAAGGTAATTAAAAAAAATCAAATACCAGTCAACATTCACCTATATTATACATGTTTCCTCCAGGATTGCGTGGTTATCCATATCTCAAAAACAACTGAATCTTAGGATACAAATACAAAAACGACGGACTATTTTCTGATAAAACTTGGACTGTTCCTGAAGGTTGGTCACCTTGGAAAGATAACACACTCAAATCCAATTCCAACAATATTTATTTCCCACATTCTTTTGTTACAGGTATTACCAATAAGATAGAACTACACAATAAAACCTAAACCGATAATTCTACAATTAAAATACATAAGCCTCCTTTTTGTAGTCGGTTAATGGATCTTACCGTCTAAGATCGTCAACGACAGCCACGGCGGTGAGCGACCTCGGGTCCAACACATAGAGGAAGTGTTCGTTGTGCGAGACCAAAAAATGTTCGCGGAACACGTGTAAGGGACCAAAGTTGTACTCCTTCTCCGAGTGGCTGTGCTTCTTCTGAGACGGGTTCAGCAGCTCCGCCACGGTTAGAGGGTTAGAGATGGCTTCCTACAAATATTTTTTTCATAGTTGAGATATTTATAAATTATCGCTGAGATAAGAGTGCACACGTGCGTAGCATAGCGAGCACAGGCAGACAGAAAGGAAAATTTGAAAAATATTTTTAGTAGTGTTATACTACTTTTTAATCTTCCTAATTCGTTGTGAGTAGCTTTTTTCAATGTATAGACAATACTGAACATTTTTCAAAGGTAAAGATAGATAGATAGACCTTATAGATCTAACTCGTTTCAAGAACAGATTGGTCTCAGGTGTTTGTTGCTCTTAAAATTACTGAATCTACGCATCAGACGCATAAATATATGATAGCCTCAAAATCATAAATTTATAAAAATAGTCAAAATCTAGATAAAATAACGAATAATTAACGTAAGTTTCATACAAAACTTTTATAGTTTTGGATGACTATTATGAACATTTTATTACTAACCTTGAATAACAATGTCTGAAGAACATTTCCGGCCCGATCGGCTCGCCAAAGCCTCAGACCTGCGCGTGCGCAGTATGCGTTTGCAGCTCCGCCCTGCGCATATGAGTACTGGAAAACCGCGCCCAAGGAGCACAAACTGAAATCATCAAAATACAATGTTTTAATTGCTAATAAATTCTTCTTTTTGGCTGGCTAATAGGAATGAACTATTTTTTTCATTAAAAAATATTCTCGACAAATTTAGTTTTAAAGCCATTACCCGATTTCTATTATTTATGTTAAATTAATCAGCAAATGGAAACTCAAATTTTTAAAACATACTAGTTCCTAATAAATATATAAAAAAAATTGTCGTAAGATTCAAAAACATTTTTATGCTTTAAAGTACATTCCCAATGGGGTTCCGGTTATTCATTTGAAATATTACCTTTTCCTTTCTTTTTTGCCCAGTTGGCTGACGTGCCACCGGTTGTCTCGTCTTTCACACACTATGCTGCGGTACTTGCTCGACACTAATAAACTGTTTTGATAGTAACTCATTTGTACGATCTCATGTTGTTCATTCACTATCTCCATTGACTTGCATAAGTGCTGTGAACAAACAAACCATTTTCTATTAACCTATAAGTCATACATGTTAGTCCTACTGGTGTTTTAAATAAACAGCACTAGGCCGTTAAATAATTGTCATTTTTCTACATAAGCTCATGCTGAAAATTAAACATTAGTTTAAGAATTTAAAGACAAATACATTGATAAAGACCAAAGTATGCTTATGATAACGGAAGTAAGACATTTATTAGTTTCATGACTGCGAAAGACTTCATTGAAATCTTTCTTTTATTGGAAAAATACGATTAAAAATTATATCAGAATGTACAAACCAAAACTATAAAGAATCTCACGGAATTTTCTTATTTTTTGGAAACAATCTGTAGATTAACTTTATTTTATAACAGTACTATTTGGTTGGTAAAGTATGCATGTAATAAAAATGATAATATTATTAAGAAAGTAATATTAATATGAGTGGATAGAATAACAAAATACTTGTGGTTTTGATGCAGGTTCAAGTTATTATGAACTAACTTAAAGGTTGATTTTCATTTGGTTAAACATAAAAAAATTTATACAAAAAATTTTCAAAACAATTGCAGTAAAGCTAATCTGTTGTTTCAAACAAAGGCATCAACAGTATAAGTAATGTGTCTTTGCGTCTCTCTAATATAACTGACAAGAATTATTTAAAGAAAATAATGAAATTTAAAATTTGACTATTAATATATTAAACATAAAGTAACCAGGGAGGGATAACATTATTGTATTTATCTTTAATTCTATATTTAGATATGACTTCAGTTGTAAGAGGGTAACCCCCTGGCTTTATTCATCAGCTGGATTAATTTTAACTATTATATTGACTGATAAGCTATCTATTACATAGATTTCATTTGTTAGAATTAAATTCTATACCTACATAATTACTGACATCAACAATTATATGAAACAAAATATATATATATAATATATATATATTTTGTTATATAATAAATTAGATAATTCCCTATTTACTATCTATCTATCTATCACAAATATATATGCTTTTTTTTGTAATAATGTCAATGCTCTTTTAGATAGGCAGGTTAATGTACTTACCATGTAAAAATCAATTTCAGTCATAATAATTACACCATCTTTGTCACCAGAAAACAGTCTCATCCCATTTTTAGACCATTCAATTGAAGTTATTTTACTTTTATGTAGGTCTCCAATAGTATACCTAAACCAAAGTTTTATTTAAGATAGTTTTAAGATGAATTCATCATAAAAATTTAAACAATTTTAAGCCTGAACAGTTAGAAAATTCAAGTAATCTTTACTCACCTTTCAACTTTGGGTTCTACTTTAGGCTTAAAAGTATCAGGAACATTTTCAGGGTGCTCTTTAGGAATTTGAAATACTGTAACTTGTCCTGTTGCATTACCTGCTCCAACCATATAATCCACTGTGCTTACTATCTTTACAAAGGTTATAGGGGATGTAGAGGCCTAAAAACAAGGTTAAGGGCTTAAAGTGCAATTTCATTATGTAATTTAGGTTTTGAATGTGGTGAACCACTTACCAAAACCAAATACCTTAAAAATGTTATATTAAAAGAAAAAAGATGCTTGAAAATATTATATTAATGTGAAATATTTGATAAATTAGCTTAGTTTTTTTTACAGGACAAATATTATAATAAGTAAGATAAGATAAGTTCTAGAAACTTTGCTAATTGCTATTAGAAACCAATTCTTGCGAAATTGTTACAAGGTGACCAAAAACATACCTCACAGCGAAGTCGTTGTATATTGCCTTTTTTCCTATCATACCAATACACCAGTCCCACATTCGTTCCTAAAGCTATGTATTCACTAACAGCATCAACACAGGTTAAGCACAGTTCATTAGAAAATATTCCATTTTGGATTTTTGGTGGTATCAAGCTCAAAATATGTGAACAAGGTGTCCATTCTCGTACAAAACCTTCCTCTGCACCACTTGTAACTTCCATTTTTTCTCCCTGGCTTTACTGTGGGTTCATATTCTATGCCGTATTAAATGCATATTTTCTAGAAACCGAATCAAATTTTGACTTCTAATAAGAAAATAATAGGAAAACCTCGTAACTAAACTATATTTAAGTACAATTTTCAACTCTCAGTTTTTCTACTCTGATATAAATTGTCAACTGTCAAACAAGGAAAGAATAAAAATAAACATAACTGTAAAAAAACATCAGTTTCTAAGCATTTAAATTTCTAACATAAAATAAATAAATATTTTTAAAAATCTATACTATTTTTATAAGAAATAATAGTATTATTTGAAAAGTAATTTTAAATGTAACAAATCCAATTACTGAACGAATATTAATAAATAATAGATTGCCAAGTGCCAACACAACGGATAGCAATGACGACTGACGTGTTCGTTTAGCTAATAGCTTTAGACTTGACATTTGTTATTATATTGTCAAATTTGTACCCGTAGGAGCAGGACGCGTAGCAGTACTTAGAAAACTTTATTTTTATAATAAAATGGCAGAATCCGTGACAGAAATACCGGTTAATATAGAAGAAAGTATAAAAGAAACTTTACATAATGGAACAACCAAACCTTATATGAGTATAGAAGGGGTGGCGGTCGCGTACTTAAGTTTGGTGGTCATGGCAATTTTACCCATATTTTTCGGATCATTTCGTTCAGTGAAATATCTTAAAGAGCAAAAGGTATATATATTTTATTATAGGGTGCAAAATATTACATAGAATTAAACATAATACTACTTTTCCAAGATGCAAGTAAAATGGCGAGAAATATTAGTTCAAACGTATTTGTCATCGTGGCAGTGCTCTTCTTACTAACACCATACTGCTATTTGTAGTAACGATAATTATATTCTTAAATATATGCTCTTGACTATTGAAATGTACATCTCCCTATCTGAATTTACAGATTTTTAGGGTATAGAGAAAAGGATGGACAGTTTTTTTCAGTTGATACTCTTTGCCTAATTTTTCTTAGAATGTAATATGTGTTAGTACTGTAGGATCCCACATATTTATTAATTAATGATAGAAAACTTTTTATTAACTCGTTAGACTTAACTATGAAACAAGTCAAAAAAAATATTTTATAACTATATTTGAAATAGTTGCTTTTGACACACTTTTTTCTGAGTCCAGTTAGTCTCTTTCTCATTTTACCTAGTTTTAATAGTTGTATTATAGTAGTTTCAATTTGTAATATTAAACAATAGAATCATTGTATATTAAATAAATCATTGTAATATTAAATAATAGAATATATTATATTTTTAATAAATTAGTTAATCAACTTAAGTATAAACATTAATAAGCATGGCATTGTCTTAAAAATCTTAATTTATAGGAATCTGGTGAGCGCCCTGAAACAATGTCCAACCGTGATGCACTCATGTTCCCAGTGATTGCCTCATGTGCTTTATTTGGTCTCTACATATTCTTCCAGTTCTTCTCCAAAGAGTATATAAACCTGCTTCTTACGGGTTACTTCTTTTTCTTAGGAGTATTGGCACTTAGTCATTTATTAAGGTGAGTTTTAGAGAATTTTTTGTAGTGATAATTTTATTCTAAGATTTTGCTTCTATAAACTTTTATATATTAGTTTCTTACAGTATGATGTACATATTTCAAAATTATTAATATTAGTAAAACATGGCTTAATTCTATTACCATGCTCTATGTTTCTTGTTAATCATGCGACTAAGAATAATGTTCATATTAGTTATAGACATACTTTAAAGAAAACACTATAACTAATTATTCTCCAAACGCAGCCCAATCATATCAGTTATGATGCCAGCATCAGTTTCAAAGGTGCCCTACCACATATTATTTACTCGAGGTGATCGAGATGTGGTCAACTATAAGTTCACCTCTTATGATGTCATATGTCTGGTTATTTCATTTGTCTTCGGCCTCTGGTATTTACATAAGAAGGTGAGTTACCTTGCGATATTAATTTTTTTTATTTTTTATTAATTTAATTTAATTTTCTTAATTTATACACAGTGTTATGGGGAAAAATTATGACTAGAATATTATGTGAAACATTTCTGTGACATATAGAATCTATATGTCTATATGAAAGTCAAAATTTTGTTAACAGTTTTAAGACAATTGTGCTAGTAGACGAATTTGAAATTTATCATAGTTAAGATTATATAGAATAGGGCATAAAGCTATTTTTATAATAAAAAATGCTTAACTCGAACAAAATTTTGTCATGTCTTCCACTGTATTCTTGTACTGTAGTATTTTTAATCGGTTTTGGTAATTAAATGCTATCCATTAAGGACTACTCTGGGTTGAGCCATGCGCCTTAACCACTAAGGCATAGAGCTAATAAGAGTACATGTTGTATTATTTCTGTTAAATCAATTTTATATTTTCAGCACTGGATCGCAAACAATCTGTTTGGTATTGCATTTGCAATCAATGGAGTAGAGCTTCTGCAACTTAACAATGTTGTTACTGGCTGTATTTTATTGTCTGGACTGTTTTTGTATGATATTTTCTGGGTGTTTGGTACAAACGTGATGGTCACTGTTGCCAAGTCCTTTGAAGCGCCCATCAAATGTAAGGATATGTAATAGAATGCTTTAGATTTTACTATTTTAAATCTTTCATCTTTCAAGTATGAGTCCCGTAAATTAAATCTAATACGAATTTAATTTAATAGTATAACTTAAAAGTTGTAACCAAGATTTTGATGTTTTAAGCTCATTTTTGTGTTTTTTTTATTTTTTTAATGCGTCAACTTTTAGAACAAGTATACTTTTGCCGAATTAAAATGCCCACATTTTCTTTTACAAAAAATCTGGAAATTAAAAATGGGAATCTAGGGGACTTAATTAACAAACTTTTGACGGGCAAGAATCATATCATATTTTTGTTATGTTTTCATTCCCATTTTCTAACTTACTACTAATACTTTTACAGTGGTGTTCCCACAAGATATTTTCGTGAATGGCTTCAATGCCAGTAACTTTGCCATGTTGGGTCTGGGAGACATTGTGGTGCCCGGTATCTTCATTGCTCTGCTTTTGCGCTTCGACAAAAGTCTTAAACGCAATTCAGAGTTCTACTTCAGGTATAAATTTTTTATTAGACATGACTTTTCAATGAATTAGTGAATAAATTTGAACACATTTAGGTGTGACAATAAAAAATAATGCCTTTAGATTGTATCTGTTTCGTGATTTTTTTAAATAGGCAAGTCCTTGCCAAATATACATACACTTACAAAGTAAAGAACACGGCATGAAAGCCTCAATAATTACGTAAGAAAGAAAATAACGTCATTAAGACACTAGAGAAATAATGTTCTACATTGATTTGTATTTATTTTAGCATTTTACGATACTAATTTTCTGTTACTTTTCGACTCTAGAGCTACGTTCACAGCCTACATCGTAGGATTATTGGCCACGATCGTGGTAATGCACGTGTTTAAACACGCACAACCCGCTTTGCTCTATCTGGTACCTGCCTGTCTCGCAACACCCCTTACTCTTGCGTTACTCAAAGGAGATATCAACGCTTTGTTCAAGTGAGTATCATAAACCATTTGCCGCCGTAATTTAGATTTTTAATGTTTTTTATCTTTTAGATTGGTCAGAGAATAATTTCTCATTATATTTTGTTCCTACTAATAATTATGTATACAATTGCGTTCATAGCTCTCCGAAACTAATATATAGATAATTCCTAAATTAAAGAGTGAGAAATTGTGTATTGATAGGAACTTTATGTAATATAATAATAATAAAATAAAATAAAATTCTAAGTAGTGTTTAATAAATGTTAATCTTTATATTATACTAATTATTGATTTTACAGCTATGAAGACCAAACAGCCATCGAAGAGAAAGCAGACGCGAGTAAGACAAAGAAATCTGAATAATTTAGAATAAAATAATTCGTCAAGCACAAATTTATTGCACACCATGGTTATTAAAAGTTAGGGACCATGATTGGCAAAATTTTCAAATACACGGCTATAACTTAAGTTACGTTTTAGATCTCAAACTGCATCTTATGAAAATCCTCCTTAAAACTGTTTAAAAAACGTCGTCATAACGGTATATGTTACCCTTGATTATGCTATTCCAGTCCTTTATTACGGGGACGAGCCGTTTATTAGAACCAACATGCTAAGAAATCTGAGACCAAAAGCTATAAACTACTAGATTATATTTATCTGTGATAATTTGTATTTAGTAGAAATTTAAATGTCAACACTACAACATGTACTTAGTATACGTACGTAAGTACGCGTATGTGTGTATACTTTGTTCGGCGATCTGTACCATGAGTATGTCAGAGTATTAAACGCTAACGGAAAGCAAAATTTAATACATTTTCTTGGCTATTTATTTTAAATTTTCCAATGCGCGATAATTGTAAAGCCGTGTATTTCTTAAAATAATTCATTCGATCTTCCCGTATCTTCCATTGGTGGTATTTTGAAACTTGTTTAATTATTAATATTTAGCTAAATACAATTAGTTATTGTTAGAAAATACCTGAACGTGTTGCCCTTCTCACAATTATTTTTATACTTTGAACCATGTAAATAATATATTTTCTTACGAACTGGAAATTAGGTTGTTGTTTCAGAATTTACAAGTGTATGTTACAAATAAATTTTCTCTTTATTTTATAAGTTCTTTTGCTTGTTTCTTTATAACCTGTATTTTTTATTTTATATAGGCAGTTTAGAAAATTTTGATATTTTTCTTAAATACCTTTTGTTCTTATCGTATTCTTAGATTTCATTGGTACATTTTATGGATTGTACTTCATAATATTCTTCTAATCTACTAACGAATGCTACCTTACGGAGACCAAAAACAGCTGTAGAGTTTCTATTTCATTGTTATAAAGCGAAATAAATCTTGAATGCGATAAAATTTATTCTTATATTATTTCTTCACTGCCTATAGTTTATTGGTAAGTTTTACGTCATAATATGAATTTATATCGAATTTATATACGACAATTGACAACAATGTCTGGGCTAAGTAATAAATATTAAAAAATATTTTTTTCTTTTACTGTCTTGTCCCCTTATAACGTGGCTAGTGTGATATTGGCTATAAAAATCAAATTAGCTTTCGTCCGAGCTTCCATATATATAATGCCCATATACAAGATATGCGCGGGATAGTTTTAACAGAACTCAAGAATATATTATAGTAATTGGAATGTCAATCAACAGCTTAAGTAAACCATTTTTAGCCTTGGCCATCCACACTTTTTACGAGGAGACGCGAGAGTAGGGATGTGACATTCTGCATAAAAAAATCGATTTTATTTTTTTAGCACGAAAAATCGATTAATAAATAATCGATTTTTCTTTAAAAAATCATAATTGAAATTAACTTAATCTCGTTTTGATAGATTTTAGGTGAAATTTGATAAATGCTGAGTATATGCCTTTTCAGTAGCACATTGCAGTATTTTTGTTGTCTTTTTAATTGTATGTAGTCTTGTGCTGCTGAATAAATTTATTTTACTTTTAAATTATAGTATTCCATTCAAACTTGATTTTTTGTAAAATTAACTGGTTTTATCATCCTTTCGATGTTTTACAAAAAAAAACATCAATGCATCGAGTATATCAATACATCTTCAATGTATCGCATTGTAAACATCGTTGTATATCGAATATCCCTAATAGTTCGAGGTCCGGATTATAAAAGACCAGACATTATGTCGGGAGGTGACAGATAAAAAATCGACTATGATTGATTTTCAATTATATAATATATATAAAAATCGCGTAAAAAATTCGATTTTTACTTTAAAAAAAATCGATTTTTTTTCACATCCCTACGCGAGAGTATGGGACGATGCTCTCATGTCGCCTGGCCAGCTCTGTTTTTTAGGGAGCGAGGCGAAAGCATCAACCACACTCTCGCGCTTTTTCACTTTGGTGTTGATTGATATCACAAGATATTTTTTTTAAATATTTGTGATATTAACGCAAGGCATTATAATATTGGTAGGCACATATAGTAGCTAACGTAGTCATTCCAATCTTGGCCATATCTTCGTATATGTAGCGAGCAATAAAATAAACCGAGTGTGGATGGCTACCACTCGTGCCGGCTTGACTCGCCAATATTCGTGACGAGAGCATCGCGAGTCTGGTCACTGGTGCCGTATTAAGACGTAATTTTGTTAGTGTTGCTATCTCAAGAATTAATACTTATCTAATTGAAGTTATATTTATTTTTTCTTGTTGGGGGAATCTTTCAGAAATTCATTACTTAAGGTAAGCTTATTAGAATAATATATTTTCTACAGCAATAAACAATATACCAGAAGTTTTTTTCTGGTGCTTAATAATGTCAGTTAACAGTATTTACAGTCGATCCTACTGCGTCAAACTATAAATGTAGAAACTTACTGTTTCTTAAATTTACATTTCCCAAAAATACTTCAATAATAGAAGTAGGTATATAAATTCGGAGGTCGACTAAAAATTATAAAAGTAGCCCATTAACCAAACCAAATAATAAAATATTCGTTATTACTGTAGGGTTTAGCGATACTAAGCACTGCTGTGAGTCTACTTTAATAAATTACATTATTAACCAATTATATAATTTTCATATGGGGAACAATTAAAATACTTAGTATATTATATATTACTTTATTTGAATCAGTCTGTTGTACATTCAAAATATATTCAATTAGAATAAGTTATATTATTTTTATATAATCAAGCTTATGTTAATATGCGGGCACCGTGTGTGTATCTATATACAGACATGATCCCCGCGAGTAGGTTGCCCTTTGTAGAGCCGTATTGCAAGCTTCCATTTTAATATTCGCGTACCGTATAATTTCTACTTTGCACAGTTAGATGGCGTTATAATCTAAATGGCACTTCGTTAACAAATATATTCGTAATGGTGGCTGTACACACTCGGCGAGAGCCTCTCGCCGAGAGTCTCGACCGAGAGGACCGAGAGAAGAGCGCAGCCTGTACACACTCGTTACGTTATTTGTATTTAAAACACCGTTAATAATGGACGTGGAAACCGCTGCTGCTGTTTGTCTTTGTGCAATAAGTTATTATAATTTTCTTCACGTTTACCATTAAAAAAAATTACGAAGCCATGGCGAAGAAGAAGATGGTGGATGGTTACTATGCACCGCAACAGAAATACATCCGATCCCTAAAAAAGGCGATCGCTCTGATCCGTCCAACTATCGCCCAATAGCTATAACCTCCTTGTTCTCCAAAATAATGGAAACCATTATTAACAGCCAGCTCTTGAGGTATCTAGAGGGCCACCAGCTGATTAGCGATTCTCAGTACGGCTTCCGTCGTGGTCGCTCGGCTGGTGACCTCCTTGTATACCTTACACATAGATGGGCAGAGGCAATTGAGTCCAAGGGGGAGGCGCTAGCGGTTAGTTTGGACATAGCGAAAGCCTTCGATCGGGTGTGGCACAGAGCACTGCTCTCGAAGCTTCCAGCCTATGGGCTTCCCGAGAAATTACGCAATTGGATCTCCAGCTTTCTGGCCGATCGGAGCATCAAGGTCGTCATCGACGGAGCATGTTCCGACCTAAAACCCGTAAACGCTGGGGTCCCACAAGGCTGTGTTCTATCCCCGACCCTATTTCTTCTGCATATCAATGATATGTTGAAACTTAGCAACATTCATTGCTATGCGGATGACAGTACTGGGGATACTTTTTACACTGGCCGGGCAGGTATTTCTCGGGCAGTTGTTGATGAGTACCGGAACAAACTTGTGTCTGAAGTTGAAACTCTACTTCGTGGAGTCTCAGATTGGGGCAGACAAAACCTAGTCCAATTTAACCCCAAGAAGACACAAGTTTGCGCGTTTTCCGCTAAAAAACACCCTTTGTCGCTACTCCTCTTTTCGAAAACACTCTTCTTAAAGCCACAGCCAGCATTGGAATACTTGGCGTTGACATATCGAGCGACGTTCAGTTTCGCGGTCACTTGGAGGGAAAGGCTAAATTAGCCTCCAAAAAGCTTGGTGTGCTCAGCAAGGCGAGACGGTACTTCACTCCGGGCCACCGCATGCAACTATATAAAGCGCAAATTCGGCCCCACATGGAGTACTGCTCTCACCTCTGGGCGGGGGCTCCCCAGTACCAGCTCCTTCCACTTGACCGTATACAACGCAGAGCGGTTCGAATCGTTGACGACCAATCCCTCTCCGAGCGGCTTGATCCTTTGGCGTTGCGTAGAGATGTGGGGTCACTCTGCATCTTCTACCGCATTTACCATGGAGAGTGTTCAGAGGAGTTGTTCGGATTAATACCTGCAGCTGAGTTTCATCATCGGACGTCGAGGCAGAATACGAAATTCCACCCGTATCACCTCGACGTCCGACGTTCCACAACTGAGCGTTTCTCAAGGCAGTTTTTGCCGCGCACCACCACTATGTGGAACCAGCTGCCCACTGAAGTATTCCCGAACCAATTCGACTTAGGGTCCTTCAAGAAAAGAGCGTACCAATTTTTAAAAGGCCGGCAACGCACTCGCGAGCCCTCTGGCATTGAGAGTGTCCATGGGCGGCGGTATCACTTAACATCAGGTGAGCCTCCTGCCCGTTTGCCCCCGTTCTATAAAAAAAAAAAAAAAAAAAAAAGGTAATTAGGTTCATAAAGTTACGTCCACGGTACGTAGCCATGAGTGAATCTCGCTTTTTCTTTAGTTCCTCAATTGGGATATCCATCGGCCGGCTTATTCGCATCCAAGCATCATGTAGAGATTGTTTATTTTTGTGTCCTACATCCTTCGGATTCCATAACAACGATTCCCTTTGGTAACACTCCTAAAACTCTAATTCGCGTTCGTTAGACCACATTGTGCGATACGTCCTGTCACAACCACAGTCATCGAGCAAGTGATTGAACGAGTGTGTACAGGTCGCTCTCGTTTTACTCGCGAGACCCTTTGACTCGTGCGCAAAAAACCGACAGGCGACCGAGAGAGGCGAGACCGACTGCGAGGAAGCGAGGCGAGACGAGAGCTCTACTGTACACTCTCGCCCTCGGCCTGTCTCGGGGTGTCTCGCCGAGTGTGTACAGCTACCATAAGATGCCGCATACAAAATACCAATTAATCATTTATAGATATATTCTTGTTGAAAATTCCCAATCCGGTGCATTCGATAAAGTTTTTGTCTCCATCCGGTCGTATTGTGAATTTTATCTGAAAATAATAAAATTAACATGAGCGTTTCTTTGATCAAACAGGAACTGTCATATCACGATTTTTAACTAATCTCAAATACTCATAAATTCAAAATGAAAAATATTCACGAAAAATACTATAATCTAATATTGTATACACCTGCTGCAATGAGTTAATCTCCAAACTAATGAACCATTTTTATGATAAAAATAAAGAAAAAATATCATCTCAATATGACGTATAATTTGTAAACAAACATTGCGAAATTTAGTTAGTATAATCAAATATTATGCACTTTCAGCAATATAACATGCCGACAGGTCTAAACTGACGACTCCTTTTTTAAAAACATTTCCAATAAAAATCAAGTAAAAATGATTTCTACCTTAGCAATGGTCTCGGCTATATGTATTGCTGTCTTTGTGTGTAATGTGATCTCTCCTGTATGAACAATTGATTTCCCATCCGCCAGGCACATATATAATATCATTTGGTCCTTAAATGTATAACCAAATGTTATTTTAATGTTGGAAATAAATATATTAAAGAGAAATTTAAGATTGTATTTTAAATTAGTACATATTTTAATATCATCTTTATATACGAGCCTTCTGTGCGTGTAATTGTAATTAGAACCTTAAACCAATTACCGATATTGATGAAATTATTTGTGAGTTCAAGTGAATCCTATAAACGAATCGATTAACAATTAGATAATATATTTTTTTGTATATAAAACAAATAAAGAATATTGTCTGCGGTCTGCGGTCTGTCGTTTACTAGTATTATATTATATATATATACTTCCACTTTGCACAGAAGAATAATAAACCTGATACAGCAAAAGATTGAATGCTTGATTGAATCAAAGACAACTAAAGTAATAGATGAAAATAAATATTCAGAAAATTCTGGTTATAGTGAGATGGCGAAACTGATAAGCAGAAATAATTTAATCTAAAGAAAAATTAAACATTCAATAATCGCAAATATATATACGCTTAAAGTTATACCACATCATTACATGAGAAACAATTTAGTGCAAATAAGATTTTAATATCATATTTCGGATTCAAATCATGCAATATTAAATACGTTGCATTAAAACAAATCAGCGTTTGTCGTTTTAGCCATAATCAATATCACACACTACTTGCTACTAGATGGTGCCATACATACATTTTGAAAAAGAGGGCAGGGTATGGTGAGAGACGTGAAGTGACTTGCTTAATATTATTTTGTCCTGACATTATTGATTTATCTTTAATATGCCGATGGTAATTTTTATAAACTTTAAACACACAACATAATAAGTACTTTGCACATTTAACACGCAAGCAACGGCAATGGCAACGTTTATATTAATGTGTTTATGTATATACACACGCGGCCATTTCGGTAAATATTTCTTTTTTGGTACAACTTGTGACTTCCATAGCCAATTTTAATTACCACGAGCGTTACGATCACGATTTTCCATAGCAATGATTTTTCTATTTACTTTAATCGCCTTTGATTGAATGAAGAAAAGTGGAAGGCTTATACCGTATGAATATAATAGAAATATAACTATTATTTACTGTTAATAACTTGTGTCATATTTATTATCACTTAACATCAGGTGAGCCTCCTGCCCGTTTGCCCGCTGTTCTATAAAAAAAAATATTATCACCTGAGCATGTGAATCAAGGCTGACCCCTGAATGAATTAAATTCATAAAATCTGCCCCAATTTTTTGTCCAGCTTCGAAGGGATCAATGGGGCCCTTAAATAAAGCGTCGGCACCTAATACACAACCAGTGCCCAAATAACTCCATAAACTGGAAGATGAAATAAACTACATGTAACTAATTGGTCACAAATCCACTGTTTTGTCAATATATTTGAATGACTCAGAGTGACTGTCATTTAACAAAAATCTGTTTAATTTTTATTAATTTTATAAATGTGGAAATCGATTTTTTTTCTGTCCGATATAGCTGACACATTCAACTAGCTTAATTAGCTGTTCAATTAACAGCCTAGCCTTTTGACTAAACGGGCCGTTTAACTAGCGGCCTGAAAAATATTCAGCCGTGGGGTTTGTTACAACATTTAATAAACTGGCTGCCTAATGCTTAGGCAATTCGTACGATAGAGACATTATATTTTGGCAGAAAAAAAAAGATGAAACTTATGATAAAAAAATATTTCTTTAAAAATTAAATTGCTTGAGTCAAATTCACATTATTATTGTCGCTACACTCTTCCATTATATGTAAAGTTGTTGTTTGCCGACGCCATATTGACAGTTGGAAGAGTTTCGTTTCGAATTTGAGTGGCAGAAAGTGGAATTAATTTTAAATTAACAGTCCACAGGCCAGGCAAGTAATGGAACATCATCGATCCAAGTCATTTGCCTAGCTGTTTGATCAACTGGCTGAACATCTTTCAGGCCGCTAGTTAAACGGTGCTGTTAAGTTAAACGGTTAGGCTGTTAATTGAACGGCTAATTAGTTGGCTGCGACATAATAGTTATTATAACAGAATTCAAAAAAATAATCAAACTGGTTCAGTTCAGTTCAGTAATACCTGTAACTGACACGTATTTATAGATAACAACTTTATTAGGTTTGTAGCCCAGCTCATGATACAGTACTGTATTTATTTCTGACATTTTATATTACAAAAATATAAAATTAATATAAATAATGATAATTTAAATTATTTTATGATGCTTGGCATTAACCCTGAGGTCGTGCGTTCGAAGCTGTGCACCAATCAATTCTTTGTGCGAATTTAACACTCGCTGGTAGGGTGGAAGGCAATGGGCCATAGACCTAAAAATCAGCCAAAGGCCGGTTGCCTATTAAAAAGATCGTGTAACAAACAGAAATAGGGTTTAATATTTAGTTTTAATTGAATATATGTATATTGTGTGTAAATTTTGTAGCTGTACCTAGTTTTTGAAGTTATACTTCTTTTGGCGCGTTACGGAAAATTGATGAGAGTATTTTTTTTCTATTCTTAGTGTCGTCTTTTCTACAAACGTAGAATAAGGCGAAAGATAAAAATTTTGAACAGATTCTTATCTTGTTTATAGGCCAAAGATGTATAACTTCTAACGCGTGTAAATAAGTACACAGACGTTTTTTTGTACAAAAAAACACGGCTTGCATCAAAACAATTAACCCCGATAAAGCTTTGACAGATTTCATTTTGTTTTAAATCTGTTAAGACTTACAGAATACCGCTGCAGTTATTTTGTACATATTGCTGGTCTTTTATACAATTAGTATAAACTGGATGCTCTATGATATCTATTTTGTCTTTAGCACCATTGGCCATTTCATAAGCTATCTGAAAAAATAATTATTATAATCTGTTAGTTGGACCACTGTATTCTCTGTATTTATTTATTAACACTTCGTTGCGTATAGAAATATAATACCGTTGACATAATTAAATGAAAAAGGGGGCAACTGGCGGCCTCCCTGGCTGGATCTCTCCCAGGCCACTAATTGTCTATTATTTAACATTTGTCTATAATACTGCTGAGGAAAGATTTTTTTATTCATTATTATATACATCTCTATATATTTCAATCTTCTATGCGTGTGTTTATTATTAAACTCCTAAACAGCTATACCGATTTTGATGAAATTTTCTGCGTGTCTTCAAGGTGATTTATGAATTGTTTATATTTGTATTTACGACGTTAAAGGACATCTGCCGCTACATATAGAGATATAGGTATGTTATTTAAAGCTGGCGGCTTCAACACATGTACACTTTGTGCTTGTGTAGTGTCTGAGTATAAGCGCGAGGCGTGATGTCAAACTGAAATACAATCACAAATACATCATGAAAAGACTGTCCGTCTCTCTCGCGCTCGGTCAAGCTTATGAGTATAAAAGAGACAGTTATTGTTTTGCTTTTGCTACTGTTTATGTTGATCTTTACTATACATGTTGATCTTTTTTCAAACATTACCAGGGCAATCTCGTGAAATGGTGCACAATGTTTTTAATTATTTTAAGCATCTTAATAAAAACAGTTTAATTAAAAAATGTTATATTTCATTTGACATCAGATGCTGAAAGCTGATTTGTTTTTTTTTTATTTGTTGAAAGCCACCATACTCCTGAATCAAAGCAACAGTCCAAACAATGGAAAATATCTGGATCATCTACTCCGAAAACGGCTAAGGTCGTTTTGTCGACCAACAAAGTCATGTCTAGATGGAGCGTATGTCGAAAAATGAAAAATTATTTACACGAACTACTCTTTCACGTTCTTGGTCTGGCTTAGAACTTTTAGATCCACCCTCGTATGCACCTAATATTTATATGTATTTGACACATTTTTATTTATTTACAACCCACCCAACCTTACTAAAACCAGAGTGGACTAAAATATATAGCTTGGCAAAAAAATCATATTTTGAAACATACTGTATGTGAAATTGCATTAGTGTGAGTACTGTGAACCCGCCAGCTTTCGATAACCGACCTATACAGAAATCCGAGGCTTTAAAGATTGCAGCGCAATTAGTTCCAAAATAATATAAGATTTTTTTTTGATTAAAATGAAGCAATACACAAAATAAAAACTTCCCAAAAATGGGCCCATCTTAGCTGAAGTTATACAACAATAGATAATTTAAATAAAAATATAAAGAAATAAAATCCTTATAAACTAACAAATTACACGCAATCATAGAACATAAAACCATAAAACAAGAGATATAGATTAGATATATATATATAGAATATAGATATATAGATACATATATAGAATTATGATTCAATTTAAGTTTACAACTCGAACCAATAGTTGATTATACCTGAGATTAGTAGGTCCAAACCTTATTCAGCTTAATATTAGTATAAATTAATTAATTATTTTTACCTTAACAGGCAAATTCCCAGCTACAAAGCTCCATATATTGACGAAATGAGGGCCTCTATAAAGCCTATCATGAAAGGTAACACCTTTTAAGGACGGTATTGGGTTCACAGTCACTTGTACATGTCCACCTCCTCGTGGAAAGTATCTGTCATTAAAAGGGTTTCGCAAAATACATTTCATTTTCGCATAATAATGATTGATGAGAGCCGTAACAAACTTGTTTCCAAATTTGAAACGATACTGGAGGTTTCTGTGTGGGGTTGTTGTTAAGTTTGGGTAAGTTTGTCAAGTTTAACATGCTTTCTGCTAAACATGACAAAAGGATCTTAATCCTTTTTTTTAATAGGAGGCAAACGGGCAGGAGGCTCACCTGATGTTAAGTGACACCGCCGCCCATGGACACTCTCATTGCCAGAAGGCTCGCAAGTGCGTTGCCGGCCTTTCAAGAATTGGTACGCTCTGTTCTTGAAGGACCCTAAGTGAAATTGGTTCGGAAATACTTCAGTGGGCTTCCTTTTGACTTGTCTCCTCAATTTAAAGGCGCTCTTCATAGTGGAGTACCCAAAGAAGTCCGCAGTCTTTGTGAAGAAAAATCTAGACTGGCTTCCAAAAAGCTGGGTATTTTTGGAAGCTTTTGGAAGGGTAGGGCCAAGCAGTATTTCACTTATGAACAACATACGCAGCTCTACAAGGCTCAAGTACGACCTCATATGGAATACTGCTCACATCTCTGGGCAGGTGTTTCCAAATACCAGCTCCTTCCTTTTGACCAAATTTAGTGAAGGGCTTGTCGAATTGTCAATCTCCAACGTATTACAGATCGGCTTGATTTTCTCTCTCAACGCAGAGACAGTGAATGTTCTGAAGAATAGTTTGGGTTGATCCCTCCTGCCTCTTTTCAACACTGTACGAGCCAGCCATATTAATTCAAAATTTTAACAGCATCAGCTTGCTGGCTGGAAGTCTTCCACGGTCCGCTTCACAGTTACTTTCCTTTTGCGAACTAGCGAAATGTGAAATCGACTCCCAGGGAAGTATACTCCTCTTTCAAAGGCCGGCAACGGACCCACTAAAATGGGTATGGGCTGCGATGACTTCCTCGTCTTGTTTTGGGCGTACCGTAGGCTCGTTTGCCCCCTATACTATAAAAAATATAACTGAAGGTCGAGATGGAAAAAGGAAGTTCTACATGTGAATAAAATTTAAGATTTGCAACCATATATCGTCGATGTAGAATGATGACCTCATATGTCCAGAGAACCAAACATTACAGGAAATGAAGAAAATTATGTGTTTTTGTATGGACAAAAACACAATTTTAAACATCTAAAAGATGTTAAAAAGGACTTATTTATGTTATTATTTGGTATAATCATACCAGTTAATTTTAAATGACATAAGAGTAAGAATAAAAAATAAATGGTTTTTTGACATATGAGGTTATCACTTCAGTGACGATATGTAGTTTCATGTAAGTGAAATTGTAATGTTATTTGGGTTCTCTTATAGTGTATATAAAAAACATTATTTCTTCACACGACAATGTCTGAAATGGGTTTCTATGAAAGATATGTCAGATTCTAGTTTGATGTCTGCAGACTTACCCAGGTATCCCAGGTTAAACATAGGGTATTACCACTAAAAATACTTCAATATATGATTCATGATAATATTTTCACCAATTCCCCTCACCTTCACCTGTATATAATTCTAATAAAGCTTCATATGCCTATTTAAACATATGTTTATATCCTACCCTCTCTTTATTAGCTTCCAGGAATATTTAGCACCAAAATGTTTCAGGTTTTCTCTAAATATTTCATTCATGTAATCTATCTGTGGCGCCATGTCTACATTGGTCCCTCCCTTGAGATCTAAGATTACAGGAGAATCTGCCATCAGTGCACAGGGTAAGGCCACTTGGAGTAAAAGACTTACAGATCTGGAATCAAATAGCTGTTTAAACTTAAAGGTTACTCAAATATTTATGTACAGACATAATATTAAGAAAACTTATTTGTACTTTCTTACTATGTAACAAATTGGTATTTAAAAAGAGATGGAATCTAGCCAATTCAAACACATAAGCTAGGCACATGTAGATCTCATTTCTTTTCTCTGTATGCATATAGTACAAATGAAAATTTATTTTACTACCATAATATATGTTTTTGTTTTCGTAACCAAGTACAATAATTGTGAATTCCTTTAAAATAACTTACCAATCAAAGCACTCAAAGCCCAATTTTTTTAATACTATTAGCTAGTTTTAGTCCTAATAATAATTTTTAATGGTAGGTATTTTACAATTCAGATATATTTACCCAGCTGTCTGGATATGAGCTAGGTACTGGCCACCTCTGATCTTCCCTGGGATAAATTGAATATCGGTAGAACCAATATGAGCACCACTTAATTTTGCCTGGCACATTTCTGCTACTAGCTGAATTCCTGAAATAAATACATGGGATGTTCTACATTTTAAAGTTTTCTACTTTTTACTAAACATTGTGTTTTAAGATAAAAAAATCTTGTGAGATATACCTATAAATTTGTTTAATTAATGGAATTAATGTTAACAACTTAGACTAAGCAAGAACTATGATTGCAGGAAATCTTTTAATTTAAATAAAAATATTAAGGGAAATACTGGTCTGATTAGGTAATTGTTGCATAAAATAGATTAGAAATTTTAAATTGGTTTAAGTATACAGAGAAATTAGTTCTAGGAAGTTTTTGTTCTAAATGTATTTTTAAACATACTGCTGTTAGAATGTTGACCTAATTTAACTACTGCATTTCTATATACCTAAATATTGTAATTAACCTTTTAAATGTTGCGCTGCCAAGCCGGGTTTTTTTCTACCCGCACGAATATTTTTTACCCTCACTGGTATGCCAAGAATGGCACTCAATGAAATGGAATTTCTTAGAATTTGGCCGCCCTGAAATAATTTCAGATTGTATTTATAGGTAGTATTTTTTCAATTCGGTAGCAAAAAACGCACAAGGATTCCTTACTCCTTCTAAAACGCTCCCATCAATATCCAAAATCTCTGTCATATTAATATTATTCCGCTGTAACGTATTGTTCAAAATTTATTTTAGGTACTTAAAATGTAATAATTATTTCTAACATGTGTAACCGTGATATATATTTTTATATTATGAATAATATAGTCGATGGCACTGGTTTTTTAAATATAAAAATTCTATTAACTTCGTGGTCGGTGGTACGAAGAGCAAGAGCGCACGACTTCGTTATTTTATTTTATAATAGTTGAAGTTTCTCTGGGTATGTCTTCAACAGAGGTAGGGATGTGAAAAAATAATCGATTATTAAAAAAAACGATTTTAATCGATTTTTTTAAAACTAAAAATCGATTTTTTACGCGATTTTTATATTTGAAATAATCGATTATTTTTATAATTGAAAATCAATCATAGTCGATTTTTTATCTGCCACCTCCCGACATTATGTCTGGTCTTTTATAAACCGGACCTCGAACTATTAGGGATATTCGATATACAACGATGTTAACAATGCGATACATTGAATCCGATTCTTTGAAGATGTATTGATATACAGTAAAAGCTCCCTATTCGCGCTTCCTTTATTCGCGTTTTCACTATTCGAGGATTAAAAAAATGCAACCCAATTTCTTATTTCGCGGCAAAAAATTGCTTTATTCGCGGATCTAAAATTTCATACACAATTCCAATAGGTTTTTAACGCAATATCATATAGATAATATGGAGTGTAATCCTGATATGAGTGTTATGGAATGCTGGAAGAAATTTGACGTAGCAAAATGCATCGTAAACATAAAAGAATCATTGGACGAACTGACACCACACACATTGAAGTCATACTGGAAAAAACTATGGCCTGCTCTGACTGCGGAAAATGAAGAAGAATCCGTGCAAGTTCAAACTTTGACTTTGGTTTAAGAATGGCAAATGAGCTTTGCGATTTCTTTGTAAACATTGATCCATCTATGGAACGAAGTCTTAATTTTAAGAGGCAAATTGCTAATGCGACTGCTGAGTATCAGTCTGAATTGAAGGAGCTATTAAAAACTGCCAACCAAGAGAAAATAACAAAATTCTTCAAACCATTGCCTAAGCCTGAGGATAATGATTATTATATAATCAAAATGTTCAATAACATCAATAAAATTGATTTTCTTATATATTTGTGTTTTTTATTCTGGCACCTAGGAACGTATCCCCTATAAACCCATATAAATTACCATTCTGTATTCGCGGCATATTTATGGAACGTATACCCCGCGAATAAAGACATTTTACTGTACTCGATACATTGATGTTTTGGAATGGAATGTCACATCCCTAAACAGAGGTAAGAACACCCAGCGATTATAGAGTTTGGATTGTGGTTAGTTGGAGAGGTAACAGGTAGTGAATACCTTCACTTAATTCACCTGTAAAATAGTAGCTTAAGGTATAAAGTTATTTTTGAAGTTATACTTCTTTAGGCACGTTATGAAAAATTGATGAGAGTGAAATTTTACGATGCGCGCGCACCGTTACACAAAATTAACAGAATGAAGTTGCAGTATAATTTCCTACGCGCGTACATATTAGTACACGCACCCCTTTTTTTATATTTCCTTAAAACGGATTTCCTTAGAAATCATGTTATCTATTGCCGGACACTTTTTAAAATTGCTACCCCCTGCCAGATACCACTAAATGGTAATAAACTATATAATCTTTCAATACCCAGCCATTATTACCTGGCTGATATGTAGTCGCATTTTCCAGATGAGTATTGAGTATGAGTATTCTAAATGGTAGATATAAATTTTCTCGCAGAAACTGGTGCAAAAGCAAGATGGTAGTTTGCTAGCGTCAAAATTTCACAACTTCTTTCAGTCAAAAGCTTCGTTTACGACTGTAGTCTGCGAAAAAAAGGTGAAAGTTGCGCGCACATTGCTACATTCGAAAATCAGCTTTTATAAAATAACGAAGGAAAGGCCATCGTTGGCTCTTGGGCTATGTAATGCAAATGCATTCCGCATTGCATTTGTAAATCAGTGTCAACTGTCAACTGTCAGCCGGTCAGTCATTCATTACCCAATATAATAATTCTGAAGTCTTTACAAAATAATTAAACAATTGCAGAATTGTTACTTGTAAGTTGTAACTATTTTTTAGTGTCTCCTTGCTGGCAAATAAAGATAACAGTGTTTTGGATCCAATGAAATCAGTTTTAAATTGATTTATTTAGTGATTCACATTTTTTTTATAATGGCTTCCTAATAAGTTTTAAGCTAAGTTGCGTCGGTAAAAATGCAGCGTAAACCAGGATTCCCCGTTGCGAACTGCAATATTAAAATGGTATAAAAATGTCTTTTGACTTAATACACACTATTTTAATAACATTTACCTTCTACTATTTCGAGACATCAATAATAATCAATCAATAATAAAAAAATCGTAGATCATTCCACAGATGATGAGTTCATTTGCTGTTTTCTAAAATACTTTTTACACTAGTTCAAGGTTTTTCCTGTCAGATGATAGTACATTTTATCAACAATATTTTGTGTGTTAAACAATGTAGCTTGAATTCTCTTCCTTTGCATTCTGTACCTATACCTACGTTACAAATTAATAATTTGTGTTCAGCCCGACGGTTCAATGCCTCCAGAAGTAGCAGGGGATGATGAATGGGATCCTCAACATAGACGGCAGCAACTTATAAATTTTGGTCACTCTCAATGGGGCTTTAATAATTGGAATTGGACCGTCACAAAGCAGGACTTGGGTAAAGATATCTCTTTACTATTGTTTTATTAATAACAAAATATAATTTTAATACCCAGACCAAAACTGTAATAATTATAAAATAATGACAAATATGTATGATCACACACGAGCTGTGATGCAGGTAAACCATCGATATTTTTTGTACTAAACAGAGTTAGATGACTTATATCTTTATTGCACATAATATGAGAAATTGACTCATACTTGCTTTAAAATCTTTTATTTTGTTAGTAATTTTTACTTGTTTGGCTTTCCAGATTTTGTTGAATTAATTAATGGCAAATATACAGCTGGAGTGGCTGCATTTGTTAATGTTACTATTAAGAATTTAGATATACATCGGGAAAATGTTGGATATGCAACATCTGTTAGCATCACTAAAGGCTCGGCTATACATAGAGCCCGTAAGGTGAGTTCCTAGTAATTTAATTTTTTTTGGTAGTAAAAAACCAGACTTTATAAGAAAAATGAATGACTAAAATTTATTTTCAGTGTGCTGTAACAAATGCACTTCGCGAGACCTTATTAAGCTTTGGAGGATTGGTGTCCACGGAGCTCATAGAGTTACTGGAAACAAACAAAGAAGTGCCACTGCCAGAATCAGATATTCAAACAACCAAGCCAACTGAACCCAAAAACTTAGCTCGAAACGAAGAAATAAATGGAACAATTGCTAAGAGTATACCCAACGTGCCGAGCGTGACTCCTATACGTCCGCCGCCACCGGCGATCAAGAACGCTGTCAATATTCCACCCCCTATAGCCAAGGCCCACCCAATGCCTGCTAACCTGCCCCCAGCAGCCAACAGGCCCCCTTTGGTCCCGCGCCCACCGCCGCCCCCCCCAGCCGTACGACCGAACAACGTAAGTTTTATCCTCCCCGTGATGGGAGGCATGGTACCTCCCATGTATCCTCCGCCCCCGCGAATTCCCCACGCACCCCCCATGTACCAAAACTACTACGAATACCCATGGCACTTTTACGAAACGTACGACCGTCACCATGGTAACGTTAATTTGAACTTCAACATGCCGCCTAAGAATCTCGTCGTGAACAGCCGATCGCCGCTAGAATGCAAGAATGCGTGCAGACAGGGTCCAAACGGCCCTGAAATGGATCCAAATTATCATCCACAGAATCAAGCCTGTTGGATAAAGCCCACGATCTTCTATGATGGCTTCTGGACGGAACAAAAGGTCAAGAAATGGGTGGCCGAACAGGTTGAGAAACAGTTTCCAGAAGATGGTTCTAAGCCTTCTTCACCTAGTAGTGGTCCAGAACCAACCGCGCCCAAATCATAAGCTCTTTTGTATACTGTCCAATATTTGCCAACTTTAACTTTTGTTCCTTAATGAACATCACTAATTTTTGCTCATGATACATTTTCTTATACAGCGGTATACATTTTGTCGTATATTCTCTAAACACGCGTTTTGAACTTAGTAATTTACACTTAGAGTAAGTATATTTTTACTGAAATACACTATTTTTTATCGATTTTTTTCAATGTTACTAGTTCAGTAGGATGTGGGTATTGATGCTTGGTGTTTAGGAATATTATTTAGGAGTGATTTTAGGCGTTAGTGTAAAATATGCGATGTTAATAATTATGTTTTCACAATATGTAATTATATAATACAATAATTCCCTTTATGTATGGATACATTGTATTTATTAGAAGTAAAAATTTATCATCTCTTACATGTTTCTCTAATTCAAAAGGTATGTATCTGTGTAGCAATTCTACCTAAATATATACCATAAATATGAAAAATGTCTTAACAGTATGGACTAGTAAATATTACAATTAACATCTATATTTGTATTCCAATTTCAGGCATTATCACTGTACTTTTTTTTTTGATATGTATTAGAACCCATATATTTTAATTGTTTCATAGATATTTATTCCCTTCAAAAATCCATTTTTCTATATAGAAATAAGCGATAAATGATTTTAGCTATAAATGATGGAATTACAATAGGTATTATATTGTGTGGTATCATTATTCAATACATGTTTTATTATAATAATAAATTGTTTGAAATTATGGCATGTTTGATTGTCAGTTTTAAAATTATTTTTAACTACAAAACTTCATGACAGGAGGCGAACGATGATGAAGCGCGCGCTGAAAGAAAAAGACGACAAAAACAAGCTCAAGAGGAGTTCAGACTAAAACAAGTTATGAAACAAAATTTGGGTTAGAAATTTGCACTTAAATAAAGTTGGTTTTTTATGGACTTTATTCTCTCAATGTTACCATTAGAATGAGAGATTCTTCCGAATCGTTTTTCTCTATGCTTTTAAGTTTGTTTTTAATAAATATCACATTTAAGTTTACATATGTATTTCATTAACTATATTTTGTATAATAAAATAATAAGTTGAAGACGTAATTGCTTTGCTATCACTTATTGGTTAGGATCCCATACTATTATGAAATTAGGTAAACAATCTTTCAGATAAAAATGAACTCGATAAAAACAGCAGTAGTTTTGATATATTAATGGCAATACCATCTCAAGATATGGTGATAGAAGCTGATGACAAAGCAGAGGATGGAAAAAGAAAATCGCCTGCTCTGGAAGGCCAGGCTGCCAAAAGAAGAGCTAGCTTATATGATAAGCTTGATATTGTACATCAGTAATATTAAATAAAACTTTTTCAATTAGTGTTTCGTGTATTACATTTAGTTTTATCGTTCTTTTAGGATAGTATTGATTAAATTAAACTTCACAATGCGAAATCATATTTTATTAAATCACTAACAAATTAGAGCCTTACACAAGTATATACAGGTCTAAATATAAAAATATTCTAACTGTATTTCGGCGAAAACTAAAATGCCTTACATTCGCAGGTCAAAAACTAAAATTACGCGTTTAACTTGTAATAAAGATACGTTATTTTTATTTATACTATCCTACACACAACGTTATTTTGATTGGATATTGAAGAAAGCTGTTTGAAAGAAATAGGTATACAATACAACTGACGTTTATAATATATTTAGGTTTGTGAATCAAAATAAATCAAAGCTAAATTTGAAGACGTTGCTTCATTGAAGAAATAATTGCCATTTTTTTATCAGAGATGAAATTGGATTTGGTTTGACTGATTTTAACTTGAGTCAAGAGCGTTTTCTTAACCAATCATCATCGCGATATTCTTATGTTACATCCTAATCGTCCTCGACAACTTGTGTGTAGGAGTACCTTAGATTAACTTAAAAAAAAGGGTTTATATAACAGATAAGCACATTTTCATGACAGGTCGACTGTTACATAATCCATTGTTACAAACGTTATCATTGGGAAATTATTCTATTGCATTCTCCTTATACCTTATATTATCAACCTATAAGGTGCGCTTTCTTTAACTTTGCAAGAAGTTCAAAATAGGTTACAGAACTGCAAACAACAATTACAAGTGTAATTCTAAAGTAATTTGACTGTAAATTGAACCGCGTAAGGGGCCATTAGGTATTACGTAAGGGGGCGTCCATAAATTACGTGAGGTGTTTTAGGGGGGAGGGGGTCGAGTCAAATCTCATTAAATCTCACGTTGGAGAGAGGGGGGGTCTCGGCAAATATCACGCAATTTTTTTTCTGATTGAAAAAAAAATTTGGAAAACGGTTGACCCTAAATGCCACCTCTGCAACATCTCGCTAACTCCACACCTAAACGCTCAGTTTTTAGCTCTTCGAGCTCAAAAGTACGAATTTGAAATGAATTTAGAAAGTCAGTAAGAATTTATGAAAGTCTGATAGAAGTTTGATAAAACAGTATTTTTTGAATTTTCAAACCACAATAACTTTTGAATAAATGAACCGAATTTTACGCGATTGGTGGCATTCGACGCAGTTTTTGAAACCTCATAACGGATTTTTAAGTTAAAAATCGATCGAACGACGCGCCAGTGGCAGCGACACACGGACATGTTCCAACATGCTTTGTTTATTCTTGTAAATGTTTTACTCGACTCAGTGCATTCTCTTACTAATTTAAAATGAGTTATCAAGATTTTTATAACGCATACGTCAAAAGATACGTCTATAAGACGAAGAAGTCCTGCCAGGACGATGTGATACAATTATGGAATACAGCGAAGCAAAAATTCCCGAAGAAAGAAGAGTTAATACATCACATTGAACATGAGATTGAACGGCTTCTCAGGGAAGCCACTGAGAGAAAAGTTCGGTCTACTTTAGCATTCCTTAAAAAAGTAGGTTAAATATTTTTTTTAAATACTTTTTTATATAAAATTGTTACAATATTTAGGAAGTCCTTTCGCTCCAGTTGAGTCACAACAACTGTAGTAGTCAATATTCGATAAATTAAAATAAAGAATCCATACAAATTCCTAAAATTAAAAAATTAAAATTATGATAAATGAGGCATTAATAGTTGAAATTTTGAAAATTAAAAAAAAAATAGTTAAATACAAAAATTAGTTTGGCTCTTTTAAATCAGCTGTTAGTAACCTGTCCGTGATTTGGCAACGCTATATTTCGGTTGTTACATTTTCATTTGCACAATATAATCTAAACCATGTAAAGTTTTTGTCAATGCAAATAAATAAATTAATTAAAACTGTTAAATTACAAAACTATAACATTCTAATATGTCTCATGGCAGGAATGCTAGTACATATTTTTTAATTATTGTTTTATTTTTCAATTATGAAATATGAAAATTTGTTAACAATAAATTAACTTATAAGTATGTATGAAAAACATATTAGTGCATTGAAGTTTAGTTTGAATTTATTGAATGGTCTGAAGCTCGCGCGCTTCGCAACGTCGCCAAATGTTCTGACGCCATTTAAATGCAGATTACTTTAAAAAAATCTGTTATTTTATAATTTTAATTTCTCTATAAATTCCCTATAGATTTTATTGCAAAAAATCAAAACTGAATATTTCGAAAACCTTATTTTGCGTTTTTTTACCCCATCTTAAATCAATGGTTAATGCCATAATTCGAGAAAGTTGTTTTAGGTCTGACTTTCTCGTTTATAAAGACTCAAAATATTAACATTTTTAATTTTTTTTTTAATTTGCATGGTGAAGAATAAATTAAACTTCATTAAGTAGATAAATTAGGACTTTAACTATTAGATAAAAATTAATTTTAATATGCATAATCTAATATTTTTTATTTAACATTGATGGCGAAAGGACCTCCTTCATAGCATTAAAAAAACTGAAACAGTGAAATTCTTGATAAAATATGCTAAAATCATAATACTACAAAATATTAGCGCGGTCATTTCAACTGTTTTCACATAATTCAATATTTCTTAATTTTGTGTTAATCTATCTTTATAATTTATTAGATTTATTTCTTAATATTATGATGCTTTGATTTCAGACTAACACTAAGATTTCTAACAGTTCTTCGAATCAGGCTGGGACAAGCACTGAGAGTGTTCCAAACGTGGAATGTGGAGGTCGTCTTTCTTTCTATAGGTGACGTTTTCTTCATTTTGTCCTATTCTAAATAAAAGTTTTCTGCATTTCACAGGCGCTTCGAAACGGAAAAATCTGCCTCTTGTGATCAGAGATGATGAGGATGAAGCTATGACGAACACTACACCATCCAACGTACGTCCCACTCCAGCACAAGATACTATGAAGAAAAAGATTACTAAGCTGCATATGGAGCTTGACTTAACGGAAAGGCGCAAAAGGTCTCTTGTAGCTGACGGCACTGAATTTGATAAAGCATGTAATTTGCGGCGAGAAATTGACATTTGTGAGAAGAAGCTCAAGCTTAAAGAAAAACAAAGAGTGTACTCTATGACGCACAGAACAAATAGAAAACAAGCAATAATTGAACTATGTTCAAAGAATCCCGATGCAGCTAAGTCGTTGACGCCCCGTGCTGGCCCTGGACGCCCACGTTTAGAAAAAGAACAGTCTGATTTGCTAAAAACAATAAGTGATTTAGCCCTGTTTGGTGCTTCTGCTGAAGAGCGTCGTCGTTGTGAGATAGTTCGCACGGTCCATACGCTATCAGAACTTACAAATAAACTAAGCGAGCTGGGATTTAATATTTCACGAAGTGCTACTTATATTCGACTGTTGCCTAGACGGGCAAATACACGAGAAGCTAAGCGCCATGTAGTGACTGTGCCGGTGAAGCTGAGTCGTCCTGAAGCTGACCATCATAAGGCACACCAAGACCAATACTTTTCTGTGGCCTCCATAAGGTCGCTGGAAACGATAGCCTCGGTACTTGGTCCTGACTCCGTAATTTTTTTATCTCAGGATGACAAAGCCCGCGTCCCCATCGGCCTGACAGCGGCAAACAAGCAGGCGCCATTATTAATGCACGTTGCATATAAAGTGTCGTTACCAGACCACGACTTTGTGATTGCTTCGAGGCACAAATTAATTCCAAGCGTGTATGCTTTGTGTGAAGTGAGACCCAATGAGATGGGACGACCAGAAGCTGTTTCATATAGTGGACCAACTTACATAGCAATACGAAGTGGCAAGCACTCTTCGTCAACTGCAACTAGTCACGCTCAAGATTTGGACACTCTTTTAACAATTGAGCCTTTTTCCAAATTTACAAAAAATATAGACAGAAAAGTTAAACCTGTTCTTATAATTTCAAGCGACGGTGGGCCTGACGAAAATCCGCGATATCACAAAGTGATCGCACACGCCATAGCGCATTTTAAACTATATGATTTGGACGCAGTATTTATTGTGACTAATGCCCCTGGCCGGAGCGCATTCAACAGAGTAGAGAGACGCATGGCTCCACTCAGTCGAGAACTAACAGGCGTTGTTCTTCCCCATGATTCTTTTGGGACACATCTTGACTCCAGCGGCAGAACATTAAACGAAAGTCTGGAAAAGGATAATTTCAAAAGGCAGGGGATATTTTGGCTGAAATATGGTCTGCAGTGTGCATTGACGGACACGAAGTAGTCGCTGAATATATAGAGCCGAATAATGAAACTTCTAGCGTTCCAGACCTGCCAGCCGAAGAATGGTACACTGAGCACGTTAGAGAAAGCCAATATTTACTCCAGGTACATTAGCAGTTGGTTCATATCAAATTTCTATACGTGCCTAATTTTTTTTTTTTAAACGAGCACGAATATCAACAAATTTTTATTAAGAGTTATTAATTTTTTTTTAGGTTGTAAAATGCGATGACCAGAAGTGCTGCAGCCCACGCCGGAGTGTTCTGCATATGATTCTTCACGACCGTTTTCTGCCGCCTCCATACCCTATCACTCAAGTTGATGGACATTTGACAATTCCGGACTTTAAAGAGCATGACGGAAAGTCATTTGTTCCATTTTTAATACGCCACTGCCTACCGATTCAACCGCTGAATGCCTTCATCAGCACGCCTTATGATCTCTATTGCCCAAGTGTTCGTGATGATTTAGAGAAAAGATGCTGCAGTACATGCGGTATTTACTTTGCATCTAGCAAAAGAGCTACAGAGCACAGGCGATCAGCCCACATTGCACCAGCTAAGCAAGCGCGTATGTTCCGCAAGGTCCGACCCTCACGGATTGTCACAAGACGAGCTAATGAGTTACTGTGTGCAAGTGCCAATGGTTTAGAGTGGCTAGATCAGAACGAAGTTGAAGGAGCAGATGATTTTACTGAAAATCATATGGACATGTTGGTTCCAATAGTCTCTCTTGAGACCGCGCATGATTATCCATGGACTGAATTAGAGTAGATATTCTTTTTTTAATCACAGTAGTTACGATTTAAGTATTCTATTGTTAAATTTTTATTACACTTATAATTAAACTCTCAGCAATATTGATTACTAGTCTTAAATAAAAGCACGAAGCAAACTTTTTTTTCTTTTTACAATAACAATCCAACGCGTTTACGTAAGAAACCCACATTTTGAAAAACTCACGTGAGATTGGGGGATGGGGGAGGGGGTTGAACAAAATCTCACGACATCTCACCAGGGGGGGAGGGAGGGTCAGAAAATTATAAAAAACACCTCACGTAATTTATGGACGCCCCCTAAGCAGGTTTACTGCAATTTATCCCCCCCCCTTCACTTTCAGCAAGCTATCAAAAATAATAGTACATAAAAGTATGCATTTCGTTTTCAAACATAGACAATGTGTGGGTAATATGTGTAAAAAAGTAAATAATTACTGTTGACGTTAACACCTTATAAGAAAATCAAAGAACCCCCCAACCTCCTAGTGCTTACGTAATACTTGAACGGCCCCTAAAACGAAATCAAACGATATTTTTTAATAAGCGATACGATGATTAATATTCAATGAATTCCCAATTCCTTGATACAGCACTTAGGCAGTAACGATAGATTTTCGTATGGAAAACTTGAGCGTATTTGAAACTGAATCATCGTTCGAATGGTATTGTCTAAATGCAATAAATTGACGATGCTTTCGTTGGACAGAAACTGATATGAATCCTTGATGTTTAAAAATTAGTACTAAGTAAATATTTATATACCAAGGATGCCATTTATTGACTCATCTTCTACACTTGGGTTTAAAGGAATAATTTAGGCCCTGCCCACTTCGAGTTGCCGAATTGATAGAACTTACATTTATATAGTATTATTTAGTTACAAAATCATAATTAATATCTTTGAATTTAAAACTCCCCCAGAAACCGTCTCGACATAATACATCCGCCACCAAATTGGTTTAACTTTTTAGTAATAAACCTGAATGTAATTTTACGACATTGCTATATATTTTTTTAAAGATTTTATGATAAAATACAGTACTGTATATAAGATTACATTTTTACTTTCGCAGATTAATATAAGTCCATTCCACTAAACATCTACTCCATACAAAGAAAATAATCACTATAAAACTAATTTCTATACATTTTTTGAAATTTTTAAAATAACCGTTTTGAATATATTATATCTTTTTCCAATATTTACTGTACTTAAATCTCAATCTTGAGTTTATTTGTAGTAGAGTAAAATCTGGTTCATTGATATATTATTGTTGAGAATAATCTCTGGAAGTAATGTGTGCCATGGAAAGTTATGTATTATTTACATGAAAACATATCTTCATAGCAATTCTTAGTTAGAACTCAAAAACAAATCTCGTGTTAAAATATTGTAGTTACTTTGTAACTCATTTTGATATAAAAAAAATTATTACACGTCGAATTGATTACCTCCTTCGGTTATTTTAGGAAGTATAATGATGATACAAAATTGGTATACTTCGATTAAATGGAACAACTTTCTCTAAAACATCATAACAATATTTTTCTTCGCAATTTATAAAGTGTATAAACTAAACTTTTTGTAGAACGTAAATTTGATAAAATAAGCGAAAGTTGTTCGGTCAGAAATCGAACCTGCTACCCTAGACGGGGAGTTCGTCTTGTTCCTTTTCTCGTTGGCGTACAGCAACCGCAGTCTCCACCAGCAGATACAGACACTTGAACTTGTCTTTCTCTACACGTGTCTCTGGCACGCTAGTTCCCACAACCTGATAAGTTTACCATTCATATTTAAAGAATTGATCTCTATTTTTTTAATAATAAGATAATTTTAAACTTGGAACTGTATTTATCTAGGCGTTAAGGGTCTAGTTAGAGCAGTGACTTTTAACCTTTTTTGTACCATGCCCCACCTTAGCGTTTCTAAAATTCCTATGCCCAATATTTAACATACATAATTTTTATACAAATACAGTGCACTCTTTATAATGTCAGTCGTTATAAAGAAAAAGTATAACGTAAAGATTAATTAAATTAAAAAATTTAATTACATTAATACATTATTTCTTTCCTCCCTCCCTCCCTATAACTAATAAAAATGCTCTGTCCCTTGAAATTCGTTATAAAGACTTTACACTGTAATTGAATTGTTCAATTTAGAAACTTAAATGATAGGTTTCAGGAAGAAATTGGTAACATAAAACAGTAAGTAAATTTTTAAAACATAATGAAAAAATGAAAATCAAATAATTTTAATAAATTTTTGAATGGGGGGCTATTAACAATAGAATTGCCCTATTGTGGGGCGTGGACTCCACGTTAGGAAACACTGAGCTAGAGCGTTCAAACTCGCAACTTTGCACAATGTAATTTTTTAAATGCAGGCATATGTGCATTCGATAAAGGAAACATAAGAAAACCAGCTAGAGGCCGACCACGTAGTCGCCTACAAAAACCTTAACCATGATTATAAAGCTAAAGAGCGCTAATTTTGGGAACGGTTGAAAAATTATATTTTTTATATAATAGTTATGAAGGTTAAGGTTATATGAATCGCTTGGATGATAAAAGAAAACAAATTGTTTATTCTACATCAGATCAAAGTATAACTGTTTGAATTATTAATTTCTATGCGTCTATAAATATTAGTTACCTGAAGGCGACGGCGTGCAGTTTTGGGCATCGGCGGTATAGCGATCTGGGGCCAGCTGGCTGTACTCGTGTCTGCTCCGCTCGCCTCATCCGTCTCCATCTGAACTTCGCCTTCCACGGTTTCACCGTCCATGGTGCGGACCGTCACTACTGCTGCCGATCTGTAAATATTTTGTTAATAAACATTAATTTTGCTATTTCCAATAACTTTTTGCTGGTACTTTAACAGTAATGAAGTGGACTTAAAAATAAAGACATTAATATTTTACATTAGGTACGTACGGTATTTTACGTTCAAGTATTACGTCACGCAAATTTTAGAGATTATTGATGACCCCCCAGGTAACGCGCCGTAAAGTTTTTCTGTACCCAAGTATAGTAAAAAATTTCGTGACCACCTAGTGACTCTTTATACCTAAAAGTTACCATTATGTGGTGTAAAGTACTGGAAAGTCGAAAATAATATTAACAATAACGCGTAATTCAATCCCCGCCCCGCATCGTAACGTTTTACAAAAGGACCCCCCCCCAAATTCGTTACGTAATACTTGAACGCTCCCTTCCTTGTACTAAGGTCTCCTATAAGTCATAAACATTGGATTTGCTTCACAATCGGGAACCATAGTTCGCAAAGTCACGAGTGTTACCCTCAGACTCTTGTTTTTATTTCCTTTTTTATTATCATAATAATGCTAGATTTAGTGAATTCAATCTCGTGGCATTAAGAATTACAATCTTGCGAGATCTCGGTAGTTTCATGATCTTGGGTAGTAGAACAACTTAAACGCGATGAATTTGACAGATTTATGTAAACTTAAATTAAGAAAAGTATTTATTGTAACTATTATTATTATAACACTTATTTATCATAAATCACGAAACTAATCATTAGTTATTTTAATCCCAGCCTTTGCAGTGATGAATCAAGAGTTACTCTAGAATTACTTCTATCTAAACTATTATATCATACAAGATATGTATGATATAATAGTTTATGATTTTCATTTTTTCCTGTATAGGTCGGTTATCGAAAGCTGGCGCGTTCACAGTACTCACACTAATACAATTTCACTATACAGTATGTTTAAAAATATGACTTTTTTTGCCAAGCTATATACTATAGTCTATTCTGGTTTTAGTAAGGTTGGTTGGGTTGTAAATAAATAACAATGTGTTAAATACATATAAATATTATGTGCATACGAGAATGGATTAAAAAGCCCGACCAAGAACGTAAAAGAGTAGTTTGTGTAAATAATTTTTAATTTTTCGACATAAGCTCCATCTAGCTCAACACACTTCACTTTTACTTCACTAACAATTCTTTCAATACTCATCTAAGAAACCCCAGTCGCATCTGATGTCAAATTAAAAATAAATTTTTTTCATTAAACTGTTTTTATTAAGATGCTTAAAATAATTGAAAACATTGTGCACCATTTCACGAGATTGTCCTGGTAATGTTTGAAAAATGATCAACATGTACAGTAAAGATTAACATAAACAGTAGCAAAAGCAAAACAATAACTGTCTCTTTTATACGCATAAGCTTGACCTAGCGCGAGAGAGACGGACAGTCTTTTCATGATGTATTTGTGATTGTATTTCAGTTTGGCATCACGCCTCGCGCTTATTCACAGACACTACACAAGCACAAAGTGTAAATGTGTTGAAGCCGCCAGCTTTAGATAACATACCAATAAGATAAATTTCCTAGCAAAATCTCCAAATTGAAAATTTTGTCACCTTTTATTCCAATACAAAAACGCTTCGAAGAGACCAACTTTATTGATAATCCTACGACATCTCGTCATATTACGAGATTGATCTCGAAAAATAGCACGATCGGGATTGCATTCCCTAGCTACATTAGAGTAAGTGATAGAAAGAAAATTTAGTGAGGGTCGAGTACGTACCCGCGTGCGGCCGGATGTGCGTCATCAGCGCCGTAGCGGATGACGGAGTGCCAAACGGCAGGATCGTACTTGTCCTCGGAATATTCGTCGTGGGACCGGTCAGTTCCCTCACCATCGCTTCTGTACACGAGCAGACCGTCGCCGTAGTCGTGGTCCCGACCGCTCTCGCCTTCGCCCTCGCCCTGTCCAAGTTCAAACGAGAAAAATTTAAGGGACTTCAAATACCTGTAAACCTTTTTATACCAAGGTACCTATCCTGTATATTATACATGCCCTCTCCACCACTACTGATATTGATTCTTGGCATACGAACACACGAAATTAACGTACTATCCAAATATATCTAGATCACATACTAGCAGACCCGACAGACATTGTCCTACATGATATTTCAAGCGATTAGGATATTAAACAAAGTATGAAAGTACCGACTGCAGCGCCATCTGCCGGGCTGATTTGTGAATGTAAAGCATCCAGGGCGCCATGCAAACGCATACAAAAATCAATTTTAATCGGTCCAGCCGTGTAAGTAGCACACACACATATAGTAGTAATAGTAATTATATATAAAGATAAATCAAACTGATAACCACTTTTTAAAGCTGGTTAATTTAAAATTAATATTATTAACTAATTATAGTGATAATGTACTAAGGAGGTGACTGAAACAATAGTTTTAGCTAAATTGTGATTGGTAAACAGGGATTCTAGTCCAATTATATCCCCGTGATTAGATTCATCGGAGCGAAAGCCCAATCATAAACAAGTCAAACCCGTAAATTGTTGAGTTGACCCAAGTTTGCTTGTATGGAAACAGTTCAGCGTAAACAATACGCCAAATTTCCACCATATTATTTTGCTGTGTGTGAAACATTCCTATTATCACCAATATTACAATTTATACAGATCATCATTCAAATAACATAATATCTATTTAAACTCTGTAATAAATAAAAATACCTCAATCTCAGAGCCATCCCAGGCAGTAACCACAAGGTTGCTAGCGCTGGCATCGACCTCAGCATCTGCATCACTTGAATTGAGTTGTTTCCGACCGCGCCTTGAGATGGTGTAATGAAGAGGATCTTGACCCTCGCGACGGATCATCTCGGGCAGAATACGGCGACGGGCGTTTATGAACCAGTTGCATACCTATTGTATTGTTTAATATTATTAGAAAATGTGGATTAATATGAATCTAAAAAGTAAACCAAGCGTTGGTTAAAGATTTGGAAAACATAAAAACAAAATCAATGTTTTGTAATTTTAAAATGATTATATTTATTTGAATTTACAGTATGTTCTAAACAAAATGAATTATGTTTCTATTGTTTTTTTTTTTTAAATACATACTTGTAGAACCGTTAGGTTGGCCTCCTGACTAAGAGCTAGTTTTTCAGCATCACTGGGATATGCATTATACCGATGTTCATACAGCCATCGTTTCAATATTTTCACCGACGCTTTTGGTAGATTACCGCGCCTTTTGCGAATTATTATGTTACCCTGGTAAAAATATAGAATTTAAATTATATTCAGGTGTTATTTTATTTGCTATTAACTACTTGAAGTTGGTGTTTGATAAACATTTCTGTTTATTTGAAACATTCTTTGAAAAAGCAAGTGAATAATTTCACAAAATTTTATTTGCAATTTGTACCTGTTGCGATGTCATGGGTAATCCTCCATATGAAATGGTGATTGGTTTTCTCTCTCCGACTCTCCATCAGTGCCAGATTCATTCTCATCTGTGGAAGATGTGGAGGCAAACCTGTCTCGAGCTAAAACAAGAATAACATAGTTTAATGTTACACTGATATTTATTTATTATGATGGTACCAATGCCCAAAGCCATATAACTTTATCTCAAATTAAAAACTTATAAGATGACTCCTAACATTCCAGAGAAAAAAATTATTTGAATGATTGGAAGCACAAAGGGCTAAAATCTAGTTAAGTAAAATTATAAATAAAACTAAAGTCAGACACAAAAGGAAGTTAAAAAAATAATTGTGTGTTTATTTATAACATAACCAATGTTGTTAATTATTTCTTCTCTCTTCTCTACAGAAAAATTCACTTCACATTAATTTAAAGAAAAAGTGCAGCATATAATAAATTAAAATTTCTTATCTATGACCTAATTTTAATAATGATATGTTATCTTATGGAAGTGAGATAAAGTTGTTAACTTTTTATTATTTTAAACCCTTCCCTAATACTAAGGTTCCCATTTAAGTTCCCACTTAAAATGGAATAAAAAGAAATAAGATTCTTTTTAATTACTTTCCTCTTAACTAGTAAAAAAAAACTCTATTTGTTTCAAAATTGATCTGTAGAATATACTATTATTATTATTTGTATTTATTGAATGTACTGCCAATGTTCCAAGTCTATTACTGTACTTACATATTAAACTTTAAGATTTTTATGTATGCTAAAAAATCTAAATATGTAATATAGTAAAAAAATACCTACATTATAGAGTGACATGATTTTAAAAAGTATAGAAGATTATTTAGTTAAATATCTCCATACATAAAAAACCTTACATCCATAGACTTAAAAAATTAACTTATTTCGTAGTCTACAAAATTACCATTTTAGTGACTGCAGAATTTTCACATCAAAAACCAATCAATTGGTAAGCGCTACCTAGCGGACCGCGTGATTAAAGTACACCCAAAAATTACCGTTCCCCGCCATCTTGTCTTACTGACCGCTGTCAATTTTATGTCATTACGACATTCTAAAAGTCATCAAGATTTCAATAGCGAATTGTAAACAAACAAAATAAACATCATAAAAAACGAAAGGCAATCAAAACTATGCTGCGAAAACTTAATCATATAACCACATACCCATTATTGATTTGTCCTGCAATGCGACACGTCCAAGCTATCTAAAAATAACTCACACACGTGCCAAATTACACTTTTGTAAAGGTCAGCTAAGTATTAATTAATTTTCAACTTTGATTATCACTAAATAGATAAAAGTTTTAACATTTACTACATCAAACTATTATGTTTAACAGTATAATTTTAGTAACCGATAAAACACGGTCAGCGTTGACGGAGTTATGGAGCAACGAACGGCGTTGGCGCCATTTTAGTTTAGTAAGAGCGAACGCCTAGATGACGTAACAGACCTAGATATCAGTACTAAACTACATCCGTTCCACAAAACCTTTTTTAAAGCAGTTTTTAATTATAAATTAAATGGGAATTAAAGTTTTTAATGATGTCACCTTGACGTATGTCAGGCCGTCAGTCGTCACGGTGACATCCATGGCGGAAACGTGGCTTCGATTTTGATTTTTGACCGGCTTTCTTACCTCCAGGCGACATTGACTTCTGACTATTCGAAACGCGGGCTTCTCTGATGATTTCTCTAGTAAGTTCTCTAAGATCTCGTCGTTGTTGATAGGTCATTTTGGGCTGGTTCTCCTGTGCTGTGCCGATGGAAGGTGGTATCATTTTCTTCTATTCCATTGGTGAAATAAATTTTGTACACTTTAGTAAATAAACACTGATAAACTGTTACTGACCACTTCTCATGACACAAATTGTTTAAAAAGAAGAAAACGGTGATTTAATGCGTGAAAACTAGTAAAAATAATAGAAATCAACAAGAACTGTAGCTCAACTGCATTGTATTTATTCGACTGACAGCCGTATCGGGGGACGGCGGGAAGCACGCTACAGCGCCGCCGCGCAACTGTCTCTTTCTCACACCGCAATAAGATCTCGATTTTTCTCGTTCTTACAGACAACGCTATAATGACATTATCAAAACGCTTGTCATAACAAAGCGTGGGCTTAGCAAATGGCTTGTTCCCTCAGCTTGTTTCCTAACCATTTTTTAACGTCAAACGGCCAATAAGACATTTGACACCGATTATAATTGTTGTATTCCGTCGATCTGTCGAAACGAATTCCGAAACTATGTCGTCAATCGTCATGCATAACAATAAACAAAGTACTAAGATGAAGAATTTCTAGTTTACGAACATACTACTGCCCTCTATTGGATGATTTTGAAGTTGCTTTAAGTAAATATTAATCGTTTTTCAAAGCTTCGCGCCTTTCATGTAGTAGCGTCGTAGTTTAATTATAAGTCATCATTTGTTATGAAAGTTATAATAGATGAACAAACAACTGCACAATCAGCTACTCAAATAATCATCCAAAACGTCCAAAATAAATATGTGATAACAATTAAGTTATTTAAAAAAATAACATACTTGTGTCAATTTCTAAATCTATTATTACTTATCACTTAAACTTTAATTCTTCATTTCTTCATTCTTTCTTTGAACTATATATAAATAAACTAAATAATAATTCTGAGGGATTGTATAACTTTGAATAAAACGTATTTTCACAAATTAAGGACGGTTTATTAATTAAAAATCTTAATAATAACGTATTTTACACAATGCCTACCGATATTGGGTACTAATGTATTCATCTAGTAATTAAATTTATAAAAAGTAATTTTACTCAGTGGTAATTTCTTATGGAGTCTACTAATCTCTGATTGACAACTGCGGGGGCTCGGCGTGAGAATTGGAAGTCCATATGATTGAAGTGTTCATCGGGAATTCTGTAGAAGTCTCTCACATCGGGAAGCTCCTGATGCAACCTTTCTACATCCCAAGGGTGGGCCATCCAGTCTTCATCACTGTAGTATAGAGCTACTGGAACTTTGACATCTGTCATATTGTACCTTGGAGGTTGACTGTTGCCATATACTTGTGTGTTCGTTTCCGCACCGAAGTCGTATTTTCTAAGTTCATTGGCTGCCACAGCTTGGCCAAACTGTTTGATTTGCCTCGTCGATGCTCCTGCTGGTACGTGGCTCATAATTACAGGAACTAAATCAGCGTCCATATTTGTAGGGTTAATGCCAGTCACGACGAAGTTAACGTTGCCACAGATGTGTTTGCAGCCAATTTGGTTTTGGCACATATTACCTCCTATGGTGTGAACCAACTCTTTGCTTAACTTCAGTTCACCATTTCCAAATTGATGCTGTAGATAATCGTAGAATGGACTATTTGGAGACATCATACGGAGCAATGGGCTTCGCGTGTTTGTCATGTAGACCATGGGTGCGAGTGCGTACATCATTGCAATTTTGTTGCGGTACTCCGGGCGAGTAGAAACAAGTGCGAAGAACGCTGTTGTTCCTTGTGAATGGCCTACATAGAAGAGCTTTTGCTGTTTTGATATTTGTAATGAATAGTCGATCATTGCTGGCAAATCGTGGTGAGCAATTTCGTCAATGCTGAACTTCCAGAAATCTGCTTGGGCAGGATGCTTGCTTACGTGTTTGCGCGAGTATTTACTACCTCTGGCATTTCCCAGCCACACTTCATAGCCGGCGTCAGCTAACATGTAAGCGAGTGACTTGTCCATTAATAACCAGTCATCAGCGCTCCCTAAGAGCCCATGCATCAGGAATACTACAGGTGCTTTCACGTTCTTATGTTCTCTAGGTAGGACACGGAACACGGTGAGAATGTATCCGTCGTCAGTTCTGACGACATGCTCTTCAACAGAGTATTGATGTTTCATGAGAAGTTGAGTGGCGTTCATGTTGGCATCTTCAGAGTTATTTTGTTCGAACCTTTCGTAGGCTTCATGGTAAGTTTTCTTTTTATCATCGGTGATGTGTTGCAATGTCTTGTAGGCGTCGTCAAAGATTCTTACGATGTGCTTCTTGTCGTTAAATGCTGATTTCGGTCCAGCGGCGATTTGGATGCCCTTCCAGGTGATGACATCCCCATATTTAGGCGATTCACGTTGGATAGTTTTAGTGAAGTATGGTGCGCTTTTCTCTTTAGAACTGGGGAGTGGGTAGTCGTCATAGTTGAGGCGTTCTTGACTCTCGGGTCTTGCGAAGAAGTTCTGGTAGTCAATGTTGTCCAAGGGTTGGAAGACCATGTCCAACTGAGGAAAGAACTGCTGCCGCAGAAGGTTAGCGGTCGAGACAGCCACGAAGCAGAGTAATAGTAGACACGTCTTCATGGCGAGTATAGTATATGTACCTATGTATTAATGTTCGATTGAAATCCGACTATTATTTATATGAAAAATAAGCTTATCTAGCAGTTCTTGTCAATTTTAGTAATCGTATTTTATATACTGTTTAATTTTGCGGTATCGCTTGTTTATTTAAATAAAATGTATAAAAAATAAACTTACTAATAATTTACCGAACGGGTCAAAATTTAAAAATATTATAAATAGGCTATTTATATACTAATATTATAAAGAGGAAAGATTTGATGTAAGCTTGTTTAATTAGATTTAGAACAGGTTCCAAAACTGCTGCAACGATTTGTAAAATTAGTTCTCCATTAGAATCCTACAATATTTCAACAGGCTATGGAATATATATTACTAGCAGACTCGGACAAGCGTTGCTGTGGCTAAGGTTTTTGTTATATTACATAGTAGTAAACTATTCAAGAGAAACGGCAGGAGAACACCAACCCACCATGTTTTTTTGGTGGTTATGCCATTAAATTGTAGCTTATGTGAAACGTCCTATCTTTTAAGTTGGATCAAACTACACACGGTGTGCGAATTTTATTGATATCGGTTCGGTAGTTCAGGAGTCCATAGAGGACAAATAACGTGACACGTAATTTATATATATTAAGATAAAACAAATGTCCAGCCGTACGAAATACACCGCTATTATATATATTAATCACAAAAGACCGTCATTTATTTATTCAGCATGAGCCCAAGAAACACTAAACATAATACACAAACTAATTAATTACCACTTAATTAATTATTTTTTAAAATTAAACTGACTTTAAATAGCGGCCAAAAATCTAAAGGAATATAATAATAATTTTGTTATTTACTTAGGATTATACATATATTATATTATACATATCCAGATGTTCATCCCATCTCAAAAAAATATCTATGTTGGAATAAGTAGATATACATAATTTAAATCATAATCTTTACTTTTGATAAATTTATGGATACATTTACGAAATTTAGCACTGTTGGCGACTCTCACTTCTGAGGTCGTAGGTTCGACCTCCGGTTGTGCACCAATAGAGTTTCTGTATATGTGCTTTTAACACTAGCTTGAACGTTAAATGAAGGTATTGTGAGGAAACCGACATGCCTTAGACCCAAAAAGTTAACGGCGTTTCAGGCACAGGTTTACCTATTGCCAATTATAAAATAAAACCTAATAATCTCGAAAGAGATACCCAGACCTTAACAACTGGTTTCTTTTTTTTTTAAACACATGAGTGGAAGCCCAAATAGGTAATAAATATTATTCAATATCAACAAAATCACATACATAGGACCTATGGTATTGACAAACTAGACACTTCCTTATTTTTTTAATTAGTTCAAAATAAAATTCCCTTGCAAGCATCATATGACCAAACTTGATGGGGACGCACTGTGGACGCCCTCCGCCCTTTAAAGGGGTTATAGGGCATTAAGTCAAGCATGATATTATATGGCGAACGACGGGCTAAGATTGAGAGTAGAGACTTGACTCAGAATCAAAAACGCATTGTATTTTGACATTTGACAAAGATATTTTAGCCCTTAGCCTCAGATATAACATATTTTTGCGACCTAATATCTAACTATTCGAAATATAACACCTAAGAAACGTGTGGTGTAGGTTCCCACTATCGATCCTAACTCAAAATGCTTAATTACTTTGTTGGACGGAAATTAAGCAGGGAAGTGGGCAGCGCGAGTGTAAATAGGTCACTGTTTAGAGAGCTGAGTATGATCGTTACTGGAAAGGAGTTTTGGGCAATATTTTTGTTAGGAGCAGCAAGGGCCGAGTTTAATTGTGGTAAGGTCCCTCCAAAATTCAAGCGAACCTTATATTGTAAGTGTTTCTATGGAGGTTCGTGGAGGTAAAAGAAAATTATGATTTTATATTAAAAACTTCACATGTGTAAAATAATTCTTAAATTAATGAAATACATAAATAATGTAATTCGTCCTGCAATTTTATTTCTATATACTTCTTGCCATAGTTGAGGAGTCTCGCCCTATATATTTTGCAGTCCCGTTAACCCATAATGGGACATGAGGCATAATCTTTTCTGTTTTACAATATTTACTATAGCATAATGAAATAGGCCTTCAATCTCAATTAACTGACTACTCCATATATAATTTTGAAGACGTATTTGTACATGTTGTGTACGTTATTGTACATGAACATTCAACAAACAAAATTTTCACCTGGGATCAAACTTTAGACCTTATATAATTATTTACTATTACGCCATGGAAACCGTAATCGCATATGTTTTTATACTGTAAATACATTTTAAAATTTAACCTATTCAAATTTATTTCTTCTTTCCTTAACCATATCTGGTAGGTATACATGTCAAAGCAGGTGGATCCACAGACGAAGGCTAGTAAATTATTTTAGAATATTACAATATTTGTTTAAAAATTTGCGAAATTTTGAAAAAAATTGCGAAACATTATTAAAATTAAAGGTTAGTCTACACTGTGTAAAGTGTCGTTTTACATCTTAAATTACCATTCATAGTATTAATTCATTCAGAAATTTATTTATAAGGCATATTAACAATAATATACACATTGAATAAAGGGAGCGTAAAATAATTGAGTACGTAACGTAACGTACGTAATATATAATAAATATATATATATTTATTATTTATATACAAAAATATTCTTTGGTTTTTAATTTTAGTAATACTAAATATAGCACCGTAGTAGCTATTTAGATATTAAAAATCAATATAATGGTCGAACATAAATTGAAATACCTACATCATATACCATGCGCAGCTAGAAAAATTGATGTGTCTCTCCCCTTATATTTCGATTTTACCATGGTAGGCTAATTTAATGAAATTAGGCCGCACATGCACAATTTTGCAAACATGATAACTTTGTGCTGACGATTCGGTCATCATATTACGTAAACCTATAAGGTTTTTTAACACTATGATTCAGTGGTTTTAATATTGTTGTTACGGGTTCAGTTTTAAGTAAGTCATTTAAAAAGAAAAATATTAACAGTTTTGTACGAATCTAATGCCCTTTTAAGAATTCTTATTTTAAGCTTATTGTTTTTATTTATTTATAGATTAAAGCTTGCCAACGCTCGGATACATTGGTACAAGAAAAATTAAATATTTAGTATAACAAGCACTTATAGGCAAACATAATACCCGAGGAGATAAAAAAATAAATTAAAAAAATCTACCGGAAAATGACTCGTTTTCAAAGTGTTAGGTAAGCAACTATGGATATCTAGACCTAGCTTATCAGAATGCTCAATCTGGATATCGATGAGTTTTGGCCAAAACGAGTTCTTCTGAAAGGAGGCACAAATGGGATGATGGGTTGCCTGCGGTAGAGGGTAAACGAAATTTAAATTTAGTTAAAAGGTTGGGGCAATCAACCTGATTGTTAAATATCTTAAATGGAAGCGATATATCAATTAATTTTCTACAATTCTTCAATGACAACATCTTTAAGTGCGCTAGCCTGGTTTTGCATGTTGGCAAATCTTTTTTCGAGATGCCACTTTAGAAAAGTAGATGGTAAAATATGTATGAGTATGTTAAAATAAAACAATAGACAGTGTATTATATAAATGATGTTATACACACGCACCACAATATATGTGACTAGATTTATATTACAATAGATATCCTTCGAATAGTCGAGACCCTTTTGCAGGCTCTATTACAATCATTACATACATAGAAGAATATATTTAAGTAACGACAATCTAATATCAAATGAAATTAGCACTGGAAACAAAATAATTTAAAAAAAAGTAAATAAAGTTTATTATCGTTTACATGTATCTCAAACTATTTTATATAATTAAACTGCTTGCATAATATTACAATATGATCATGACATTTAGGCGGGAGTCTAAGGCAGCCCTAGTAAGGAAACGATAAACGCACTACTAGAAAGTGGAAAATAATAATAATAATAATGTAACTATTAGATGATGTACAAGTTTTTATAGACTTAATTATGCGAGTATAGATAAAACTACACGAATCACGATAATTTCAAGGTTAGGTTTGGGGATGCAGATGGCCGTCTGGTCACAACGTCGGGGTACGTTAGTTCTTGCAGGTCTGGTCTTATCATGCCGGGGACGGCTGATCTTCGATGTAACCTAATCCAAGTTATGCCCTGATTGAGCCACGGGACAATCAACTTTTTCATAAGGACATTTTAATTTCAAATAAATAATTCTCTTTCAACTGGTTGCATCCTTCAAATGTTATTTGTACCATTTTCGTTCAATATTTTAGTGGTTAATTTAGGTAGCAAGAAACTTTGTAAAGAAAACCACATGTAAACAATGAAATAAAATTTATTATATAAAAATAAACAAGTATAAAAATATTTTATGATCTATTTTATATACGCATAGTTAAGGTGAGAAAAACAAACTCCTTATCCTTATCTACTACATAATAATGTTTATCTATTCTACTATACAAAAAAATCGTTACGATTTTTTACCATGTTTTAGTAAATAGTTTTTAATATACTTGAATACATTATCTTCTAACTAATTAAATATTTGTATTATGTCTTATGCTAATTTGCAAAAATTGTGCCAAAACTTGTCCAAATTGCTTTAGTCCAGCCCGAAGGTATTTTATATACGGATACTTCGCCGTCATATGAGTCTGACAATTCGTTGTCCAAAAACACAATAGGAGCATTTATTTTGGTCAAATAAGAGTAATACTCATCTATATCTCCCTTCGAGTAATACAATACACCACTACCTCTAGTAATAGCCCTCAGAACGTCATGCAATGAAATATCTTCGAGATAAACTATTTCGACGGGCATAACTTTACCGACACACATAAAGTCCTTGCCAATGTCAACAATGTCCATGTCGAAATTAATTGTATTTTTCCCTTTAATGCCCTTCAAATAACCAAGGACGAGTTCTCTCCTAACATAAATATCTTTTTTCACCCATTCACTGCGTAGCTTCATAAGATGTTGAATTGTAGGTGTAAGTTTCGTTTGGATTTTATTATTAGTAAGGTTTAAGCGGGAGAAGTAGGACTGTGCAATGCGCGGAGAACCGTTGAAATTACCAAAATCATTTATCCATACAATGCTACTTTTAAGAGAATTGGCGATTTCGTTGCTTTCGGCAACGTCGCTGGACCACAGAGAAACACAGAGCGAGGTCTTTATCAAACTTAATAAATCTTTGACAGTTCTGTATGTCAGTATGGGAATATACATTTGTGAAGGTGTGCTTTGGGCGACTGTGTCTTTGATAAATTCAAATAAGTATACTTTATTGTTGTAGTGGTATGTATCAGTAGAAAAATGAGATATTTTTTCGGTTTTTTGGATAGCTTTCGAACCAATCAACTGTTTGAAGCGTTCGATTGCACTCTCTTCAACATATATCATTTTTACAGCCCAGATATTCTGAAAAATAAGATATTGTTAACAGTTAGTCTGGGAAATACAGCATGAGTAAAAAACTAGTTAGTAATTTTCTGCATTATACAGGAATAAAGTATAATCTATTTGCTTTGATTCAAGGGGCATTATATAGATGAATATATCTATTTAGGACAAATCATCTCACATACAGACACAACTACAAAAGAAATAAAAAGACGAATAGCTAACGGATGGAAGAGATATTGGTCACTGAAAGAGATCATGAAATCCACAGATCTGAGTACTGGTATCAAAAGGAAGGTCTTCAATACCTGCATTCTCCCATGTATTACATATGGGTGTGAAACTTGGGCTCTCACAAAACATCACAGAAACATGCTGGAACACTGCCAAAGAGCTATGGAACTAAGTATGATAGCTATTAAGAAACAAGATAAGATACGAAACACTGTCATAAGAAGTAAGACAAAAGTCACAGACATACTCACTAGAATAGATAGTTTGAAGTGGAGATGGTGGGCACATGATACGTGATAAACAAGAAAAGTGGAGCAACATCATAACTGACTGGTACCGTTACCGATACGCTTTTTTGCCGAAACAGTTCAGGATAAGAGGCTTATTATTATTATATATCTATTCCGTAAGGGCATATAAAGCATGAAATTAAGTCCTCTGTTAGTAGGTAAATATAATTCAAACTTCGGTACTACATGTCTATTAAGAACCTTAATCTAAGTGAATTACTTTTCATATGTATGATTTTAGTCATAGTGATTACTCTTCTAGTAAAAATTTAAAATAGTTAGTGCCCGTATTACATTACCAGAAACAAGGGGTGGCGCATACAAGGGTATGCGTAAACGCGCTTTCGTACAGAAATAATACTGTATAATTTACAAGCGAAGACCAGCTATTAGAAGCGATAATAAAAACACAGAGTATGTCAAGTGATAAGTTTTGACAAAATTACCATTATTGGAGCATTTAAGAACACATCTACAGCGGACTCTATATCTGATCGTCTGGTAATGATTCCCACACAACTTCCCCAATCTGCAATACAAGAAAAATATAATCAGTGGCATTCCCATTGGAAGCATATATTTGCAAAGTGCATTTTATTGAAACCTAATTGGTCCCTGATATCATCAGAATGTGCGAGACGAACTGATATTTATTTCAAAAAAGTTAAAATCATTTATTCATATAGGTAACACAATGTACACTTATGAACGTCAAAAAAGAAATATACATTAAATGCTTCTAATTTTACATTTACTGCCAGTTTTCAAAGCAAGGGCGTCGAACGGAAGAGAAGAACTGGCAATAAACTCTCCGCTACTGTTTTTAATCACCAAGTTTTTTGTTTTACACAACATGATATCTTAAGTAACAAATAATAATAAAATAAATTAAAAAACAAAGATTTGTCCTCTATCAGCAGGAGGCATGGTGAAATAGGACCACGCACTTACATTCTCGTGTAAACAACACGCAAGCACATAGTCGAAATAACTAACATCACCGCATACACGAATTCAAGTACGACCAGTCACCACAAGTAGCACCCGTTCACGAGTATGACGCATGGCCAGCCATCGGCCCCCTCGCCATATTTTAGTCAAGTTATTCATTAATAATATATGACATTACCTTTTTCAAAATAGGATAAGCTAGCAGAATCCAGGCTCCTTATTTTTATCCGTACCGATAATCTGAAAAACGATTTTACTTAAACTTTTGTTAAAGGAATAATGAAATAGTAGTCATAAGGCAAGCTGTAGTTAGCAAAGAGAATAACTTTTTAATCATAAAAACTAAATTACTTTTATTTCACAGCTTTAATGAAAGCATAAACACAATTTGATAAAAGAGACAAAACATTAGCTAAACAGTGCAACTAGACTGTTTCAAGTAACGGCACTGGTACTTGTATATATTATAATTTATATGTACAGTGTAAACTCTATATAAGTAATAACTCTATAATATACTCAAGGGACTGTGCATATATTGACGTTACAAAGAGTTTTCGTTAAATAGAAAGAAGAACAATCTGTATTAGAAAAATAAAAAAGTTAATTTCAAACTAGTATTAGTAATTACATAAAAAACAATTCTTATTTGAACGCTATTGCGTATAGTCTGTTATTTTCGCCTTTTGCTGCACCTGTAATTGTTGTATTTTTTACTTTGTTTTATTCATATCTTTCTATATTGAGGCATCTTCGTGATAAAGCAAGTGAAAATAATCCCAGTTTGTAAACAAAAGAACGGATTTCTTAAAAAGATAAGGACGTATGATGCCGACAGTCGAGTTTATTACGAGCTAGGACAATGAAGCTACAGAAGTACACAGTTCCGCAGTTTTAACTAATTTCAGCAGATTAAAAAATACTCTGTATTAATTAATTGTCGTTATTGAGGGTAAGTGTAATGCTATGTACAGTGTATCATTGTATGGAAGTTAAGCTGATACAACCAAAGCTGAGTGATTTTGACGCTTTAGGGGGAATGACGTTAAATCTATAGACAATACATGGAGTTTTGGTTTGGGTTGAATATAATATTACATATACATCAAGGTTTTTATTTTACCCAGCTTCTTCACAAAGTTCCTTAAAAAGTGTACAAACAGCAACATTTCTTGTTGTTGATATGAGTATTGCCTCTTTAAATTCCGCAAGAAAAACATCTGCTATCAATCCCAAATTTAGTAATGGCGTTGTGTCAGAAATTGTTATAGTTGGAACTGAAACAAACATTAATTTTATATTTATTGTATGTTACATTTATTTAAATAATAAAAATACAGACCCACCTTTCTCACATAGCTTAAAAGAATTAACTTACAAGAAGCTTAGAACAAGTATACGGTCCACTATGTCGCTGTAACTGGTATGTGGTCACTGTTATTGCAATAATATTGAAAAAAAATACTATAAATGTATGTGAATATAAAAAGTTAATATCTACATGATGTACATGATCTACGTGAATTCACTGATGCTGTCGTTTCAATTGCTAAAAACCTTACAACTTAGTGTATAAGTAATGCTAGAATGTAAAGCCAAAAATAATCTTAACATAGAAATAACAAACATGGTATAGAATATGTTAGACTATATATTAGTCAAGTAGGTGTCCATGAGGAAAAATTGGCAGACAGCTGTAAAGTTTGACTAACAATGTTGTAAATATAATATATAGATACTTATATAAAACATTGAAATTTTTAGGATAAACAAAACGCTTATAATTATTACCAATTAAGCTAAAAAGGTAGTTAAATTACAACATTACTTACTCTTTATTATATTTCTAACAGTAACTGGCTCATTACAAATACTATGGTAATTTAAATAATTCACCAACAGCTTTAAATCATTATTCTTGGTTGTTTTCACTGGAAATTTTCTTGTTAAATATTCTAATTGGCAAAACAGATCTGTATTTTTTTCAATTAATTTAACCAATTTTTTAAATTTATCAGGTAAATCTTCTATAGCTCCTCTTAAATATGTATCATTCTCTAAGTCTGTTTTGGTGGGTTGTTCCACTAAATTAGGATGATCTTCAAAAAACTTCTGAAAAGCATGTTTTATCTAATTAATTATTTAACATGATTTTGTAAATATTATTATCACATTTTCAATAACTTAATTTTTAAACTCCAGGGGGTCTAGCCAAGATGGCTTAACAGTAGTGTATGTAGAAAGTCGAAAACTAAATTTGTATGGAAATGACAGTTCGTGTCGAAAAGTTTTCATACAAATTTAGTTTTTGACGTTCTACATACACTACTGTTAAGCCATCTTGACTAAGGCCCCAGAACACTTTCAAAGTTAAATATTAATAGTCCACAGGCACCTTTTAATGCACTGGTTTAACCGGTGACCAGCATTATTACATAGAATAATTCAAACTATAAGAACAAACTGAATGTAGTATGTATTTCAATATAATAAATAAAAATAGTTCTTTATACTTACTTTAGCTAATGATGTATTAACTTCCATTGTATCAAACTTTAGTGGTTCTAAATTCATATTCCTGTAGATAAATGAAGTTATTTTAAAAAATATTCTAAGATACAGAAAACACCTGTTACATACAAGACTTTACTTTCCAGTTTCAACACCACCAATCAATTTATTAACGCAGTTATCTTTTCTTTATCAATTTGAACTTTTTGAACATTGATAATTATTTTGTAAATAAAGCATTAAGGAACCGTCTATTGCTACCACAGATTGTTGCCACCTGTCTAGTACTGACCGCATTAAACATAGATAATAAATACAATAATACGCACTTCTGCAAGGTTAATTCTAGCAGTGTGATGTGAAGAGACATCAGAACAACCTCCTCTTTAGGGGTTTTAAATTAGTTTTTACAATTTAGAGTATATGATTTTTGAGTGACTCAAACTTTTTTTACACCACGTACGTTTCGCAGGTATATAGGTACTAGATGGTTGAGGTGTCTTACCTATGTAGAGAAATAGTCCCTTAAAAAGTGATACTTTTTAGGATATTACTTAATATAGCGATATCTACAATCTTCTGTTACAATCACTGCGATGGCGTCATACGCTGAAACGCGCTAATGAAGGTATTATGAGTGCTAAGGATATATAAGGACCTTGACCTCTGGGACCTTCGGTCCCACCTAGGGATGTGAAAAAATAATCGATTATTAAAAAAATCGATTTTAATCGATTTTTTTACGCGATTTTTATATTTAAAATAATCGATTAATAATCGATTATTTTTATAATTGAAAATCAGTCATAATCTATTTTTTATCTGCCACCTCCCGACATTATGTCTGGTCTTTTATAACCCGGACCTCGAACTATTAGGGATATTCGATACACAACGATGTTTACAATGCGATACATTGAATCCGATTCTTTGAAGATGTATTGATATACTCGATACATTGATTTTTTTTGTAAAACATCAAAAGGATGATAAAAGCAGTTAATTTTACAAAAACTCAAGTTTGAATGGAACACTATAATTTAAAAGTAAAATAAATTTATTCAGCAGCACAAGACTCCATACAATTAAAAAGACAACAAAAATACTGCAATGTGCTTCTGAAAAGGAATACACTCAGCAGTTATCAAAATCTATCAAAACGAGATTAAGTTAATTTCTATTGTGATTATTCTTAAACGTTAATTTGTGTTTATAATTTCTATTGTTTATTTTTAATTTAAAAAACTATGAAATTAAAATATTTAGGGTGTTTATTTTGAAATTAATTCAAAAATTAGGAAAAAAATCGATTAATAAAAAAAAATCGATTATTTTTTAAAGAAAAATCGATTATTCATGCTACAAAAATAATCGATTAATAAAAAATCGATTTTTTATGCAGAATGTCACATCCGTAGTCCCACCCAAGATGGTCCAAGCCGATTCACTCGCCAAAACAGCCCGGGCTGAGCTGTCAAGGCCCTTAAAGCCAACAGTTCCATTAAAACAATAGAGGCTATACTTAATTTTTTTAAAACAAGAAAATTTCTGTCAACTGAAATCAATATACGGCAAGCGTTAACTTCAATATAGAGATCCAAGTTATAACTATTTTATTACATTTATTTAAGAGAAAATAAATGTACTATAATCATACAAATGTATCTTTTAACCATCTGGGACAGTAGGAAATTCAGTTACGTTTTTCCCACTTGTTTGCGTGGTATTCCCACAGTAGTGTAAATGCATGACCCCATTTCACCGCGCCTTGTGGATAGAGATGAAATGTTCGGTTTTCATATTTCTTTATTACTTACATGATTACAATAATTAACTACTTTACTATGTAACAAGGATGTCCTGACCTGCACCCATATCATAAGCTTCTCATTACATATGAATAAATTATATTTTGATTTCATTCTAACAAACATTTAACAATGATTCCAGTCAAAATTCTCAGTATGATATGATGAATAGCTTTCTTGTTCATACGAAAAATAATTATAAACTTTAAAGAAGGAAATAAGGAACTCCATGATACCTATCACACATGTTGAAACCAAATAGTCAACTTAACATTCTAGCTACGCAACTGGTGCTATGGGAAAATATCGGGGATAGTTTTTCATGAAGTAGACAGATGTTTGGATGTTTTATGCAGATTCATTAATTATACACTATATAAAAAGAATAATTCAGGGGCGCAAAACTGAGCCGTTGTTTACCTTCACTGTACAAGTGAAAGAAGTAAAGTTTTTCCTTATTAAAACAGTTTCAAAACTCCTTGAAACGAAGGTAGTTAAAGATGCTTTCTTATGAACTCGGCTTAGTAGTACTGCTAACGTTAAAAGTAAAAACAATCAAGCACACATTTCAACAAAAGAGCGTCCCTTTTTAGTATGGTATCCCAATTATTATTATTATATCATCATATGTTAACGCCCTAATAAATATATCATTACGTTTTAATATACGATAATAGACGTACAACTCTTGCATAACAATGTATTTAGAACAATCATGAACTGGCGAATAACAAATGTCACAAAGACATCGTTCCAATTTCAAGGGAGCAAACAAACGATTGCCAATGACATGACAAGCGTGCATGACGGTCAACGTTGTATATAAAATATTTTGTAAAATTCGCGCCAACATAATGCCCATAAGATTTAGAAACTAGCAATGGCACTGGCAAAGAAAGGGCAAGTGTACAGCGTCGGCAATTATTTGATGACGGGAAAAGTTTTCGGGAAAGGCCACTTTGCAAAAGTAGAAGAAGCGACGCATAGGATTATCGGCAAAAAGGTTCTACATTCATTGACTTGTATTTCTTACTTACTCTCCATCGTGTAATGTCTACAGCTAGACAGCTAGTGACCAGCTCATGACCCATGTGGATACTTTTATACCAAAAAGATGATCTCCAATAATTCTAATCAGACCTATTTATAATGTGTTTCTAGTCATATATAAAAAGCCGATAGGACGTAATATATATATATAAGTAGAGTATTGATTTAATAGGTGGCGATTAAAGTAATAGACTTGACCTGCATCAAAGAGGACTATGCAAGACGCAACTTACACCGCGAGCCCCGGGTGATGGCAAAGTTGCGGCATCCCTGCATAGCTGCCCTTTACGAGACTATGATGGTTGGTTACCAACGATTTACTTTTTACCCAATTTAAAATAACCCAGAGAAGAAGGTTTACAATTAGACGTACAACTAGTAGTATACGTATCGTCCGCATGATTGATGATTGTCAAAGAATTCGGCTTAACTGAGAATCCCAGAATTTAGTTTTTCCTATAAAAAAAATGAAATATTAACAAAATCCCTAGTACTTACCAAATGCATAAATTTACAAGTACTTATTTATGTCCCGATAAAAAAAAATATTTCTCTACTGATTCTCACCGTACAGTCAAGGGGTAAATTTTTACTATTTATTTACTAGCACGGGCCACGACTTTACGTGGTGATGGAGGCGGCGGCAGGCGGTGATCTTTGTTCCTATGTCCTGGCTGCCCGAGGTTCAGCGCGTGGCCTACCTGAATCTCGGGCAAAAGCGTTAGCCGCTCAGTTGGTTTCAGCTGTACGTCACATGCATTCTAGAGGAGTCGTGCATCGGTAATAGTAATTCTGTACCTTCTTAAAATACATATCTAAAGGTTAACATTGAATGAGCAGTTTCGCGATTTGAAACTCTGTGGTCGCACCTTGGAACCCCAGGTGTATAATAGATTTTTCTTTGAATGCATTTAATATTTGCTCATACGTTGAAGGAACACCATTGTGAGGAAACTAGCATGCCCTAAGGCCCATTTAGATGGAGAGAGTTTCTGGTCTCGAAGGTACGATTATCGAAAGAATATAAAAAAGTTTCTTCGTCTTAACATTCACACCAATTGCTCTTCCACTTTGGCGACAATTGCCTCGCAATGGAAAATTTATTGTGTCCGTGTAAACAGAATTTCAAAAGCAATAATATTTCGAGGTTTTGTGGCAGTTGCTACCATGAGTGTAGGGCGTGAGGGTGTTTTAATTATTTATACAAGAATTCATTAAACGGAAAAAAAGATTTTGGGTAAAAAATGGGTTTTTATAATTTATTTTTTCCGTGTTCCACAAACACTCGTAACTTCAAAAAAAATTCAATTAACTTAATATTATCCGCAGCCCCAAAATTAAAAGGATTTTTGAGACAAAAATCCAACAAAATACCCTACATACATACATAATGTTTCATTGGAGTTTTGCCTGTATGTAAACATTTTGATACGATAATGCTATCATGGCGATTATTGCTGGTGATAGTCGCGTACGATTTCTCACACCAAAACGTGCGAGAATTTCTCTCCATCTAAATGGGCCTTTAGAGTGAAGTTTTTTGGTGTGTCTAAACCCTGATTTTTTAAGGAAAAATTCAAAGTTATCATATGATGTTGTGAAATAAGTATTTGTATGAAAAATTATGGCGCGTCTAGTAGCTTAGCGCAAAACTGTTTTTATAATGATAAACGGACTAAAGCGTTCAATATTTAGTTAAATTTAAGCTTCTATACGGATTTTGATCAAATAATTCGGATTTTTTTTAGTTCACAGTCATTAAAAGTCGTGTATGGGTTATACTTACTGAACTCAATACGTGAGCTAAACGTCACTTAACTTACAGAGATCTGAAGATGGAGAACATAATGTTAGATAGTACTAAGCAGTTCATAAAAATTGTTGGTAAGTATACACACGAGTTTTGTGCATGCACATCATAGAAAATGTTTTTAAATATATTTATGAATATTGCTTTGACTATGAAATGTGGTAGAACTATTTTTTTAAGTCCTGATAGCCTACCTAAGTGGTACATCAGCGAGGTGCAAAATATATTTAAACCTGTTCTGATTACATTTTTATGCAGCGTACATATACTTGTATGTTGTTTCTTAATTTCTTGCTTGCCGTTGCTATTGTTCTCTTTCACCGCATCCTTTGCTTATACGAGTACGTACGAGTACGAGTTTTCTTTGTTTATACGAGTACATAGTTCCTGAATTAATTTGTTTACATTATTTATAATTTTTATAGATTTCGGGCTTTCTAATGTATGGAGTGCGGGTGGAGCGCTACGTACGCCATGCGGATCACTAGAATACGCAGCGCCCGAGTTGTTTGTGGATGGGCGGAAATATGGACCCGAAGTTGATTTGTGGAGCATGTTAGATCCTATTATTATTAATCTGAACAAACATTTCAACTATGTATGAAGTACCTATAGCAAGTTCGATAGTGAAAACAGGAGTGAAACTTGACAGGCGTTTTTAACGAACGCGGTCTAAAGCATTTATTTGTACATACTTTTTAATGGAAACATGTACCATGGTAACAAATATGAGACTAACTTTAATTCACATTATGTAGTTCGACTGGGTATGTTTTATAATACAATATCTTAATGTTTATGCAAAGAATCCTATCATCATTGGGAATATATATTTGTTTTTTTTTTTTTTTGATTCTAGTAGTTGATCATGCCACTAAGTATAGAAAAACCTTATTGCATTTTAAACAATCTTAGTGGTAGCGAGAGTTACTCGTTGACTACGATTTCTGAAAGGCACTGGAGTTATAAAAATAAAGTTAAAATTAAAGTAGCATACATAATTTTATTAAACTAATTGCAGAACTTTGGAATCCTCAAAATCACTGATTATTGAATTCATTGGTTACATGGATTTTTTTTAAATTCGCGTAGACCGCTCTTATTTAATGAATTTTAATATTTTATTTCTTTAAAGTGTTCACTAACCAGCTGGTTTGTTTTAGCGGTGTGATAGTTTATGGAATGGTGACTGGAGGTCTGCCATTCGCGTGTTTAGAAGGAAGCAAACAGGCGACAGAAGGCCACTCTAGACCACAACTAAGGGCTGCTATAGCAAGAGGGTTTACCAGGAAACAGAGGAATGCGCTTGCGTGTGTGTCTACAGGTATTGAGTTTTTTTACTAAAAATTATGCGCGAAGATTTTTAATTTCAACATCTGGCCACGTTTTGTGCCGAAACTTATGACCCTTATAGGGCTGCAAATGTATTGAATTTATGAAGATGCCTAAAGTTAGTACATATTTGGTTAACAAAAGTTTCACAAACTAGCGGGCTGTCGCCTAGAAATTTTTAATATTTCGGAAATAAATATAGCCTATTAAAGGATTAATGTAATCAGTCCAGTATTTTATTGGGTCCAATCATACAGTATTACATATTAATTATAGAAAACCGCTGACGTGTCTAATGCTTGTCACGGTCAGTGTGGTGTGGTTATATTAAAATAATGTCATTTGAATAACAAAATTTATGTAACTACATTGAATTGTCTATTAAACTATTTCGAAACGCATCGTAAGCAACATTCGCTTACTTCTGCGTCATCAATAGTCATTAAGATTTGTTGCTTGTAGTAATAATAAAAGGTTTAAAGTACGAATTTAGGTTACGGGGTTATCAAAACACAGATTTTAAAGCATAACGATTATAATTACAAAAACCTTAATTACACAAATAGTTCTTCATACAATAAACCACTTCCGCACTGTTTTTGAACAATCACAGCGTTTGATACGTGTTTTTCTGAAACAAAAATAAATTTTTATTGTGCTATATTAGTTACATCACTAAATAGAAATATATGTTTACGGGGATTAACCGCGGTGTACCATACAAGATGGGGCCGTGTGCCATATTCGTCTGTTTCATTGTGAGCTTTCTTTTACACAACTTGTATTATTATTTAATATTTTTTATTTATTTATTTATTCTACAGAATATAATAAAATCATAATTTGTTACATAAGAAAACCGCTGTGGTTTGTATAAATGTAGTCATAGCAGTCTTGTTTAGGAACGCGATAAATATATCGAAATAGTTTTTCAATTTACTTTTTATGTTGGTTAACGTTAGGCTATCTAATAAATGAATGGATAGTCTATTTATTAGCCGCGGTAGCAAACACTTCAATGTTCTCTCGCCATATACCTACGTTGTTTTCTCTCGATGTACAAAGCCGAACTTGTGTTACCGCTCGGGTCGGTACGTTGTGATCAACTGGTTTTTGTCATCTCGAAAAAAATTACGTAGTGCTGTAAGAATTTCACCTAAATTATCTCATATTTCAGAATGCAAGATGTTCATACAACAACTACTTGAGCCCAAAGTAGAGCTTCGCATGAAGATTGAAGAGGCCGCGCGGCACAGATGGGTGAAGCGGCCTGGCATGCGAATGAAGACACACCCGTTACCGCCGCCCGATTCCAAAGTTAATAGAGAGGTGATTAACATATTATCCTTACGGGTTTTTGGGTGGTTTAGCTCTGGTTTAATTATCCATTGTAATTTCTCTACGGCCGACCTCAGGGGCCGATCAAGTATAACATTAGCAGATTTACTGGAATTTATCCCCCCACCCATCTTGTCAGCAAAATTTCGCAAAGCTCTCAAAAATAATAGTACCTAAACATATTAATTTTTTGTAGGAATCCTCGAAAATGCATTTCTTTTTTTAGCATAGACAATGTGTAGTATGTGTAAAAAGTAAATAATTACTGTTGACGTAATCACCAAATATGAAAATCAAAGACCCCTCTGCCCCTATAGTGCTTACGTAATACTTGAACGGCCCCTCATTAAAAATATAAAATACGATTTTTTTTTAAGGCAGATGTAAAAAAACTGAATAACGTGTCGAGTGACAGTTTGTTGTTGATTAATAACCCTTGAACTTCAATAATTCCTCCATGTTCCAGATATACAGACAAATCGCCGAACTTAGCGCGCAGAACTTTCTGGACATCGTCGCTCAGATTAAGGCCGAACCATTTGGTTCAACCGCTGGATTGTACAATATAAAAACGCATTTACATCAAATGCAGGCCGCCTCCGGGCTTGATCTCCTCTGGTCTTCAAACACAACGGAACCACGTCCTGCATCACCGCCAGAATATCGCGCCAAATACGAGCTTAAGGAGCCAAGTTTTTCTACACTGTCTCTGCACTCCCAGGTGGTGTCAAATTTGCAGAAATACCGTCCAGTTCCAAAACCAACACCGAAGCCGGGAAATTCAACAGCCGAAGCCGTAGAGAAGATCAGCGACGAGATTAAAAGCAAATCGAAGCAGTTGAGCTATTATGCAATGCGGAGACCAGTTTTCAAGGTGTACGAAAACGGTGATGGCTTGGACAGTCGTCTACCGAGCATTAAGGAGTATTCGAATCCAGATGTGAATGAAAAGAAAGCAAAGCTTAAACCTCCCGTGAGGAAGACCCAGCTAGAGGAACCATTAAGACTCAGCAGTTGTCCGAACAAAGCTAGCGATGTGCACAGGAGCGATTTCTGCAGACGTGGTGGAGATGGGTTGCCAAGGTATTTTTGAATTTAAGTATTATTTTTCAAAGGCTATGCAAATGCAATTCTTAAATATGTTAGTAGTTGTTGTTGGAAGACGAGTGCTTAATGTATCTAAAAAGATTTTAGAACCTAGAGTGGGTACTTTGTAGGAAGCTTTTTATGTCACACGACGTTGATTTTTGGGTCTAAGACATGCCAGTTTTCTCCCGGCTATACCAAGCTAACATAGAACGGAAAATCAACTTCGGATTTCGAACCCACCTAGGCTGATGCACGCATAATCACTATTCTGTTTGCTGTAGTATCTCGTTAGGAGATAATATTACCACTGAACGTGTTCAATTGACATAATTTGACAGCTGGCGTGCAAGTGGTGTATCAAGAACGCAAGCACCTCGAATATTACTACAAAGTAATGCGACTACAATCAAAAGAGCGTCATTGGGGTGAGTTTCTTTAATGACATTCTTACTCATCAATAGGCAAGACAGCATTATAAAACATGCTGTAAGTGTTGATGTTTTTCGAAAATAAACGGTAACCATGGTAACAGACACGGTTGTAACATTGATCCACGTTCTATAAGATAGTCATATCTAGTGCCGAATCTCGCGATATTCCGATATATCGGTTGTAGCGAGCCAGTAGACGATCGTGCCTAAACGAGACACAAGATCATGCGACCACAGCGAACTGACTGGTTATGAAAGTAAAAAAATGTAAAATGCCAGTCTCACAAAGATTGTCCGAATTTGTCTAAGCGTTTAATTACATCCTAAGTAAAGATTACCTAAAACCCGTAGCGTGTTTTCTGCAACTTTTCTAAAAATATATTTCTTTCAGAAACATTGTGAGCCCGCACTCATCTTCCAACAATAGTCACTGCAAGAGCGAAAGAGCAATGCCTGTAAGTGTTTTATTTTCATTTTATTGGTTAACAAGAGCTATGAGGGCAAACTAGCGTATTTTTCAGCGCGTATACGGTCGTTTCAGCATACGCGCTACAATACACGCTTCAAAAAACCGGACACGCGTAAACTGGCATATTTCGGCGTGTTCGCTCGAACCGGTAGTGGCGTCGTGTCAGTTTCAATATGGATTCGAACTTATACGAACTTAGAAGCGCTTCAACGCTCGGACGAGTTGCGCGTGTGCCAAACGGCGCGCCTTTATGTGCCTACATGCGCTTACAAAGAAGAGCTTATACGCTCGTAAAAAAACGCTAGAGTGCCTTTATAAAACGATTAAGTAAAATATTGTTATGCCTTATGGATAAGAGGGAAAGTCTCATCCTCACACCACTAGGACCAGGTTTAGACGGCTCACGGTCAATATTAGCCTTACCATTAGACCAACACTGGTTACGTGTTGGAATACGGGCCATAAACCGATGAATAAGTAATATAACAAACCTTTTTAGGTCTGGGCCTCAGATTTCTGTATCTGTTTTAGGATCATTTGTTAATCTAATAGGCAAGTAGGTGATCAGATCACAGCCGGGGATACGACCTACGACCTCAGAGATGAGAGTCGCACGCTGAAGCCACTAGGCCAACACTGCTCAAATAAAAAAAATATATAGCTGTAGAAAAAATACAAAAAAAGTTTGTGAAATTCCTTAGTTTTAAACAGTACCTATATTTCAGTTGGTATGCAGATTCTTACAAAATTTTTAATTTGGATTCATTGTAATTTCGGCGAAGTCAGCAAGATTTATTATTTTTACACGCTATTCTATTTGCTGTCGTTATTTTTTTAAGAATCCCACCCCGTATGCGACAAGATATTCACAATTGTTCCATGTGCCTTGTGCAAACAAGAATTATGTGTGTAATTCGCCAATGTTTCGGGTTTTAGCTAACTAAAATACAATTTATGAAGATGTAGACATTTTCCACCTTATCAAAGAGGGCGTGAGGAGATATTTTAGGAAGCGAAAAGACTGACTTTATTTAGCAGTAGTAACAATTTCTTTTCTCTTTAAAATATGAAGTTGTAGTTTTAATGTTTAATTCCAGTTTTTTTTTTTATCTATTAATGTACGTACTTAATTTGACTTAGTTATCTGTTTCGTTTCCAAAGTGTATCTGTAAAATTACTTATAAATATAAAAGAATTTTATAACAGAATATGTAATTGAAAATGTATTTATTTTTTCAGGTCGGCTGGTACTCGCGTCCCATAGCGAAGGACACACAACGTCTACGCCGCACCGCGCCTATTAAATAATTTTTAGATAGACTTTTCGATGTACTTATTTTGTAAGATTTTATTTCAAATCTTTCAAATCAATGTTTTATGTTTTTTGTAAAATAAATATAAAAGTTTAAACTAGGATTATGCATTCTGGAATTCGTTTGTGTGATTGAGTCGAGAATTAGCGCGAACCCACAAAATTCAATAAAATTTTTGCACACAGAAGTAGTAGTAGTAAGATTCATAGACTAAAGCGAAGTTGGATTTTGACATTGACATACGGGAACCATTGTTTGCGCTAACTGTCGTCTCTGGTTATTCATAAAAATAGTATAAAGCTTACCAAAAACCACCTATTAAATATTTCTCAGTACTTTCATGAATAAAATCATTAATGTAACTAAATTTATAAAGGCAATACATAAATACCGAGAGAAAATTGCGAAATTATAATCATATCTAAATAATATTGACTTCTTATTGTTCCAATATTACAGGCTAGCAATATCATGGAGAAGTAAATGTAGTCGCAGACAAGACCACGAAGAATACGATATACGTTCATTCATAACTACGTCTTATTGCTTTAACCGAAAGTACTTCTCTCTTTTCATTACAGCGTAAACACAATTTGACGGAAAGAGACGAAAGAGTACTATAATTAAGAGATCTAAATCCGAAGTAAATTTGTCTATGAAGAATCTTAGGCTTCCTTCACGATCTCAGGGTAAAATTCAGAAACAAGACTTGACTCTGTCACTCTCGTTTTGACTATGGGAGCGTTCAAGTATTACGTCACAAATTTTTTTCCTCTTGTAAAACGTTACGATGCGGGGCGGGGATTAAATTACGCGTTATTGTTAATATTATTTTCGACTTTCCAGTACTTTACCCATAATGGTAACTTTTAGGTATAAAGAGTCACTGGGTGGTCACGAAACGTTTTATTATTTGGTACAGAAAAACGTTACGGCGCGTAACGGAGGGGAGAGTCAATAATCTCCAAAAATTGCGTGACGTAATACTTAAAATGTATTGGATTTTGACATAGGGACGCTCCCTATGTCAACATTTTTGACGTATGGGAGTCGGATGTACTAAGTGTTGATTTTAAATCTCACCTAAGGTGTCAATCAAGTATGCAAGTTATCAGTTTAAGCTAGTACCTTATAGTGTCGATTTCACGAATTTTCGAGAAACACTTACGAGAAATTCTTACATTTGCTTACCGATTATGATTTAGAAAACTAAAAATAATACATCTTATTGAAATTATTATATATTACCTCAATACAAAGACAAGATAAGTACATAATTAAGAAAGAAAACTAACATTTTTGATTAATTGCAAAAAAAACTTAACAATGGCAGATGGACAAACAGGGTAACAAGGTGGAAAGGGCCACAAAGAAAAAAAAAAGGTCACCCTCTTGCACGGTGGGCTGACTAGCTTATAGTGGGTGTAGAAGATTGGGAGACACCTGCTCAAGAGAGATGGAGCCAGTTGGAGGAGGCCTATACTTAGGAGGTCCTTGAAAAAAATATATTATTATTTGTGTAAAAAAGTATGTGTATCTTTTGTAGAGATAAATGGATGAGGCCTAATTATCATTATATTACCTCAATATGTCAGTGATGCGGCATATGCGTAGGGTTTGTGATGGCAGCAAGACGTGTGTACGTGGTGCGAGGTCGCGTCCTCGCCGGGGATTCGTTACCGCTCGACTCGTTCTTAAATACGGCGCAACAACGCCATTGGTTGAGGTATTGCACTGCGGAGGGGTTTAAAAGGTTTTAGTAGTGCCATTTTTTTATTTTATTTACTATATACTTTTACACACAAATCTTTCAAGACTTACACTGTTATTTTTCTCTGTAAAATGTCTTCTCCTGTCTAATCATAATACATGGAGTTTGTTGATTTAAATATAATATATATAATATAGATGACCGGTGAACTTCGTAACACCTACATATATTTGTGTCAAAACTTAATACACATTTTTAAAACAGACCAAAGAGATCGGATTTTATACTACAGTTATGAAACACAAAAATCTGGCAGCTATGACGAAGAAGAAGATGAAGATGAAGTCATACAATATTTCCCAGCTGTTCAATGTTTCCCACCGTTTAAGCCTTCCCTAAACTTCCACAAATATTTGAATACAATAAATAGCCAAATCGGTCCAGCCATTCTCGAGTTTAAGCGAGGCAATCTAACAGCAATTCATGTTGATTGGATTGGAACCCGCAAGGAAAGCGAAAGCGTAACCGTCCCAAGCAAATCTGGCGTCGTACAGTTGCAGATGACGCAAAGAGAGCCGGAAAGACTTGGAGCGAGGGGACTCACTGTGGATGCCCTCTGCCCCATCTAGGACATTAACGCCAGAACCCAATAATTAATCCACAATCTCAGATTGACAACAATCTAAGATCCGACCGTGACAGTCGATCGATCTCCTATCTGCATCCCAAACCCTACGAAGACAATACATTTTTGGCGACGGATATAATGCTCTTTGCCGTTCCATTTTACCGAGTTTTCACTCATATTTGATAATCAATGTAAACCAAATAAAGTAAATAAAACCGTACGAATAACATTAAAATATACATGTGTATGTTTAAAACATAACAAACAGTATTTAAAAAACTGGTGTAAGTTAAAATAATTAACTGTTGAAATCGAGCTTTCGTCAACTGTTATTTTCATACAAAGGTCTATCCACAGACACCGATACGACCTCCCATGGATAGCTTGTATCGACAGATGGCTATTACAATCCGTCGATTGGTTATTGGCAAACTTGTTACAACATTTCGATTAAGATTCCTATCTCAGATTGTGAATTATAGATTGAGATAGGTTATTGGGTTCGGGGCTTAGTCGAGTAAGTTCGTATAAACACTAACTTTTCCAGAGTCGTACGCAGCAGTCATCCCCTGATGAAGCGAGTAACGTTCCAGTGACGTTCCACGAAACTCTCCAAACACATGAACTGTGGTCATCGAAGGCAGCCAATACTTCACTACGGAATCTGACCCCACACCCATTACTGTTGCTTGTAGGCTCACTTAAAATTAAAAAAAAATATTAAGAAGATATTCAAAAAAGAACCAGAAGAATATTTAACCGTAGAGAAATTTGAACCATTACTCGTATCGGTAAAAACTAAATATTTAAATATTTAAAGAAAGTAGATTAGCTGTAGAGATTTAGATTTACTTAGAAAAAAATTTGTTAACTCGGGATACGACTTTGCGTTTCACTCTGAATATTATGTTTATAAAAAAATATTTATTTGTCTATATATCCAAGATTGTTTGACTCCTCGAAAATATTCATTCCCGGTAAAAAATCTGAACGATTCATCAATAAATGTATAAAATACATACGGCAGAGGCTCCATTTTGATAATACGGACGTCTTTCGTAGCGACTGCTAAGAGATGGAAGGACCGGCCTAGATTCGGGGCGAACGCGAGGTCATTAACTGGCTCCACTACCGAAGCAAGGCACTCGGTCTTGGCCCATCGTCGACTGGACTCGCTGTGCCTAGAATTATTTTGCCTCTACAGATCTCTCCAGCAAGTAACCACGCAACATATACGACCCCATTTAAGATTGTGTTTTGGTTCCACACAAAATTTTTGATTGTTTTTGAAAAATGAATTTATTAGGGAATGGCAATATGGCGGACACAAATAACTATTTAATTGCGTTGCAATTGGTATTTTTATAGAACAAGAAGTTTTAAAATTGATGCACTCAAGTTTCGAGGATACTAAGTTATAATTACTTGGACATATTTATAGAAAAAAAAAGGATGCGTGTACTTATGTACGCGCGTAAGAAGTTATACTTCTTTCGAATTATTAAAAATAGTTTTTGATTGCATGCAAATAATTAATTACAATTAAATAATCAAAGACTGGAAAAGGAGTCATTATAGTCAATAAAGTTCAGTTTACATATGAAAAATTAAATGAATAAATATTTATTATTATTCTCTTACATTAAGTGTAACATAAATTCTATTATTATTCGAATGTTGTTTTTAAATTATGTCCAATGCCGTAGCATCTTCCGTGGGCAACTTCATTCTGTTAATTTTATGTCACGGTGCGCGCGCATCGTAAAATTTCACTCTCTTCAATTTTTCATAACGCGCCGAAAGAAGTATAACTTCAATAATCTGTTGTGAATTTTTGTGATCAAGATTTCTTTGGTTTGATAAGAAGACGCGTAAAAAGGAACATATTCTTGTCTATAAAGATTACAGTTCATAAACCTCAAAAATTTATTAAATAGAGTAAATTGAAAAAGAATTTAAATAAAGATAAACCAAAGACAAAATTTTGTCTACTTACTCATAAATAAAGACTTTTCCATTACAATTTTTATCAGTCTGTGAATTTGCATTTGCCAAATTGGGTTCATCACTCCCAACAGCCAGCATCGGAGGATTTGAATTTACCCTGTAACACATAACTATGTTTTAAACTGTTTTCATTATTGAAAATAATGATTATACTGTTGAAAAAAACCATTTATGAAAAATCTTAGAAATCCTATGTGGAATTTTTTTTGGTGGGGTTTCACTTCTTTATCTAAGTTGCATGTCTGTTTACTGGTACCTTTAAATTTTGTCAAGGCCAAAGCAATCCCTTTGGTATGCCCTCATCTGTGGTACTATGTGTTTTGTAAGTACATTATTTTTATAAATACCTGGATAAAGAAGGATTCCAAGAAAGACAACTAATGGAGACTTTTGTAGGCATTTCATGTTGTAAGGTCCACTGTGCAAGGTTCATAACATCTGGTGCTTCATATATCCTGCAAAAATTAGCACTGTATTACAATCTAATACATTTTTAACCAACTTCATTCAAATCTATTGTGGTGTTACAAGTCTTGAAGGTTTCACAAAATTATCTGATTTTGTTTTCTTCCAAATAGCAATAGAGTATAAAGTAATAATTATCAAAGCAGTATAACAATATCAGGCTACATATTTATTCATTTTATAAAGTAAATGGTATTTGGTATATGTTCCATTATTTTAAGTTTTGAAACTTTTCACCGTAAATATAATTCTTCTTTTTTAAATATATGGGGTCGAAGGTTGTCAATAAGAAACCATAGTTACCTAATAATACCATCAGCAGAACAAGTAACCAATAGTAAACCTAAATGCTTGGGCCCAAATTTGACATCGGTCACTGAAGTTCTTGAATCAACTAAATTTGATCTTTTTACCCATGTCCGAAGACCTTTTTCTGATCCCGAAGCTGTTATGTCTCCTAAAACAAGAGTATAAGTAGGCATGTTACATAGATAGAAGAAAAAACAAGGTTATATAACTATGTTGACAGTAATAATAGAGTTAAATATACATAGCTAGGAATATTAATTGTGGGCATTTGGTGGTTCTTTATAGTATACAAACCAACTTCTTCCCAAATAGCAGCTGTCCTATCAAAAGAGCATGTTGCTAGAACTTGTCCAAACTCAGGATGGGCCCAAGTTACTTTCCACACTGAGCCGTGGTGAGCCTTCCAGCTTGCTGTCAATCGCCACCCTCCTTGGCCATCTGCATCCCATACCTTAAGCAGAATTATTAAAATAAATATTAACACATAACATATTTCGACATTAAAGGTACAACTTATTATATAATTTATTTAAGCAAAACAATAACATAACCTACCTTCACATACTGATCACTTGAACAAGTAGCCATTCTTTCTCCATAGAAATCAAATGCGACATCGTGAATTAGATCCTTGTGGTCAGCTATTATAGTTTGTGATTCAAAAAAATTATTAGCACTGACTTCACCCATTCTATATATTAAACTATAGTATGTTGGTGACTACAGAGAAATATAACTAAAACTTAACAAATTCTAATAAATTTAAAACGTCTAAATTATAAAAACAAATTCGAATTACAGATTAGTTGGATTATCAGACAAATGACAATTTACATGATTATTATATTTCTGTTAAGTTAAAATATATTTTTTCAAGTCTTCGATATCTTTCGTGAAATATTGTTGCATAAATAACTGCTTTATAAAAAGGAGCAGCATGAACGTGATTAAAGATATAAGAATTATAATAATTACTTTCAAAAATATACGTCTCATCTATGGACAACAGCTAATGCTCTGTGAAAGTTTTAGAATTTGAATTGTGGCGGGAAGAGGGCAGGCAACCGCTGACAAATATTTTAATGGCAGAACTTTTTGTTGTTTCGTAACATCTTTAGCTTACGCGGTACGCCTTACTTAGTTAGACCACAGAAACTACAGAAAGGGAAGAATGAGGATGCAAAACGAAAGGCATGATGAACCGTTGCGATCAAACATGATGACAGTGATGACTAATCGTAATGAATAATTATAAAACGTTCGGCGCGTACAATCGTTTCATATTACAATGTTATTCTCCAAATTAGAAATATGCTAACTTCACAAAAGATCAATTACACTTTAAATGTTCAACTCCCAGTTAGGTAAACTGTAAAGCCAGCCAGAACATAAAAAATCAGATAATAATAAAACAATAAGAATTGTTACATGCATTTTATTTTATTTAGGATCTTCATGGCTGCAAATGAAACATCAATGATTCTGGTTAATAACAATTTTAAAATATCTTAATAATTAGTCTTTAAAAAATAGTTACAATATTGAGATAAAATTGGCACAGAATAAAAGTCAAATATAATATTATAAATTCATTATTTACTATATATTATATACCAATGTAGTTAAAGCTAGTAAAGTAATTGATGTAAAGTACTAAATAAAATCATTGCTAGTTTTTAAATCATTGTTTCATACCCATAAAAAGTCTTGTTCAAGTCTTTACTTAAAACTAATTACCATGTGTTATACACAATATTTATGGGCTTTCTAAAAATAGTATAGTAAAGATAATAATTTTATACAAAATTTCTTTGCTATAATGCAAAATATAGCCTAATGGTTCACATCTCCAGATGTGATTTTGTTAAAAGAAGATAGAACAATAAATCCAAGAAGCTGTAATTTTTCATTATCACAACAGTTATGCTTTATAGTAACTCTAATTTTTCAACAGCAGTTTAACATAATAATATCATCTGTCTTGAAGTTTAGAAGTGTAAGTTTGTAGTAGCAGTTAACCTATAATCTACCTCACTGTTCTTAAACAGTTGTAGCAAATTCAATCTCAGAGTGATTCTTATAGTAATCCAGTTATCATATTAAAAGTTAACATGTGGGATTACATCAATTAGATGGCAAAATTAAAATGAGGTGTGCCTAGATTTCAATTGATCAATTTCTAAAGCTAGTTTTCTATTTATTTCTACCAATTCATTTTGATTTTCCTCTAACCTTAATAATTGGTTGCTCATTTGAGATAGCTGCTTTTCTAAATAAAGCTTTTGTTTAGTCAATGCCATCATAATATGAAGAAAACAATTCTTATTGTCATCTGCCACATATGAAAGACTTAATTTGAAGAAATCTTTTAGCTCTTCAATAGTTTTATTGTCAATACCAACATTTTGAACTGTGATATTGGATTTTATCGGTAAACTGTTAGAATTTGAAGCTCTTTCTTCACTTATACCATTTTGTGTTGTAGGGTTTTGCATAATGTTATCTGCAGTTTTATTTATAATTGGTGTAGAGGATTTTTGGTGCATAGCACTTTTTTCAATATCCAACTGATGCAATCTGAATTCATTACGATCACTTGTTCTATAAGATCTATTTTGATTTAGTTCTAATTCTTCATTTGATTTGTCTTCCATACCCATTTTAAAAAGAAATGAATCTTCCACGTCTCTTGCAGGTGGTTCTGAACGATTTGGTGGTGTGTTGCATGTAAATAGCATATCTAATGAATTGTTTTGAATTGGTGATTCAAGATTGGGGCTGTTTGTATCCAATTTATCAACCAAACTTAATTCTGGAGACATAAATTTTTTTCTTGGTGGCTGAAATGCTACTTTTTTTACTTTATTGTTATGGCCTTTTAAAATTTTTAATGGTGTAGTTAAGTCTCTTAAATCATACAGCAAAACATAGCCCTTCTGAGTTCCAAGTGCAACTTGATTTTCTCCATTTATTGCCAATGATGTTAAGGCATGTGGCGTTTTTAAAGTTGATACAACATTTCTCTGTTTGATATCATAAACTTGCAAATTTTTATCAAGACCACAAGATAGCATAACATCCCTATTGATAAGGGAATATACAAAATCGGAAACTGGAGATGCATGACTGTTCTCAAAAGTGACTTTGTCCTTATTAACACTAACATCCTTTAGTATAACATGCCCTTCATCAGTTGCTAGACCTAATAGTGACCTTGCTTCATGATGAAACTTCATTGCCGATATGCTCTTGGAACAATTAAGTTTAACAGTTGAAATAGGTATATTAGACACTAGCCCATAAATCACAGTGTCGCCATTTTGCATACTAGCAGCTAAATTTGTATTTTTAGCATTAAAACTTAAAAAGTCTACTGCAGCATAGGATGGCAATGTGGGAAATATTTTGGTTTTTTCTTTGTTTTTAGCATCCCAAATGATCACTTCACCTTTTGTAGTTCCTACTGCTATATTACGATGGCCATCTCTTTGGAAACATGCTGCACATGAATCGTCGATTGGGATATGCTGTAACACCAAGTTATGGGATGCAGGACTTAAAATTTCAGCAGTTCCTTTAGGGTTGACCTGAAAGTATAAAACGAATTACAAAAAGAAAGGGAAAACATAATATCTTATGTTAACATTTATCATGCAGTAAAAGTTATTTTTTATAAAGAGAATGCATACCAATAGGATATATTTACTATCATCGCTCCAAGACACATCTCGTATAATTCCATCAGATTTTCCATGACAATATTTCAATTCCCAATTGTTTGTATCATATAACAACAAACGTGAACTGACAGACGATAGATACATCTTATTTAACTGATATAGTTTAACGTTATGGGCTTAAAATTTAAAATAATCAACAAACATGAAACAGAATCTTAGACCAATAACTGATTAACGAAAATTTTGACACTAGAAGACAGTATATATATCAAATTTAATTCATCAATGTTCACAGAAAATTATAAATAAATGTTATTATTTCAATGCCTTTTTTCTTAGTAAAATTCTAAGCAAAACTATAAACGACTATCAAAACTCCGTTTAAATTGTGGGTTTTATGTTTATCTTAGAAAATTCTTTGTACCATATCGTATGCCTAATACAATTTGTACAATAACATACGCTTTTTGCGCTGTTGATATTCTTACCAATTAAGCAGCCGCTTTTATTTTCAGTATTTTCTACAAAATACATGAACCTTATTCTATCTCCGTTTCATGCGTATATAAGTCTGTCTAATGAAAGAAGCTAATTGAAAACTTTCGGATGGTAACACAGAATGTCATTGAATTTTTTAGGCTAGTATGATTTATTGTCTTGATACTTCATGCAATTACTCATTTTTATATCTATTATATATTTTTTCCGAATAGTTAACAGGTATAATAGCCTAAACTTTGTTTTATTTGATAGAATATTTCGTTTCTTTCGCAGGAAATCTGGAGGATGTAGGAGTCGATGCAATAGTGAGAACTATTGGTAAGCTCACTGATTTAGAGCAGAAAGATAGAATAAAATCCCAGAACCAGGGGCCTTAGTCAAGATGCCTTAACAGTAGTGTATGTAGAAAGTCGAAAACTTAATTTGTATGGAAATGACAGTTCGTGTCGAAAAGTTTTCATACAAATTTAGTTTTTGACGTTCTACATACACTACTGTTAAGGCATCTTGACTAAGGCCCCAGTACTTTAAAGAAAGCGCAATTTTTTTGGTTTCTGATTTTGTTTATTCCGAATAAAGTTGTGTTTTATAACAAATATAGTTTTAGTTTTCCATGCAATGCTAGTCATTTTAAGTATCAATAGTAAAAGACTAAATAAGTATAGTATTTAATTTCATAGAAATACAGTTACTATCAATGTAAAAAATAATAACATAAAATCAATTATCAAGTAAGTTTAATCCACAAAATATATCTTTATTTTTTTTTAATATTATGGCAATAGTTTTGACAAAATATATCTTTCTTTCTTTTTTAAATTTATTTATTAGCCGAACACAAAATATATCAAACTTTTCGGGATACCATACTAAAATTTTTTGAATATGCCGCGCTTTTTCGTTATCTTCTTTCATTAGCCAGACTCTAGCATTAGAAATATAGAAGAAACATATCTAGTTATTGTCGTTATTTTAGCGCTTATATGCTGTAATTTTGCAACTAGTCTATGGTCATGATCATTAGTCTATCGACTCCTTAGTCTGTGATATTTTCATTGTTTACGTTCCGTTAGAGTGACGTGGTCGGTAAATGTCTAAAGACCGTATAGTTTTATTATTAAATAAATTTAAATACCAATATTGTAAGTAATATTTAAATCTTAGAACAATAGTTTTATTAAAGGTACAGTTGTACTTTTGAATATTTTTTCGAATTTGATTATAAAAAAATGTAAGGTTTGGAAAGATCGCCTTAAATATTTCTTATGGTTTACTCGTCATCTAACAAACGGTTCTAATCTAAAACCTTTTCTAGTTTGGTATAAGTGTTTGCTGCGGTTATTCTTTTATTATCTTTAACATACTTTATACTCCTTTATGTTCTATCAACTACACACATACATTACACATGGTTTAAAAATTTAATCCTTAAAACAATTTTCAATTAAATTTGTCCTTATTGTTCTCCAATTTCAGAAATAACAATGATTACCGATATCCAGCTTGCAGTGTTTTCAAACATTTTAGGTGTATCCATATTCCTCCTTGTTATACTTTACCACTATATCAACGCAAACAGCAGCAAATAAAGGTATATATTTTTCTCAACCATAATCTTTATAGAGTTGATAGTGGAAGTGGGCAAGTGGCTTTTATATTCCAACTTGTAGTAACAGATTAGTACTTTCAGCAATATTCAGTATGATTTTTTTATTATAAAATTTTAATATGGTGCTAAGATCTATACATACAAGAATGCTCAAAATTGCTGCTTTAAATAAATAGTAAAATATACAATAATTAATTTGTTTGTTTCAGATATTGCACCTAATTGTCCAATTATGTTACTAAATTATGTTGTAAGATGTAAATAAATTATGTAAAACATTTTTGTTTTTTAATCAACATAGTTCTCTTGATTTTGTACTAAGTAAATTTTTAAATAATACAACTAGTTAGCAAATTTACTAAACATTTTTAATGATTAGTTCAATGTTTAAAGACACTTCTAACAGAAACCTTGTCAACATATTTAGACAGAAATTAATGGTTATGTCTAGACTTAGGGTTAGAACTGCATTTAAGTAGGTTATAATATGTATAAGAAAGTTTTGTTTAGGGATTCTGTGATATAAAATAATATATGTAGTAGTAATAGTTATTATATGTAAAAATAGTAAACTAGACAAAAGTAACTAGTAGTAAATTAGTATAATCAATAGTTTATTATTATTTACTGCTACGGTAAAAGGAAGTTATGTTTTGTTATCTGACAACCAAAACCAATGTACAACAACCAAAAGAATTTGAAAACGATTCATCAATGTACCAATAGATGGCGGTAAATACAATTTATGAAATAAAAAGTGCTTAAATTATTTTAAGAAATCTCTTTACTTTTAACAGTATTATGGGGTAGTTAATTAAGAACAATTAATATATATATATATATAATATACAATATATTGATATAAAATAAACACAGTTATTTAAAATCGAACATAATACGGCCACTTATTCTTTGGTGAATGGTGTTATAGCGTGAATTAGTAGTGAAACTTCCTAAATTGCTTTTTATTACAGATATTATTGCCATTGGGTGTAATTTATCGCCTCAATAGTTTTATTTGGCCGTAGGGAGCGATTATCGCCAGCTTAGATCATCTGTAATACTTAGAAAAAATTCTGGCTATTGATATAAGAAATATACATAATTCTCACTGAGTATAATAGCTATTATACTCAGTGAGTATCATAGTCATCTTCAAAGTATCTAATTGTTGATTGTTTCTTAAAATATATTAAGCATGTATTCTAAAAGCAGCAATTTGTAATGCAGTTTCACTTTTTTTATAAGTTATACGAGTGGCTGTCTCACGTCATTAGAAAAGTACTTGCTATCTCAACTTGGTTACGGTATGGAGAATGGATCCTATTCCTACGGACCGAGCTCAGTATGAGCGTCTATACCTCGTCAAAATTTTAGTTAAGACGGATGTAATGTGTCTCAGATCAATATATAAGTGTCTGAGTGTCTGAGTAGCAATAATAGAGTCTGGTTAAGAGTTACTACAAAATAGATAGAGTTGATTTAAAAATAGCAAAAGGGACTTGAAAAACCACGTCGGTGTCGCCATATCATCAAATTAACATTTATTTAACTAAACTTAGATTGATTTCAATTTGAATATACCTTTCTATATGGTATTCGCAAATGTGCTTTAACAAAACATTTTGTATTACATTCAAATGAACGCCATGCCATTACCCGGCCATTTTTCGTCTGCAATACAAGTATTTTTGCTGCATTTTGGTATCCATAATGACTGGAGCACGCTCTCCTGACTTTTAATTAAGACCAAGACTTGTTTATTATCTTTTTGCTAGCGCTATGTCGGTCTCGTGACGGTTTTTTAAGCGGGCGAATTAAAGAAATTAAAATGTTCGCCATTTTAAGGGGAAGTCGTCGGAAATTGAAATAATTAAGAGCTTGTATATTATTTGAAACTCATTTCAGTGCTTCATTAATGGTTACGTTAAATGGAATTGTTGATGGGGTTAAACAAATAGGTACATAACAAGAAATAGCGTGATTGTTTTTTCTGTGTTATCTAACATACATATTAAAAAACGGAATGCTTTTTTTAAGTTAAACTACTGCATATATATATTGTCATAGATTTACGTGTGATAAACGCGAATATATTGTGTTATTAAAGTCTTGTCTGACCGCGATTGAAAAGCATCCGAAACATCAAGTATGAAAATAAAAAATCGGGGTGATTCTTTTTAGAAGTTTGATTTAAAAGGTTTTGATGTAATAAGTGCAAAAAGTAACCCAGGTATGTAGTATAAAAAATAAAATAAACCAGTGGCGCTTACAACCTCTAAGTTTGGGCCTCAGGTTACTGAATCTGTTTCATGATCATTTTTCAATCTAATAGCCCATTTGGTGATTAGCGTCCTGTGCCTGACACACGCTGTTTTCCTTCACCGTTCGAGCGAATGTTAAATGCGCACATAGAAAGAAAGTCCATTGGTGCACAGACGGGGATCGAACCTACGACATCAGGGATGAGAGTCGCACGCATGAGTCTAAATTATATTATAGATACCAGAATGTGCTCACGTAATGTACGCATAAATCTTTGTATTGTACGAGTAGTATACATTAGATGTGATATATGGATAGGTCTACTAAGTAAGGACGAAAATGAGTCTGATTTCGGCCCAATAAATTTTAAACAACTAGAAGTTGCGGAAGTCTAATAACAGGAGTAAAACGTCCTTTAATATATCCTAAGCAAAACATTCAAAAATAGTTTTAGATATATAACCCATTAAAAGAAATCAAGGCACAGGAAACTGAGTGTGTTGTGACGTTTATTTATCATATTTGCTTCTTAACATTAATTTGTAAGTAACTAATAAACTTTTTATGTCTATTATGGTTTTGTTGATTAGAAACAAACCTCGCCCTTATATTAATATTACGTGATCAACTGAAATGCAACAATGTGGCATTTCAATAGATTGCTGAGCAAAGTCCTGATTTTGTTGTATTTAAAAACGGAGCTCCATAAATAAAAATCTTACCAATCCGTCAAGGTATGGCGTGTTCAGAGGGCGGATAGTTGGCGGTTTGTTTATGACAGTTTGCGAGGCGTCCTGAGGGAAATTAGAGGATATAGGCGATATCGTGAGGAAGCACGCAATTTTGAAGTTTTCCAACGACGCGGACGACTGTAGTTTTATAGCTGTTTGAAATTTTAAAATAGGAGGCTTTACAGACATGAGCCAAGGTTGTACTATACATTTCTATGCGCTACTTTTAGCGCTTATCTTCTAAGTTTAAGTTATAGACTTGTTTGTGCAACGTAGTACAATTGATTCTGTAGAGTGGACATCAATGTTATATACGTACTCAATTCGACACGCGATTCTCTCCGTTTGACCAATCACAGTCAAGCGAAACGCACGTTTTGTCTTCCGTTTAACATAAGCCCGCAGTTACAAAAAGTCTACAAACTAGTCTCCGAATATTGTTTTGAATTATTTATAAAATCTTTCGTGTAACTGTCAAACTGTCAATGTCAAAAGTTTTATACATCGTTGTCGCCTTGAATAAAATGATCTTCCCAAACAAACTTGTTTATTTTTTTTAGATAGAAGTAGTTTCTAGAGTTATTGCATGTACATACATATTTTAGTAGCAGTACCTTTGCCATCTTTTTGCTATATAACGTTTTAAAGCTAATATATTTTTACTAAAGTTTACCTTATACGGTGTACAGAAAAATAATCATAAAAACCGGTAGGGAACTTTAGACACAATTTTCCTCAACTAACTGCTTTAGTAATAAGCTTTGCTTAAGGATAATATTGATTAGTAAAAATCTTTAAAACTGTTTAGTATTTCTTGCATCATCAGTGAGGTGGTTCGTTTTTTATTTACTATCAAAATGGTGATGTACTTTATTATTTCAAGTTGTTTAGCAATACTTGTAAAAGGAGTTATAAGCAGTGAGTAATTTAAATTAATATTATATTGTGTCGGTTTAAATATTGTTGTCTACTACTTTGTAATAACTAGGCGAGTTTGAAAATGGATTAAGGTAATTTATTATTTGAAATGAAATATTACTGTGTATTTTCTGTATACAAATTTGCTTATTAATATGTAATTACTAGCTAACCCGGCAAACATTGTTTTGCCATGTATATTATTTCTTGGAAACATTTTTTAGTTCAATAGAGGTGACAATTAAGGGTTGTATGTATTTTTTATGCTGTATCATAATTTTTTTTTGGGATGGACACCCTTTATCACTTAGGGGTTTGAAAAATAGATAGTAGCTGATTCTTAGACTTACTGAATATGCATAAAAATTTCATAAGAATCGGTCGAGCCGTTTTGGAGGAGTATGGGAACGAATATTGTGACACGAGAATTTTATATATATATATTATAACGACAATATCAATCTTAAAACAATAAAATAGAAATCCAAACTATGAATGATAAACAAGTCTTAGTGGATATAGAGCGTGATTTTAAAGTCATTGTTTGATGTATTTTTAGCATTTCAACCATAAACCGAGTCATTTAAATAATTTCTAAATATTTTAGATTAACAATTTACTTAAAAACGGTGCAATTCAGCCACGAAATTTAAAGGCCATTTTTAAATTCCGATTGCATCTTTAGTTAACGAATTTAAATCTCTTCTAAACGCCTTACCGTGAATTTTTAAATTGCTCTATGATTTGGTGTATGGCTTTGATAATACTAACAGGCTTCATACATAACTTACATTAAAGGCTTCACTGAAGCCTGGACGACCTGTTTTCGTACCGTAGGTCTGTTTAATATTTCAGAAGATTGCACTGACTGTATGGAATATAAATTGTGTCCAGCAGCCCTTAACTTGGTTCTGAATAAAACTGTTAAAGCTGAGAAGACTTTTCGTGAAGCAGTTTGTGACTATGGATTAAATAATGGGACGAAGAGCCTTAAGGTAAAATTAGTTATAAATAAAAATTAGTTATATTTAATTTAAAAAAAAACCTAAATTATACATCTAGACCTTTCTCAGGACTTTTATTTATTGGTGAAAACCGTACAAAAATAGTAGTTTTGAGTTTATTGCCTTCATATAGAGACTGGCGGTTGGCCTTTTGAATAGAATTTGCTCTTATAGTAACAAGTTGATAAAAGTAGTTAAAAATTTCCCGGGTCATCGGATAAATATAAGAGGATTTTATTTTTACTCTATATTAAACACTCGCGTACAACAGTAGAATATAAGAAAATTAATGAAATGTTAATTGCTATGTAACGAATGAATGCAATGTAACTGTTGAAGGAGTGCTTACGTCTGGCTATACTCTCGGGGCGTAACTCCGACGATTTAGGAAATCGCCACGCTTATAAAACTAAGAAAGCCTGAGTGAGCAAAATGTATAGCCTAAGGCTAATTACTATAATGTTAGGTATACTTCATTCACATGTTCCTCCCCTCCTTCTTTCCCTTTGTGTGTGCAGTTTAGCTTTATATTCATACATGCTGTCAACATATGCCCTGGCAGCTTACTTTAGTAAACCATTATTTAGTTTTAAGCATAATTTGTTGTACGCAAGAGGTAAATCAAAGAAGGTACTTAAGTTAGTTAATAATTAGTTTGCCATGTGAAAAATCTAATTATTTGTTTTGTAAATAAATATTGCATTTTAATTTATATTGTCTCGTTTACGTCAAGCTGGGTATCGATTACGCGCTCCTGGCGCGCGCGCCATGAATGACCGCACCGAGAGTGCGTTCCATGAAACGCGTTCCAAATATTTGAAGTATATCAACTAAGCGCGCCTGGCGCGCGTGGCAACTGTTCCAGTGTTCGACCCTTCATCATGGAAGCCAGTCAGCAGCAGCTTTTGTAATTATTCACAGTATCATAAACAAGAAAAGCCAGAGCCAGTGGTTTGGCTTTTAGATACTCTCAATTTTTCTCTTCTGTACGATGATAGGAGCACAGTAATTTTTTTCTTTAATTCTATTTAGGGACTCCCATTTCACTACTGATTTCTCTCCAAGCATCTTCTCTAAGCGATTTATTATGATACGAAGAACTTTTGCTATTCCACAGTAGTTCTTTTGTACCATACAGTTGTATTAATTTATGGCAACTTTGGTTATCCATAATTGGGAGCGCAACAAACACAAAAAAATACGATATGTCCGTCCCAACTGGCGCGCGCGCCACGATTGATGCGTGGTAAAAAACCGACACCCGTCGGATTGGACCGCTCCGCGTTCGTGCGCTCCAACGAACACATTGGCGCGCGTTCCAAAGTGGTATCCATTGCGCGCGGCTGGAGCGCGCGCCAATGTTCGCCCTCTTGGAGCGCGTAGTCGATACGCGGCTTCAGGTTTGCTGCTCAATGTTACAAGAACACGCGGCGGATGTCCAGAAATTTAACGTTTTACCAGATCAGTGTGGTGAAATCCGGGAAGATCGTCTCTTTCGTGGGCCTGTAGTCAACTTGTTTGATTACGAGTGGTTGGCTGTGTTTAATAAATCTAGTAAGTGCAAATCCGCTATAGTCAATAGAATTTTTTATAGAAACAAGGTTTTATATAGGTCATCTTACAAGCGTTTTGTGTCGAGGTAACCGAGAAATTATTTTGTCTGTGACTTCAGATGTATGATAATTATAGTTTGGTTCTGTAAAGATATTATTAGATATTATTAGTCATTAATAAAATTCACTAATTTATATTATGTTATTAATCTTTTATACAAAAACAAAGTCGTGTTAGTTGCACTCTACTCAAGAACGGGTGAACCGATTTGGCTGAAAATTGGTGATTTTATATCATGTTTCCGTAAAACGTTACATAAAACGTGGTATAACAAATAAATAAGCAACAAACAGAAAAACTAAAAATTTCTCAGTCAAAACATCAGTCCTGCCGATCATTTGTTTAAAAATGGTTTATTGGAACGGGAACGTAAATAAAACATGAAATAACTGGCCAAAAAAGAATCATTAAAATAATAAAACACTATTTTGACCGGATTGAAGTTATGTATTGTTATAAATTTACAACTATTTAACATAATTTTAAATTTATCCGACGTTTCGCGTGCTTTACAGCGTGCGTGGTCACGGTGACTGAAGACAAAAGATGTTGAATGTCAAAAAGTATCACAGCTGCTTTTAGACATTTTAATTATACGCAAAGCAGATGGCACACTAGGTCACACAATACACAGGAAGGCAACCCACACAGATAGGTACCTCAATGGTGAATCCCACCACCACCCTTCACAACTGCTTTCTGTCGGTAAATGTTTGTTTCAGAGAGCCCAACGTCTTTGTGATGATGCCCACCTCGAGGAGGAACTACAGCATGTCAAACAGGTGCTACACCGAAACAAGCTGCGCATCCCCCGGCTGCATCTTATTAAGATTCTACTGTGTATGACCTTGTTTTTTTTTCAGGTGGAGACGCGCTTTGCCTACCGAAATCCCCGGCTCCACACGATTCAGATTGGTTCAACAATCTGGCGTTAACGGTGGGGTGGGGAGCGCCCAACACTGTTCCACTCAAATCCTATCTTCGTGGTTTCAATGATACAACGTGCAATGATTTTTATAAAAGGTAAATAGGAATAACGAAATGAGGGGAGTAAAGCTGATTAGCCTTGTTCTAGTCTAAACGACTAACTCTCAACAATCTCGAATTTGCATTATTACTTTTCTATGTGTTTTATTAAGCACATAGATTGCATTGCTTTTGCAAAGTGAAAGATTTTGCGAGGGTTGCGTCGCGGTGTTAGGCACAGATCAACTACTAGGCTGGTATGAAAAATAACGGATAGAGGTATACATTAATAGAGAATAGATTTTCATCGACTATTTGAAAATAACTTTTGAATTTAGAATAAAAAATAGTCTGCATTATGGAGTTATACATGAGTGTTGATGTTTTCAGATATCCAGATTTAAAAAATAACACTTTTTGCGCGCGGGATTTGTATGATAATACCAACCTGGATCCTGGAAGCCCACTTCTTACGCGTTCCACCTATGGAAAGATTCCAATACACGTTCAGTATGGAATTTTATCGCAAGAAGTCGGTAAACAACATTACATTTATACAAATGTTAATAAATATATGGCTTGGATTCTGAAGGCTCTACGGGATTTAGACTAAAATGTCTATTAGTTGGTAAATTTATAGGTTTGGTATATGCTTATATAACAAATTATTTAAATTAACAAAACTTATGATTTACATGTATGTTAAACTTATAAATCTTCTACATTGTCTATTAAACACCATAACCAAATTAAAAATAATATTTCAATCAAATCTATTTATTTATGACTAAAATGTTTATTTAAATACAATAATCTATATGTATATTTTATATATTCAATCAGATACTACCTTGTGCCATGTTATTTTATTATTATTAATTACTTAAGATGTCACGTGGAACATGGTGTAATGGTTGCAGCTCCTTACAAACGTTGTGTAAAAAAAACATGGCGATTAAAAAGAGTGGCGGAGAGTTTATTGCCAGTTTTTCTCTTCCGTTCTACGCCCTTGATTTGAGAACTGGCACTAAATGTAATGTTAGAAGCATTTCATATACATTTCTTTTTTTGACGCTCATAAGTGTACATTGTGCTACCTATATGATTAAATGATTTTTGACTTTGACTTTATCTTAACAAAATATAAGCATAAATATTTATATATAATCTAGAACTGTATAGAAAATACGTAGTTGAATTTATGATTTTAAAAAAGGCGCGCAGCATTTATATAGCATTTATGCTACACAACACTAAATGTGCATGAATCGTAAATATTGGACGTACAAACAGACATGTCGGAACCGCGAAATAGACGTAAAAATATCAATATACATATTTACTTTTCAATCGACATCGTTCTCTTTGATGTGACTTTGTGACATGGTATTTGATCAATAAAGGATGTTTTAACATACCTTTACCAACTACATATTATACAAAAGCTCTAACATACATCAGTAAAAGCTTTCATGCTTTTTGATATAGATAACTATATAATATTGTATCAAATCATAACTGGTTATGATTTTTGAAAGCACTATCAGTGATAATCTGTGGTAAAAGTGGTTGCTAAAAACCTTGGTGTTTTCTTCGACAAACCTTGTCCTGGGGTCATCACGTAAACGAAATCAGCTGCAAACTACATATATACGCCATAAAATCCCCTTCCAATCATAAAATGAATTAGAATTCTCAGTTCCTTATAACTATATGTTACGCTCCTCCAATAGATGCTAATGGATTTTATTTTATAGAACAGGGGGCAAGCGGGTGCGTTGCCGGCCTTTTAATTCCATATCACAGCTCATCTTTCTTAGGCAATTCGTTTAGGATCTCCGCCATTAAGTTTTGGAATAGGCTGCCCGACTCCATACGTTTGGTTACCTGCCTAACATTATTTAACATCCCTATTATTAAAACTCTTCTACATGAACATTTCTTAACCATATCCTGCTCAATTTTGACTTTTGTAATTTTTGTATTTCTTATTCTTCTATATTGAATCGCAATTCATGAATCCGTGAGATTAGCTTTTTAGTTTGTTTTGTTAATTTTTTAGTATTATTTTAGATTAAGCTTCTATAATATTTTTTTATAAGATTTGGTTATGCACTTCTTGCACTTTATCCATCATATTCCTTTTTTTGTATTTTCCCCTACTAGTGTCGCCTGGAAGAGATCGCTTGTTAGCGATAAGGCCGCCCGTTGCATCCTTTATAACTTTTATGTAATATGTTATTTGTTTTGTATAAATGTAACGAAGTATGAATAAATAAAAGAGTAGATTTATATATTTCATTTAGTGCTGTATAATAATGCAATAGTTAATCCCAAACATTAATATTTAATCACAGAATATACAATGAACTAATGTGAGAGCTATATAGATTAATCGCTTGTAGCTAATTTTAAATTAATATTAACACAATTAAACTCTGTTACCCAAATGCTACTTTTAAATATATTATAAAGAACATTGTAAGAGAGACTTCCAGTAAAGCGGATAATCTTATTATATTTATAGGCAATAGAGGGAATCTAAACAAAAAGGAGCTTATTAGCTGCTATGAAAAATTGTGCCTACTTAATACTAAAAATCTAATTATGTTTACATTCCCTTATAGTAAACACTTTAGTCAGCATGAAAATAATGCGAGACATATTTTAAATCAGACAATGCACACATTAACATTGTACAATAAAAACTTTACACTAATTGATACCAATAGGTACATTAGTTGTAATAATTATTTTTTGACAAAGGATAGATATAATCTACCTACATATTTTAAAAAGACAGATAGCTGATTCGCTATCATATTTATTGTATATAACAGCCAAGAATTTGGCTAGACAACCTGCTTCTATTGAGCAGGTTTTAGTTAGTAAGACCTTGGAAGATATTCCAAGAAATAGTATATCTAATTTAAATTAGACACTAAGACAACAGAGAGTCTCTCTGGCCTAGAATTAGAAAGTAAGCTAAGTAAATTTAAGAACAATACTATCAATCTGGTTCACCAAAATATACAAGGCATGAAAAGTAAATTACTGGAAATTGAGTTGTTTTTGAGCAGTGAAAATGTTGACATACTGTGTATTACAGAACACTGGTTAAAGACATGTGAACTTATGTTCAATTTTTGTAACCATCAGATTGGTAGTTCGTTCTGCAGAGGAAATGCAATACACGGTGGCTCATTAATATTGCTTAGTAAAAAAATAAAATTTAAAGAAAGGAAGGACATAGTGAGCTTCTCTGTGGAACGCCTTATAGAAGTATCTTGTGTGGAGCTGGAGCAATTTATCATTGTTAGTTTGTATAGCCCTCCTTCAGCTCAATATGATAGTTTAGAAAAAATATTGGAGCAGGTTCTGTACAAATTGCAAAAATCCAAGAAAAAATTGATCGTTAGTGGAGACTTTAATGTAAATTTGCTTGACAACTGTAGTTCAAGTAAACGTTTGCTAAATCTGTTTAAATCATATAATTTAATTAATACTTTTATTGTACCAACTAGGGTAACAGCCACCACGGCAACATGTATTGACAATATCTATAGTAATATAGTTCCTCTCAACGCCTGTATTATCAACAAACTTACATCTGACCACTCTGGTCAATTGTTTGAATTTGAAATACTAAAATGTAAAGATCAAAAAAAGAAAATATGCACAATTCCTATAACAGAGGATCGGTTAGACAGATTAGGAAAAATTTGATATTTAAAATGCCATTTTTGCGTAGTAACCAATGCCCTAATAATTTATATAGCACATTCTTTGATTCATTTATTGGTGAATTCAAAAATGTGTTCACTCCAAAGACTTTTTTGGTCTCGGAGAAACCTACCTTTTGTGACTGGGCAACTCCGGAGCTACACAAAAAAAGGGTAAAATTGTATGAGTTGTATGATGAAAAACAGTATAATGACAGTGAAGAGTTTAAAACTTATGTTAGGATATTCTCAAAAAGTTTTAGGCAAGAGTGTAGAATCGCTAAGGCGAAACACTTAAGTCTTAGAATAAACAACAGCTCTGATAAGATAAAGGCTACTTGGAAAATTATAAACGAGGAGACTGGAAGAACCTCCAGAAAGGATACTGAATTTAAAGTGAACATAAACGGCAAAGTAATTAGTTCCGACCTCGAAGTAGCCTCTGCATTTGAAGAGTTTTTTACTAACATTCCTTTAAATACAACCAGCGTTTTAAATTCTTCACCATCAGCCGCCCTTTTATTATTGAAAACGAATGTTCCTGTATGCAATCATAAGTTTGTATTTAGCCGCATTAGCTGCAATGACATAAAAACATTTAAACAGCTAAAAATAAAAAAACTAAAGATCTTTGGGGTGTATCTGTTTTCATTTTACAATCAGTAATCAATACTATCAGTTCAGAGTTGGCTATAATATTTAATGAATGTATAGATTGTGGAGTCTTATCAGACCAGATGAAGATAAGTAAAATCACACCGTTATTCAAAACGGGCAGCACTTCGGACCCCACAAATTTTAGACCCATATCTGTGCTGCCGGCTTTGAGTAAAATCTTTGAAAAAATCATTCTTGAACAATTATTGGTACATTTTAATAATAATAAAATTATGCATAGCCAGCAGTATGGTTTTACAAGAGGTCGCTCCACAGCAGATGCTGGCATTCAATTAATTTCCGAGATTTTAAATGCTTGGGAAAATTCTCATGATGCCATTGGAGTTTTTTGCGACTTATCAAAGGCTTTTGACTGTGTCCATCACGAAATCCTAATCAAGAAACTTCAACACTATGGCATTGGCGAAAAAGCGCTAAATCTTGTGGAATCATACCTGAGCGATAGAATTCAAAAGGTATATGTAAATGGAGCTATATCACAGGGATCCTCTGTTACTATGGGAGTACCGCAAGGCTCCATACTTGGTCCCTTCTTATTCCTCGTCTATATAAATGACCTGCCATTTCTTGTAAAGGAGCTTCACGAGATAGTACTGTTTGCTGATGACACTTCGCTTTTATTTAAAGTGAAACGACAAAATCCATCACTTGATAACGTAAACAGTGCCATCTCCAGTGTAGTTCACTGGTTTAATACAAATAATCTTAAGTTAAACGAAAAGAAGACAAAATGTGTTAAATTTGTAACTACAAATGTAAAAAGTAGTCATTCTCAAATAATAATTAAAGACGAGGAAATAGACTTTGTTGATAATGCGGTGTTCTTGGGAATTACTTTAGATAGTAAACTCCAGTGGGGCCGACACATAGAAGGTCTTTCGAATAGGCTAAGTTCCGCAGCGTTCGCAGTAAAAAAGATACGCGATCTTACGGATGAGAACACAGCAAAGCTTGTTTATTTCAGCTATTTTCATAGTATTATGTCATATGGTGTTATTTTGTGGGGTAATGCAGCTGACATTAAATCGATATTTGTAGTGCAAAAGCGGGCTATAAGAGCGATCTGTGGGTTGTCCCCACGGGAGTCGGTCCGAAGCAAATTTAAGGAATTACATATTTTGACTCTGGCAAGTCAATACATTTATGAGAATATTTTGTATGTGCGGAAAAATATAGATATCTTTAAAAAGAATAGTAGCTTCCATAATTATAG